TCTAATCATGTTTACGTATTTGATGCTTATTTTAAATTTCATATCCAGGTTTTCGCCAGCTGATACCAATCTTGTTTTGCGAGAATTTGAAAAGTATGGGCTAATTCTGAAACATGTTCCGGGACCAAGAAATGCTAATTGGATGCACATATTGTATCAGGTTTGTTACTTACATTTATCTTATTAAATCTCTGCCAATGTCTTTTATAATTTATATAATTCCACTAAGAGTATTGTCATTGTACATTCTTCTTATGTCATGACCTTAATAAAATATGCAAAAGTTTAGGTAATTGCTTACACTTGTAATTTTGGACTTCTCGATAAAGACGGAAGGAGCTAAATTGATCATAAGGAGTATATGTTATGCCAAGAAGTGTTTTTTTTTTTTTTTGTTTATACCTACAATTACAATCTCCCATGTGATCGATTTGTTGTCTCTGCTGTGCATTTGAGTTACCTTGTTTAATATCTTCTTTCATCATAATCTACTACTACTACTACTACTACTAATTTATTTCTCGTTAAATTCCACTTCAACATGGTTTTAGAAATAGCTTCAACTCGATCTTCTGAAAACTAGAAAGATTATGTTGTGTGTGTAGGAATTTGAAGTGCCTAAGATTTGTCAAAACAGCCGGGATAACTACCCGAGTTTATGTTCTACAACATTTGACATTCTTTGTTATAATGAGGTTTCGCGTGGAATAAGATTCTTGTTTCCTTACTTTGATGTTAATTGTCTTTGTTTCGACAGAAGAAATTTAACCTCTTTTGAAATACAATTTTTTCAATCCATTATTTGAGAGGTTTGTATCTGTTGATGTAATTTTTCAACAAAAATAAAGTAAAATTCAAAGATATAGAAAATATCCTTAAACTTGATTAATTAGTGCCTGAGATTAGGAATCTCTAAACACTGTATGGTACAGAAAATAAACTGGAAAATAAAAGACTGAGATTTAAAGTGGTGATCCCCAAATCTGACTTTGCTTTGTTGAAGTTGATTGGAGATGTCTTGCCAAATGATGATCCAAATCCTTAAATATTCTTTGAAGAAAACGTTCAGAACCGTCGTCTGGTCAGTTACCATAACCGTTGTTAACCGCCCCAAAAGTTCTCTTCTATTGACACGTGTGTCAACCGTTCTACTACGTCCGACCTTCAAAAAACCGTTCGCCAGTTGCAACTTCCTCTAACCGCCCCAGAACTGCTCTCTCACCCGACCTGCACATGCTACTTCACTTGGTCCGAACTTCGTATCACGTCCTGACCTCAATGCCCGACCTGCTTCTTCGCCCGACATCATTTGGGCCGACCTCCGCATCAGCCGCCCTCCGTCTTTGACCGACTTTAATTGGTCTGACCATGGACCAACCAAATGTGGTCCCTACCACGGACCAACCGACCGGCTCTATTTGCCTTATCTCTTTAGAAGGACAGACTGTCCTCTGGACAGACCTCCGCATCTGTCCGTACCTCTTCCTTGCCCGACCTTTCTCTTGACAAACCTTTGCGTCTGCCCGACTTCGTCTTTCACCCGATCTACGGTTTACCCAACTTGGGTACACCTTTTTTCAGACTCCGCCCGACCTTTCTTCCTTCCCGATCCTTGCATCTGTCCGATTGCACCCGACTTCTGGGTCATTTAACTTATATCCAGACCCGTCCAGAATCCCACTGCCATTATTTATTATTATTATTTTTTTTTGTGCTTAACAATAAGCCTCCTCCTCAAGACTCCTAAACATCACTTTCAGTGATGTTTTAGGAGTTTGCAGGTCAGCATCTGAGGCTACATCAGCCTCAGATCCGACCTCCATCTTCTGAGGCTACGTTGGACCCGACCTCCATTTATTGCGGACTGGTGGTGGTCTGCACATTGATCGATCTTGCACTACCATCTCTTCAGCATCTCCCCCCTGACGGAAGTCATGATTATTTTCTGTAAAAAAGGATTCTGACCTTCTTGCCGTGGATGCTAAACTGGCCAGATCTTGAAAGTCGTGGGCTGTCAGGGCCTCGCGAAGTCTGGTATGCATGTTCCTGACCACCAAATTGGTCATTTCGCTTTCATTGATCATCGTAGGACATCGTCCCTTCATCAATCGCATCCTCTCTATGAATTGGTAGCCGGTCTCTTCTGGCATCTGCGTGATCTCCAGAAGGTCTATTAGTGAGACTGTCGGCAGAGGATTAAAGAACCTTGCATGAAAATCTGCCTCTAAATCTTCCCAAGTTTGCAACTGTCCAGGCGGCAGACTGGCATACCAAGAAAAAGCTGTTCTTGTGAGCGACAACCCAAACAATTGTAACTTGTGAAACGGATTGTTGCCTACTTCTCCCAATTGAGCCGTGAAGCAACCCACATGCTCAATGGTAGAAGCTCCGTCTTCTCCCGAAAAAGAATAGAAGTCTGGTGGCCTATAATTTTTCGGGAGAGGATGATCGTTAATGATCCTTTCTGGAAATGGCCTCTGGTAAACCGGCCTGTTCACCGTTTGCGGATTCATTCCGAAATGCACCCGCAGAACTTGAGCAATATCCTCCGGATCTACTCTGGGTGGAATATGGTCGAACACTGGAATGTGATCGTGAGTCTGACCTCCCAATCTTTCTTCTCTGGAGAAGGCTGGTTCGGCTGGGATGGGATTATGAGTCTGTCCCTCCAACCTTTCTTCTCTAGAGAAGGCTGGTTCGGTTGGAATGGGATTATGAGTCTGTTCCCCCAACCTCTCTTCCCTAGAGAAGGCTGGTTCGGTTGGAATGGGATTATGAGTCTGTCCTCTTAATCTCTCATTCGGCTGGGTATTATCAACCCTCGGTCCCAAAGGAACATTATCTGGGAAAGTTAGAGGAATCTTCCCCATATCTGTTTGGTTGAAAGTTGTGACGCTTGGAAACGTACTGTCAACGTACGTTGGCCCTGCAAACGTTGATCCTGGAAAAATCGCCTGAAAACGAGCAGGTGACACGGCTGGAAGCATGTTTGGATACAGGGTGAATCTGGAGAATGCCTGATCCACCATGTTCTGTATTAGATTTTGTTGTTCACGCAACATGTTCATTTGTTGCTCACGCAACATGTTCTGCATAACCAAAGTTTGCTGGTTGTTCATTTGTTGAACATAAGACAACCAATCGGTAGGTGGTGGGGGAATCTCCCCTGGATTTGGCATGACTGGTGGTGAAACACTCTCCCACCGGTGCTGATGATGATTGAGGTTGTGTGCCTGCCATATTGATTTTTCTGATGATTCGGCCAGACCTCAGTTGTATGACATTTTGTGTTGATGTAGGATCAGCAATCTTGCCTTGCTCCCACTGTGGTCGCCAATTTGTTGATGTAATTTTTCAACAAAAATAAAGTAAAATTCAAAGATATAGAAAATATCCTTAAACTTGATTAATTAGTGCCTGAGATTAGGAATCTCTAAACACTGTATGGTACAGAAAATAAACTGGAAATAAAAGACTGAAATTTAAAGTGGTGATCCCCAAATCTGACTTTGCTTTGTTGAAGTTGATTGAAGATGTCTTGCCAAATGATGATCCAAATCCTTAAATATTCTTTGAAGAAAACGTTCAGAACCGTCGTCTGGTCAGTTACCATAACCGTTGTTAATCGCCCCAAAAGTTCTCTTCTATTGACACGTGTGTCAACCGTTCTACTACGTCCGACCTTCAAAAAACCGTTCGCCAGTTGCAACTTCCTCTAACCGCCCCAGAACTGCTCTCTCACCCGACCTGCACATGCTACTTCACTTGGTCCGAACTTCGTATCACGTCCTGACCTCAATGCCCGACCTGCTTCTTCGCCCGACATCATTTGGGCCGACCTCCGCATCAGCCGCCCTCCGTCTTTGACCGACTTTAATTGGCCCGACCATGGACCAACCAAATGTGGTCCCTACCACGGACCAACCGACCGGCTCTATTTGCCTTATCTCTTTAGAAGGACAGACTGTCCTCTGGACAGACCTCCGCATCTGTCCGTACCTCTTCCTTGCCCGACCTTTCTCTTGACAAACCTTTGCGTCTGCCCGACTTCGTCTTTCACCCGATCTACGGTTTACCCGACTTGGGTACACCTTTTTTCAGACTCCGCCCGACCTTTCTTCCTTCCTGATCCTTGCATCTGTCCGATTGCACCCGACTTCTGGGTCATTTAACTTATATCCAGACCCGTCCAGAATCCCACTGCCATTATTTATTATTATTATTTTTTTTTGTGCTTAACAGTATCATTGTCGGAATGTCTTCTTTTGACTTTTTTATCATTCATAGAATCGATTGAATTTCTTGTGGCTGCATTGAATCCTACATCGATTACAAATGTCATCGTAACATGTTTTGCATTCTTAACCACAGAATCGAGCCGATGCGCAAAGAGCACTGAGCGCAAACGGGACGTGCATAAACGGTGTTCTCATCATTGGAGTGAAGCCGGTCGACCCGATGCAGCGCCAGGCCCTCCACGACCGACTCAACAATCAAGGCTTCATGACACTACCCCCTGCGCCCTCCAGCAGAAAACCAGAGTCGAATGGTTTCCGAGTCTCCCCTTATCCTTACAACCCCCAAAACGGCAGCTCCGGTGGTGGCGCCCGACAGTCCACCGGAACCATCGCCACGCCGGCAAAATCCGTGGTGTCCAAGGTTATGGACTTGATGTTCGGAGTCTAGCTTACAGGGTATGCGTGATTTGAACCCGACCCGTTTTGGTCATTTTTGTATGTGAAGCTTATTCAGGTGAAATCTGTTTGTATCGAAGATTAAATTTCGACTGTTGCATTACATTATAGTTATTGAGTAATAAGTTTTGAGTTTTATGCTGGTAAATCTCTTGTGAGCAGGTCCCGGGATCCGGGTGACCAATCGATGTTGTTATTCACGCTGGTTCTCGGGTCCTGGGAGTCTGCCTGGATATTTAGTTCTAGGGATGGGTACAGTATAGCAAAAATATCAAGATCATTATTTAGGAATATATTTTAATTTTGTAAATACATTTAGGAACAAAACTTGGGACTTTATTTTATCGATAATAATGTGTTGAATCTTGTAAGAAATTAACAAAACGGGCAGCATCCGGCGTTGCAAATCTTAACCGGACCGGAATCCATCATTCGGCGCCCGGATTTCTGCAAGCCGTTGCAGATGTTCTGCGACATCGTCGTCGTTGTCTCCATTTCTGTTGTGCTTGATGTTGTCGTGCTGTCAAGGCCGTGATTCTTCTACCGAATATACTGCAAATTGAATCATCGTCGGTATGTATTTCTGAAGTTTTAATTTAAAACCAATCGGTATTAAATGGAGTAATTTTCACCCTTATAAATAATAGGGCCTTCTCACGTTATCTTGGATAATTCAATGCTAGTCTCATCTAAAAATTTCAACCAAAATACTATTGTTCAATTGTGTTTTTTTTTTAGAACAAAATAAATATCATGTTAGAGATGTTATTTAAATAAAAAAACTCAAACTAATGCGAAACAAACCCAATTATTCTTTTGGTCCTACATAGGAAAACTTCTTATGATTTGGATTCAAAATTAAGTAGAAAAGGGAATAAGAGAAAGAAGTGGAAATCCAACAAAAACTAACCTTGGGAAAAAGAGTAGAGGCTAGAATAAAATAAATTTCGTTTTTAAGATTGATAAATAAAAGTTTCCTAATATACAGAATTTGCTTTATGCTCCTATTTAAGATAAAATTCAGTTTCGTTATCAGCTCTAACAAAAAAATAAAATAAAATAAAAATAATAATAAGATTAGTATTATAATTATAATAATAAGGGAAAAAGAAAATTACTAAATGGACTCACTTCCGGGGTTGGATGAGGTGTCAATGTCATTCCTCTTATTGATTTCTTCCTCGTACTTCTTCAACCTCTCTTCCCACATCTCCTGCAAATCCCAATTCGATGATGATAATGATAATAATAATAATAATAACAATAATAATTAGAGACCTTGTACTTGAGTTCGGCTCGGTGCATGAAATAGAATCCGAGGATCCCACCGAGAATCGTTCCTGAAATGATTCTTACATACCCTCGTCTTGCTGCCGTCATCGCCGATCAATTTAGGGTTTGATTGATTCCAAATGAAATGGAAGGATGAAGAAAGGAAGGCTGGTTGAGAGTGCCGCTGTATTAATTAGGGCTTACTTATTTACCTTTTGTTTATTAATTTAGCCCAATGGGCTTCGATTCTTCTGGGCCTCATTACATAAATAAAAATAATAATAGTAATAGTAATAGAACAGAGGAGAAGAGAGCGAGTGACGATGACACTGAAATTGATAAGATGGATAAGAGCCACACATGCATGTTCTTGATTGAATAATAAAATGGATGATGTTCTTCAACATATATGTATTAATACTACATATCTTCAGTAGAATTAAATAAATGGGAATGGGAACAATGCTGCTCCATCAACCCATTAACTACTGCTGCTGCTGCTACTACTACTCATCATCTTCATCATTTTCAAAACTCCACAAGTTCAATTCCAGTTTGAGTTTGAGTTCCAATTCCAAGAAAGCATGGAGAATTAGAGCAGCAGCAGGTGATGAAGCAGCAGACAAACAAAGTGCTGATGGTGCTGTTAATTTTGCCTTTGTTAGTGTGAGTGACTGTATTTAATTATAATTAATTTTTTTACCTATAGGCAGTCAGCTCAATGAATGAATGAATTGATTATTTATTTATAAATAAATAAATGATTTGAATATTGCAATGCAGTCAGTATTGTTCCCAGATGGAACGCCGGACGTGCAATACAGAAGGGCCTGCGGAGGCCAGAAGCTTAGGGACTTCATGCTCGATAACAATCTTGAATTGTACGGTCCTTATGTATGTATTCTATTCTACTCTCTCTCTCTCTCTCTCTATAGATACATATATATATATATATTTATATATTTATCTACCTATCTATATATGGTATGGTACTGTTGCAGTCTAGACCTTTGCTCAACTGTGCTGGAGGAGCAACTTGTGGGACTTGCATTGTTGAGGTATACATACATACATACATACATACATTTATAAGAGAAGATGTCTTTAATTATTAAATTTATATTATTAAACTAATTATAGAGCTAGATCAAACTAATTAATTAATTAAGATTGTACTAGTATATTGTTGATGATCATGAATTATAGTATAATAATAGGTCGTTGAAGGGAAGGAGCTATTGAGCCCTAAAAATGACAAAGAGAAAGAAAAGCTCAGGAAGGTACCCTACACCTATACTACCACTCCATTATTCATTTTAAAACTATTTGATTATTCATTTCAATTTTCATGCCATACTTTGTTGTTTTCATTACAACAATAATGCCAATAATAATTAATAACAATATAGCAACATATGATCTCATCTGATTACTACTGCTGCTGCTGATGAAGAAACCAAGAAACTGGAGACTTGCTTGTCAGGCCACTGTTGCAAAACCTCCTCATCATTCCACTGAAGGATCATTGGTAAATTAAAATAACACACCCATCTATATATATGTGACATACATTGATTAATTCAATTAAATAATTAATTACAGGTTGTGATCCAACAGCTCCCAGAATGGAAAGCCCATGATTGGGTCTACGGTAGGGAACCCCCACAAGATGAAGAAACTGTTTATGTCTGAATTTCTAATTACATTAATCTAATTTAATTTTATTTACCAACTTCATATCTCATTTCCTTTTTCTTCATTTATTTATATAATTCAACAGTAACTCTACCACAATGCATCATCGCACATAATGACACACACCATATGTACTTTACAAGCCGGCTACAGTGCAAGGCTGTAAAACACGTTGTGTATTGTCAAACATCACACAATATTATTAGAGATAATACAATATATGCATATATAATGTATGCATATAATCAGTACACACAACAGTTCAATTTAACACAAGTACTCTTATTCAGCACACAATATGTATTGGATGTAATAAAAATATATATATTGTTTGTATATGTTATGTTATATTTCATATTTTGATTCTATATTAATTTCAACCTAACAAATACATTTACACAACACACATACTTACCTTTATTTATCGTAATATATATTTATTTATATATATATATATATGCATCCATGCATATTGATAATTGATTCCCTTAAATAATCAAATTAAATAAAAACAGATTATGAAAAAGAAAAAAGGAAGAACAGCAACACTTCCTTCTGTTACTCCAGGAAAAATAAAAATAAAAAGCAGATAGCAATCAACGAACAAATCCAAAATAATTAAAATCAAATTAATTTGCTTACTTGATCAGAAGTCTGCAGCGAGCGGAGAGTGATCCTGGTGCATGTACACGTTGCCGTAGATGATCCCCGCCAGCCCACCGCCGATCATTGGCCCCACCCAGTAAATCCACATGCCGGAGAAATCCCCGCTGGCCAGCGCCGGCCCGAACGACCGCGCCGGATTCATCGATCCGCCGGAAAACGGGCCTGCCGCCAGGATATTCGCTCCGACGATGAATCCGATTGCGATCGGCGCAATAGTCCCCAACGAACCGTTCTTCGGATCCACCGCCGTCGCGTAGACGGTGTAGACCAGAGCAAATGTGATTATTATCTCCATAACCACTCCTTCAACCGCTCCGACTCCGGCGCCCAATCCGTGAGTCGGAATTGCCTGGATTTGAGGAGCAGAAATTAATTAGGTATTATGCTTCGCGAATCGAATAACATTTTCCCCAATCAGGTTAATTAGACTATCAAAAAGTGAAAATTAGGGAATATGTATAACGATTTGACTCACTGAAGCGCCGGTAACTACTTTGAGCACGAGCGAGGCGACGGCGGCGCCTAAAAGCTGCGCAATCCAGTAAAATATGCCGGTGAGGATCGTGATCTGTCCTCCGACTGCCAAACCGAAGGTCACGGCGGGGTTGACGTGTCCGCCGGATATGTTCGCTCCAACCGCAACCGCCACGAAGAGCGCGAGGCCATGGCAGATTGCGATCGCCACCAGTCCAGACGGATCGAGCGGCGCGTCATTTGTCAATTTGTCTGCGAAATCAAAAACCGCACCGCGCACAACAATCAAATTGATCACTCGTAAGTTAAGCAAAAATACACAAATCACCCACAACAACCGAATTGATCAATCGTAAAATTAAGCAAAAAAACATAAATCACGCACAACAATCGAATTGATCACTCGTAAAGCCAAAAAAACACAAATCATGCACAACAATCGAATGGATCACTCGTAAATTAAGCAAAAAAACACAAATCGTATGTGTATATATATATATACACACATATACTACTATTATATAATCGATCATATTTGTATATATAATTGAATTGAATTTAGTTACTGTAAGCAATGGCGGATCCGACGCCGGCGAAGACAAAGATCATAGTGGAGATGAACTCGGCGATGTAGGCTCTAATGGAAGCGGAGCTGAAGGAGTCATCAGCTCTCCCGAAAGCAATCGACGGCATTTTCAGATTTAAGAATGTTTCAAATCAACAATGAGCTTTGGCACGAGGAACCCAACCCTATCACTCCCTCTCCATATATATACTGACAAAATTCACATTATTATTATTATTATTATTATTACTATATATGTGAAGAAAAAAATTGTTGTGAGTAGTAATAAAAAACCAAAAATTTATGAACACACATAACAAAATATAATAATAATAATCTTTACTCAAATAAATTTTAATTAATGACGTAATATAGTAATGATGGAAACAATTTTTATTTTTATTATTATTATTTTTTTTTATCGATTTATATAAGGACTAGTTTCGAGACACACATAACTAATTTTGATTATTTCTAAGATTAGTTCATCGTAGTTAAAAATAATTATTAATTTATCTTGTGAGAGAAATATAATACACACATAATTAAAATAATTGTTGATTTATGTTGCAAAATACATTGCTTTTGAAATTTGACAGGTGAATTTTTATTTAAGTAATAATTTGTTGTAAAAGAAAAAAAATAATTATTTTTATAAGAAATTATGATGCTGAATAGTAACAAAATAAAAGTTAACCTTTATAAATATTAGCTAATAATGTTATCTTCATTTGATCAACCATAGGATTTATTGAATATAGATAATTTAATTTAATCTACAATTTTACATCTTCATACGTGTGTTTTTTGAATTTTAGGAATAATACAAAATATTTTATTAATTATTGAAAATGGTAAAAATGTTTTGAGAAATTATAATATTGTTTGAATAGAGTAGTTTTTATTATTTTTTTAAAATTTTGTAATAAAAAATTAAAAATACATTTCTATTAAGAAATATAAATAATGTTATGATTATTGGAAATATATGGTATATAAGATAAAAAATAAAATAAAATTGTATATAAATTGTTAATTTGGTTAGTGATTTGTTCTTAAGAAATAGTTTGAATTACAAAAAAAAATATATAAAATATGAATTATAAAAATTAAAAAAAAAATGATTAAATGTACAGCCATGATACGAAAAGTTAAGATGATAGTACTTAATTTTAAAGGGCAATAAAATAATGTGAATGTTCGAGAACCATCAATATATTATTTTGTTTAATAGAAATAATATTCTCGTGAATCTGTCACAGGTTACATTCCCCAGCAATAAATCACTGGCGGTAATAAAATATTACTATAATACTGTAACATATTTTAATTAGATTTTTAAAAATTAATTAATTAATTATATTAATGCAAACGAAGACTAATGTAAGGTTTTGTACTTTTGTTTAGTTTGTGTTTTAAATAAATATATTATATTTTTTAAAAAAAAAAAAAAATTGTTCATTCAACACTTTTCTTAAATTTTCATAAATATTATAAAAACTATACTTCCATCCTCATTTTACGTTATTATATTAATATTAAAAATATTTTTATATTTTTATAATATTTTTGCACAAACGTCATTGTAATAGTATCACAAGACACTAATAAAAGTTTTTTTAATTATTTTTTAATTTGTATTACGTTTTCATATACTCTCTCCCTCCCAAAACTATAATATGGGTTGTGTTTGACACAAGAGTTAAAGAATACTGATATTATATTGGAGTGGGTAAAAAATATGGGTAAAATTTTTTTTGCCCTTGTGAGTTTATTAGTGTAAAAACTAGTGGCAATTGTGTAATAATAATGAAAAAATAAGGGTAGTTTTATAGTGATATAATTATTTATGAAAATAAAACTATTGTTTTGGAACGGTTAAAAATAGTAAACATGACTATTGTAATTGAGACGGAGAGAATAATAATTAATATTAAAAAATCAACACGTAAAAAGTAAAAGAAAGCCTAAAATCGGAAGGAGGTAGTATTTTATGTATAATTATTTGTAAAATAATATATATTTCAACAAATTTGGAGTTCAAATAGTGAATTGAATTTGAAAGTTTCGTGTGTTCTTTTTTCTAATTATCAATACAATTCTTTATTATTCGTGTAAAATAAAAAATTCAAACAAAAAAAAACAAAGCAAACCCTTATTAGTATTTTTTGTTAATATAATATTTGATTTTTTTTTCCAAAAAATATAAAATTTAAATAAAAAATAAAAAATGCACAAATTTTATTTATATTTTATAAAATAAAATATTTAATTATTATTTAAATCTAAAATTAAAATTAAAAACAACCAAAAAGCATCATTAAATGCAACAGTAAATAATGACTGACAGAAGCTAGCTAAGCCAAACAAACAAACTAGCCGTTAATCACCTCTTTAAATGTAGCCATGGTAGCTCAAATTCATTACTCTCCAAAAACCAACACAAACCATTTTACTACAGTACAGTACAGTACAGCTGCCTGCACTAAATCCCCCCACCAACCCCCACGACACCCTCACCCAATCTTACGACGAAATCGTCCAAAATTTTAAAGAATACGCGGAAAATATACGTTATTTCCGTAGACAAAGACAAAACAAAATGTTTGATTTTTATAAAACAGAATCGATCGATAATATACGCGTACGGCTTGTCGCCCTATTGCCGCCTTTTTCATTTTTCCGGCATTGCGCCGGCGATAAGTACACGAGAGTTACCTTAAGTACAAACAACCTTAAAAGATTTGTCGTAATTAATGGATAGCCTTTCCGAGCTACCTCATCGATCTTTTTTAAGTAGATCTAACGGTGTAGATTAACTGTTCATTTTTGTTTCGAATGGATTCCTTCGATCGAGAAAGATTCGACAAGAGTTTGCCCAGAGGATTCTCGTTCGACGATGACGATGACGACAACGACGAAGATTCTCGAATTGCGTCCGCGAGAATCTCGTGTTTGTCGGCAGCGTCGTGGAGACACTCGCCGATTGGTGTTTCTGCCGTCGCCGCCGCCGTCGCTTCGCCTTCGCGAACTCTTGCTTATCATTGCGTCGTGTCGTTGCATCACAGCGAAGGTGATATACATTCGATAACGGTAACTAAAGACTTCATTTTTACAGGGTCGTCGAGCGATAAAATCCGCGTGTGGCGGCAGCCCGACTGCGCCGAGATGAGTCGAATGAAATGCGCGCGCGGCGAGATTCGCGCGATCTTGGCCAACGGGAGGCTACTATTTACGACGCACGGCGATCGGAGAGTGCGGGTGTGGGAATTCTCGGGATTTCCGATGAAAAAGTCGATGACTCTGCCGAAAAAAAGATCGTTCTTCTTCGGGTACAATAAGAACAATAACAACAACAAAAACAACAACGATCGGCACAGAGATTCGATCTCATGCCTCGCATACAACAACAACGAGAAGCTTTTGTTCACCGGGTCGTGGGATCGAACAATTCGCGTGTGGCGAATAACCGAGAAGCGATGCATCGATTCGTTCGTCGCGCACGAAGGTCGCGTAACCGCTATCGCGATCGACGAAGACAACGGTAGTGTGTTCACGTGCTCATCAGACGGAACTGTGAAAGTGTGGAGGCGTCTAACAAAAGAGAGCTGTCATATTCTTACAATGGTACTAAAGTTCCACCACTCGTCAATCAACGCGTTGGCGTTAAGCCGGGCGAGCAACGTTTGTTTTTTATACTCAGGATCGTCCGACGGGCTAATAAATTTTTGGGCGAAGGAGTCGAATTCGGGGAGATACAATCACGGCGGGTTCTTACAAGGCCATCATTTCGCGATCCTATGTTTAGACACGACGGACGACTTGATCCTTAGCGGCTCCGAGGATGCGACGATACGGATATGGAGACGAGACAACAGCCAATCGTGCCACACGAGTCTTGCCGTGATCGACGGTCATCACGGGCCTGTTAAATGCTTAGCTGCAGCTCGACAAAATGTCGAGAGAAACGACGAAAACGAGATTTTGTTGGTGTATAGCGCCAGCCTCGATCGAACTCTCAAGGTATGGCGAGTTAGAGTAATGCACGACGTCGAGAAGGCGAATTGGGAGGGATCGAAGGATCGCGATGATCTGTTCGACAATACGACGGTTGACATTAGCCCGGTGCTATCGCCTTCATGGGTACAGAAGAAGATTCAGGTTAGCTAGAGATTTGTAAACATAAGGAAGATCTACAAAGAATATCCTTTTCTGGGACTTTAAAAGGTTAATCTGAAACATGTCGAAACATTTGCTGTAGTAGCGAGACATGGAACTTTTCCAGGGTGTGATTGTTTTGGGAATTTTGGAGGATTTATATTATTTTTTCGACTTTTATTTATTTATTTTTAAATGTATGCACTATCAATTTTATATGATTTAAAAACTGCAAAAAGCATGCTGTGTTTGTCCGTGAGTTTGGAATTTTGGGAATAGTGAAAATTAAAAATTGAATTTGAATAGTTATTATTTTATTGATATAAATAGACGGTGAAGTGATGATTTGAATATAAAATAAATTTATAATATAATATTAAAAAAATTATTTAATTTGATATTTTTAAAAAAATAGTAAAATCTTATGTTAAAACTTATAAAAAAAAACAACTATAGAGTTTTTGTTTTCTGAATTGAATAAAATATTCTAAAAATTGCAAGAAATTATATATATATATATTATTCTCTCTCCCTTAATTTTTAAAGCTTTCACATTTTCATTTCTATGTATTCAATTGAAAAATATACATTTTTTTTATAATAATTATAAGTTACAATACTTTTATTTTTACATTTATTTACAATTATACAAATATTTTTTTAGTACGAGTACAACTGCATACTAACAATTACTATTAAAAATACTAATATTCTTTAATTCGTCTAATAAAGACTAAATGATCTACTAGCATTGCATCAAACAATTGCTCTAATTCAAAATTTTTAGTATTAAAAATCAAATTCCAAAACAAAAACCAATTTTGCATCATTATCCACAAGCATATAAGAACAGCTACATCATTCTGACTGATACTAATTTTTCGATACACCGATATACCGATTATCGTAATCTATCAATATTAACGGTACAAGAACTCTCAGCAACCTCTCCAGGTTGATCAATTCGAAAAAGGAATCATAGAACAACGGTGGTAATAGCCATTCTCATCGTAGACGAACCGCTGAGAAAGATGAGCTTCTCGAATAACATACTCACCCCATTCGTAAGAACCGTGTCGTTCAAAAATGCCTCTGGCGTCGAAAGAGTCGACCCATCTCTTCCCTCTTGCTCTAAACAAAAGGAGTTATTAAAGGAGAATGGAAGGAAAACATTGTTACCTCGACTACTTGCTTATTGACATTACAATGTATTAATATAGACGAGTAGTTTAGTTATACCTTTTCCGGAAGCGCCCATTCATAAGTGTCGCATGCAACTACAAAATAAAGAAAGAAAAGATCGACCAAAATTACAACTCAAAAATCGAATTCTTCTTGAGAAAAAAAAAGTTGGGTTTGACATCAAAAAAGTATTATAAAAGAATCCAACAATGGAAACAATACTTGATTAGTCAACAATATATAAATTTCTCCGATCAAAAAAAAAAAAAAAAAAACCAATATAACAATACATAGATGCTACAATTAGGTAATTGCAAAATTCGGTAAGATTTAAATTCAAAATGCTACAATTTGTGCACTTTCACAAATAACCATGCATCGTATTGCATAAAAAGACACTATTTTCTTTCACAAAACTTTTTAGAAATAATAAAAATAAATAATTTCATAATACTTATATAATTTTCAATAACTAGCAACGAAAACTCCAGAAATTCCTAAACACTAAAGAACACAACCTAATATGATGCCTATATGCCAAGTAAAAACGAGTCTCCGAGCCGTGAAAAACGATTAAGATAAAAAAAGGTACCTTCAGCTTTTGTTGGGCATCACTTTCTTCGACCAAGCCAGCTTCGACAAATGCTTTAATGATGACATCTAAGTATGTACTAAGGAAAAACTACAACGAATTATCAAATGTAATAAGAGTTTTGAAAAAACAAAATCTCATGTAAAAATCACGGAAGTTTCCATAAGGTAAGACGGAATCAGTGAAATAAGGATACCACAAGCACGCAAGAGACGTCCCTTGCCACCAACTTCTTCTACGGGAGCATAAACAACACGAGCCTTGGTCACAGAACCTTTCATGCATTCCTGCAGGAGAGAACGATACAAACAAGAGTTAAGAGAAATCGTGCAATACGACTTGTTACAGTTTTTCATCCTTTCTAACTATACCATGTCGAAAACTATATAGTCCAATTGTGATATATTTTAGCACTTAATAGAGCTTCACCTATGTGAATTTTATGAGGAGTTGTTAACGAGACGAATCGAGCCGAGTTAAATTTTTTATATTTGAGCTCAGCTCATTAAATAATTTTTATTTTTATTTTATATGTGTTCGGCTCAATTCAATTAATAATATTTATTAATAAAATTGTGTAAAAATGAAATTAAGTATAATATTATAAATAAGTATATATAATTACTAAATATAAAGATATTAATTTAATTTTTAACAAGTACTAACGAGTTAAGTCTGTGTTTGTGTTTGTGTTCGGCTCGTTTAGCTTAAAGAAGTAGCTTTTTAAAAGTTCAAACAAACCAAACCGAGTGGAGCTCGGGAACAATTCCATTTGTTTTACAACTCTAATTTTATCTTTGCGTTCGTGTTTGTGTTGCAGTAAAAATTAGAAAGGTCAAGTAAAATTATGTGGAAAAGGGAATCTTACCAGGCCCTTAAGTTTGATGGAAACAGGTCGATTCTCTAAAGCTTCAATAACCTTCGACGAAACATTCTACAAAGCAGGAACAATGCTATTGTGAATATAAACCCGTCAAACTGTAAATGATTTTGTTAAAAGTAAATTTACCTGTAGAACTTCCGCAGCTGTTTTAACCCGTTCCTTATCCCACAACTTCAGCATCAATACGGTTAGGTGCAAAGTTTTTGGGTTGATAAATACGGACTTTTCAACCCCCGAATCTGCAAGTTGAAAAACTCATCACCATAGATGCAAGAAAATTTACAGAATACAAAAAAAATGATTTCAATTCTCCAATAAACGGTGATTTAATTCGTAATAACATAGAGTTTAGTTTAATTGAAAACAAACGAGAAGGAATATGTGCTTTGTTTGTGCACACCATTGTTATTGCTATTGCTTTTCATTTTTATCCCCATTTGTATCGCTATCTGGATACTCACTTTCATCTAATCCTTCGATGCCGAGGATTTCATTCTGAAAACTGACGAGTTTGTCAAGCAGTCCAGAATGAAAAGCTAAAGGGAGTGAAACAAAGTGAGAGAAGTCTTCTCGACTTTTAGCCGCCTGATGGAAATACAAACATTCATTAATCAGAGTTTAATCATTTACGATTGCAATCCACAATCCAAGTTTATAAGAAAATAAAACATGAAGATACTTGTATTAAAAAGGATACATAACAGGAATGCTAAATAATAGAAGATACTAAATCGATTTAGGTGGAATGATTATAAGTAAAACGTTTAGAAATTCACAGATACACGAATCCCTGATCATTAACTTGCAACGGAACATATAGAAATGATTCAATCAATATCTTTTATAAATAAAAAGCAACTAACTAAGTGTAGTCTGAAATGAAACAGATGCATCAACAGATAATGAATGAGTGTTTCTCAGTAACCTTTGCATATGACGATGTAGCTCTGCCGCTAGCTTTCTCAATCAAAACTTCAGGTCGGTTGCCTCCGCCTGTGGATGTCGAAACATTTGAAGAAACGGCTTCATGCACCTCTCCAGGTCGGTTTTGTCGATCCGTGGTTCTATTATCACCTGTTTCACATCCTCCACCATATAAAGTAACAAATCGACAAGAAAATTCATTTGATTACAGTGGTTAGCACTATCTAATTACCGAAACAGAGTGATGAAACTAAGCAAGCTAATGAAACCTCAATATAGACATAATTGGAACACTATAACACAAAAGATACAAGAGAAACCTCATATGTTGATACAACTCCATCTCTCATTATATATATATACATATATATATGTGTGTGACTGTGTGTACTAATAAACCCTAATCAATCCTGATAATTCCATTTTTCTTACAGATAAAGAGATAATACTACAAATTATTTGTGTCGATACAACTTCCATCGCTCTCTCTGTGTATATATATATATATATATATATATCAAAAGAAATGCATTACCTTCACTGTTTAAAGAAGCTTGAGTTGATACTGCCTTCCATACTTGCTTTGCGGTTCTTTGCATTTTTCCACAGAAATCAATTTTCTTTCCGCTTCTATCCATTATCAATCGGTAGCTCAAACCACGGGGATATTTAAATATCTGAGACAGATCAACACAAAAAATCTGAAATAAATATACAAAGTGAATTCAGTCAACATCCACTGATTGAACCATATTTACAAACCTGTGAGCAGCACGAAATGTCAAACCTCGCACCGTTAATAGCAGGAAAGTTTCCTCTGCCAAAAGCAACTGCTAAGATTGTAATTGTTCAATTAGGAATTCAATCCGAATCGAAGTGTATCCATTCAGAAATACCTGAAGATAGAACTGCAGGCTAGCATCGCTGGCTCTCCGCATATATGTATCTTGAGAATAAGACTAGTAGCTGCCGCCAATCAAGAAAAATTGGAGATTCCTGCAGCTTTGTTGAATTGGTACCGCCGTGGAAAACCTAACCTAGAATTTGGGAAAAACCGTGAAAAGTACAGAGAATCGAAGAATTTTCTCAGTACAGAAAAAAATGTGATTTTCTAATTTCAAACTTAAAACTATTTAAATCAATTTCAATCCAAAATTCCAAACTACATTTACACTGCATCCACCAAATACATTCTAGAAAACAGAAACAACAAAGAAAACACAGTAAATTTTACCTGTGGCCTGTAGCTTATGAGAGTTTTCTTACTTAGAACAAAGATGCTGCAAGTGCAATCTTATGACCTCTGCATTGTCAAGTAAATATCACTTCATTAAAAATTAAAAAGTATCTTATTAAATAATTATTTTTTATAAAAATATTCATTTTTCGTCACTGTGTGTATTTTGCGGGTGGGGTTCTGTCTTATCAAAAGAACCATAAAATAACTTATTATAAAAGTTTTTTATATATGAAAAATTACGAGAGTAAAAGCATAAGGTCGATATGTCCGAGTGGTTAAGGAGACAGACTCGAAATCTGTTGGGCTCTGCCTGCGCAGGTTCGAATCCTGCTGTCGACGATAATTTTTTTATGTTTTTTAGTATTTATATTTTGGGTTGGGTTACTCAATTATGGGCTAGTGGCGCTCTCTTTATGGGCCGGCCCACTTTTACAAGCCCGTTTATCTAGGCCCATTTATAGGTCTGACCCAGCCATTCACCGATAGGCCCGGTATAGACTTAGCTGATAAATAGAGCCGAACACACTTATATTAATGGTCAGCCAATGTATTTATATTAAATAATTGATTTATATTAAACAATTTTATTTATCATTAATTTTGATTATTTTTAATTTAACAAATAATAAACAAATTTTTCATTTTTTCAGTGATCTTATGATTATTTTTTTTTGCTTCATTTATGCACAATTTATTTATAATAAATAAGTTTATTCATCCACACTTTATTATTTCTAATTCAAGAAATAATAATTAATTTTTTATTATTTTTTTATTTATTGCTTCATATTTTATAAATTCATAATACATGCTAAAATTAATAATAAGGTCAATCTAATGCATTTATATTATATTATTATAAACAATATATTACATATTTATTTGGTATATATTGTCTAAGCGGAATTACACTGAAGCTAGAAGGGTGAGTTGATCCCAACCCTTAAAATATATGTATTTTTTTTTTTGTAAAAATTAATAAAATTATGTATTTTATAGTAATTTGCTCCTTCTAATTTTTTTATTTTATAATGTAAAAAAATCATATTTATACTTTTAGTTTCAAAATTTTATTTTTTATAGTAAAAAAATATTAAATTTTTATGTAATTTTATTGATCAACTGATCTAGGTTCTGGATCCTCGTCATTTTCCATTAGATCAAGTGCTATATTATATGCAAAAGCATTATCCATAATTGTATCACTTCGGTTTCAATGCTTTCCAGTAGTAACATAATTTATTGAATTTTCAATAATTTCATTCTCTTCAAAAGAAATTCTATTAGGATTAACATCCTCATTAAGTTTATCAGGATCAATTTCTCTAGAAATCTGATCCATGTTACTATCTGTTTCTTGAGGATTTTGATTTAACATTCAAATCTTCAATCCTTTCATTTGTTCCTCTTTTCTTTCGAGGATTTTTATTTTTGGAACCTACAGGTCTTCCACGCTTTAGGCGTACATTTGATTCATTAGCACTTTGTATTTTGTCTCCAGGAATAACAATTTTAGCAGGTACATTTTCAGCAGCTATATAAGATCTAGTGACCCTGCTGGTGTCACAAAAAGCATCAGGCAACTAATTTGCTATTCGCTGCAAATGTAAAATTCTTTGTACATCTAATTCACTTTGACTTGTATGAGGATCAAGAAAATTGAATGGTATTTTCCAAGTAATTTCCTTTTTCAGTTGATCAGTTTCTCCCCTTAATACCGGGAAATGCGACTCGTCAAAATGACAATCAACAAAACGAGCCGTAAACGAATCACCAGTTAATGGTTCAAGATATTTAATGATAGATGGTGATTCGTACCCGATATATATCTCCAATCTTCGTTGGGGGCCCATTTTTGTACGTTGGGGTGGTGCAATTGGCACATAAACCGCGCACCCAAAAGTTTTCAAATGTGAAATATTAGACTTTTCATTGTACACTAATTGTACTGGGGAGTAGCTATGATAGTTTGTTGGTCTTAATTTTATCAGTATTGTTGCATGCATAATTGCATATCCCCAAGCAGATACGGGAAGTTTGGATTTCATTAGCATAGGTCTTGCAATTAATTCCAGCATTTTTATAAGTGATTCAGCTAGACCATTTTGAGTATGTACACGAGGTACAAGATGTTCAATGTCAATTCCAATATACATGCAATAATCATCAAAAGTCTTAGATGAAAATTCACCAGCATTATCAAGACGAATTTTCTTTATTGGGTGATCTGGAAACTGAGCTCGTAATCTAATTATTTGAGCAAGCAACCTCGCAAATGCCAAATTGCGGGCAGATAATAAACACACATGCAACCATCTAGTAGATGCATCGATAAGTACCATAAAATATCGAAATGGTCCGCATGGTGGATCTAAAGGTCCACATATATCACTATCACCTGAATTCGCTCTAAACATGAAGGAGATTTAGTTCTCACTTTTGTCGGTGATGGTCTAGTTATTAACTTCCCTTTTGAGCAAGCAACACATATAAACTTATTTGTATTTAATACCCTTTGATCTTACAAGTTATGACCATTGATATTTTCAATAATTCGTCTCATCATAGTATTACCAGGATGCCCAAACTAGTCATGCCAAATGCTCATTTGATCGGACACATATTTTAAGAAAAATAGATAAAAAAAAAAAAAAAAAATCTTTTACTTTTTTTGGTAAAAAAAAAAGTAGTAAAAATGATTTTTTTATTTTTTTATTTTTTACTAAAAAAGAAGTGAGAATATATTTGAATGACAAAAAAAAATAAATATTGAAGGTTATAATAGAATTGGATGAAAAAAGAGATGGAGTATTATAGTATTATCTTTTAAATTTTGCACCAAAAATAAACATAGATTCCAATGCGAAAAAGAGAAAGTATATTTTTATTTTTATATTATATTATAATTTAATATATAAAACTATCACATCAACCACACTTATTTATATCACATTAAAATATAAAATTTTATTATACCAGAGTTCAAACTAACTCTAAAATGTATGATCAAATAATCTATTAAATTAATTTTCGTTGTAATAAAAATAAAATAAAAATAATAGTAATAGAGATACTTTCGATCATTTAAACTCTTTTTTAAAAAAATAAAAATAAAAAAAAAAATGTGTAGTCAAATGGACTTAAAGAAGTAATAATAAGATATATATTTGATTTGTTGTCAATGATATCATTCGCGCAACGTGATGGTAGCTAATATCTGGGAAATTTGTTCACTTTGTTGTTTTTTTTTTTTTGTTTTCATATATAAATATTCTTTTTACATTAAATATAAAAATTATATTTTGTATTAAACTATTAATTAATTTATAAATAATATATATTAATTTTTTTTAAATAATATTTTATAGTAAATCGTGGAAAAAAAACTCTCATACGGACAAAGCCCTTAAAAACCATTATTACAACGCTACTTCAACCTCATTATCATATTATATCAATATTCAATTCAATAAATAAAATAATTAAATAAACATGACTGACTGACTGACTCACTCACCCACTTTTCCTCTTGCCTTCTAAACCTTACATTCAGTCAGCCTTCTCTTCAGATCCTTTTTGTTCACCTGAACACACAACACAAATGCAACACTTTATTGAAATTTTTTCAAAATAATAAGAACTCAAGTATTCCATGCAATTTTATTATTATTATTATTTTTTTATAAATATTATCGTTGATAAATAGTGCCAAAAGTTTCTAAGTAGAAAAATAAAAGGAATAGTTCGTCGACCTTTCCCATGGCATTTCGAGGCAGCGACTCCCATATCAACAGCTGAGTCGGAATCTGAAGAACACAACATCGATCTTTCAGAGTCGAGCACGACAAATAAATAAAAAAAAAAACAAACAAACAATCGCAATACCTTATACGGGGCGAGCTTCTCTTTAGCCCATGTCGAAAGTTCTAGAAGAGTCAGGACAGGCTTCACCTCCTCGTCCCGTTTTCTTTTTACCTCCTCGTCGGGAACAACTATAGCCGTCACGGCCTCCCCATAATCCTTGTCCGGTAAGCCCAACACGCAGCATTCTGAAATGGCCGGATGCTGAAAAACGAGAAAATCATCGACTCATATTACTTCTCCAACGAATAAAATGAAAAAAAAAATAAATCAAAAGCTCGTCTTATCTTATAGCTACTGTATTCTAACCTCTAAAAGAACTGCTTCGATTTCTAGCGCGGATAATTTGTAGCCGCCAACCTTCATGATATCAGCATTAGTACCTACAACACGCCAATTACGTAATTACAAAGTATTTAAGATCAAAAAGGCTTCTGAGGATTAAAGAAAGCGCGCTTACGCCCCAAAATGACATAGTATCCATCTTCGTCGATTCTAACAGCATCTCCGGTTTTGAAGAATCCGCCGTCGATAAATGAATCCTTAGTAACCTGGCAATCGATCATCAACGAATTTCAATAGTCTATCGAACTACAAGGAAAAAAAGATGATATAAATACGGGTGTTTGTTTGTGAGTTTTGAGTTCAGATTTTTTTAATAGTATAAAGTTGAATTTGAATAGTTGTTTGATGTCAGATATTGATGTTATATTTTGAATGTAAAATAGATTTACAGTATAATATAAAAAAAATAAAATTATTTGATTTGATATTTTTGAAAAATAAAAAATAAAAAATATATGAATAATAAAAATATGTGGTTAAAACCACAAATTCGAGCAGAAGTAAAAGAATAAATACCTCTGGAAGCTTCCAATATTCCCTAAACAACGACGGGCTTCTAATGCAAAGCTCACCAATCTCAGCATTCCCATCGCCGTTACCATCTTCCGGAAGGATTTTCGCCTTTTTAGATGGATAAAATTCAAAATTTCGGGTTAGCATTTAATGTTTAACGCTATCGTGTTGAAACGCAAAATACTAACCTCCACACCGGGAAGAGGTTTGCCGACTGTGCCCCCCTTCCTCTTTCCTTTTAACGGATTTGATATAGCCATGATGAACTAGAAACAAGAAAAAACGTTAACATAATCGAGAAAAACTTCATAGGAATCGTCGATCAGAGTCGGGACACTAACCTCGGACATGCCATATCGTTCCAAAAGAATGTGCCCCGTAATAGCTTCCCACTGTTGCATAACCGGAAGAGGAAGAGCCGAGGAGCCGCTCATCTGAAAATTGAAACCGTCGTTGCTCAAAAGGTTGACATAAACACCGAAAGAATCAAACAAGATCGAATTTTTACAATCAAATCACCATGAGTCGAAGCTGACGAGCAGCTTCAGCAGAAGCATACTGTGATTCGGAATCCATAGCGCTGTATCCTTGAATTAAACGAGTATACATTGTAGGAACCTACGGAAGCGACGAAAAAGTGGTTAAAACATCAACTATTTATTCCAAGAAATTTCTACGTTTGTTGCCGTCGTAACAAAGATACAATTTCTAGTGCAAAAAATGGCTTACCCCTGTGAATACAGATATAGCATCATCGGATTTATTTCCATCGATCGGGTAGGATTCTCGCCATCTTTGCCAGATTCCCCTCACGCTGAATTTTGGCATGAATTCAACCTTTTCAGAAAAAAAAAAAAAGAAACGGGAATAAATAATAATACCAAAACTTGAACCTCTAAACATAGATTTGCAGGCGAAAACTAGAATTCGAAGAAGTTACCGATGAACCCGCATAAAGAGGAGCAAGGAGAGCATTATAAAGACCGTGCACATGTACGATGAAGTTAAGGTTGACAAATCTCTAAGCATGTAATAATCATCTAACGATAAGGGGAGCAAGACAATAATTTAAAAACGAAGTCTAATATAGAACCGTATAGATGGATATGATGTAATGGCAGGCAATGCAAGAACCGATCTGCGGACGAGTATTCCCAGGCCTCTGTCAGCATTTGAGCCTGAAATCAAAATAATCAAAAATTGTGAGCTGAAAAAATGACAAATCGAACTTCATGACAAAGGATAAAACCCACTACCTGCGCTAAAACACCTTTATGTGTGTGCACAACTCCTTTTGGCTTCCCGGTTGTGCCGCTCGTGTATATAATCAATGCAGGATCATCCCCTGATTCAAGGAATTAAAATATAAACAGTAAAAATCTACCGTTGCGTCCTTTTGTGGATTTTATCAGAGATTTTTATTATTCAGATTATTTTTTTCCTCCAAAAATATCAGCTCAAACAATTATTTTTATTTTTCTATATTATACTATAAATCAATTTTACATTTAAAACATCGTATCGATATCTATTTATATCATATCAAATCACTATTCAAATTCAACTTTTTACTATTCAAAAATCCAAACCCACAAACAAACACACCTCGATTCATAGATAGATCTACGAGCAAAGCATACCACTTATTCCACCAAGAATCTCGGTTTCTTGAGAACATCCATTGTCGTGTGAATCCCCATTCCTATCGTTATGCTGATCTTCAGTCGACATTGAATTTAAATCACGAACTGCGGGGAGAAGAGTCATATGAGCAGAAGTCTTAAGAGCAACATCTCTCATAAGATCTTGATGCTCTTCAGTCGAAAGAATCACAGAAATATCCTACACGAGCATCGGATTCTGCATATTAAGCACTAAAACAAACAACATAATAGATACAGAAAAATAAACATGAACGATATACAAACCGAATCATTAATCACGTGCAGCAACTCTGCTTCCGGGTAGCTAAGTGCGAGAGGGACTGCAACGCCCCCGCTAAACCATGTCCCGAGAATTCCAGCAACAAATTCGGGCGAAGGTTTCGCCACAATTCCTACCCTAGCTCCATCAAGGTGTTTATTTCTTCCAGCTCCATTGCCCTAAAACACAAATTGTTCTGACATATGATTATTTTCATCGTCTTTTGTTTTCTCTACAGGTTATCAATGTGACTATCTTCAACATGTGTAAAGAAAGTGGACAAAGCGCTTCGACTTACAACTTTTAAATCAACGTTGAACAACAAATTTGCAATCCTCTTCGCCGACACGATCAGCTGATGATAGCTGTAACATTTTTTATCAGCTCTTATGGCAATACTCTCCGGAGATTTGGATCCTCGAAGTGAGACAGCATTAACGAGCTCCATAAGTAGGCTATTATGCTTATCTACAAATTTAGATCAGAAAATCGAATCAATACACAAGGTTACAACACCAGAGAAGTTTAAGAACACAAAATTTATTCGAGTATAAAAAAAAAAATCACACCCGATATCTACATGATAACTGCACTTAAAACACAGCACCTCAACAATCAACGAAACTAATAAGGGGCTAAACATTTGAGGCCATGTTTACATAGACATTTTTCAAACTTTTGTACTATTCATAATGGTAAATTTTCAAAAAACATTACATCAAATACTTTCTTTTTTCCTTGCAAACATCATATACATTTCTCAATTTTTTACTACTTCCAAAACAAAACGGAGCCAAAATTTTACATTCCCATATGGTTTAGGATCACTCACACACGAAATTAATGCTCTATTTACCTACACAATTTCAGAAATTTTGACACTATTCATCAACAGTAACTTTTTCAAACCAAAAATCAAATCAAATGTTAACTTTGTCTCATAGAACATCTCATCAAATACTACTTTCTACTATTAGTAAAATTTTACTTCGATCTAAACGTAGTAGTTTTCAAGAGTAACTTGTCTTTGCAAACACCATTTTCAAGAAGCTAAAGCATAATTCTCACACCACAAGACACATCTTGGATTCATATTGTAATAACAATGGATCATCTTAAGATAAGTTAGAATCAAGAATTATTTCCAAAACATGAGTTTAAAACAGCCTGAAAGATCCAGCATAAGTCCTCAAATGGCTATTACTGATCAAGCTTCAACCCTAGCTTCAAAAATGGAGCAGCAATTTTGATCTCTGTGAACAATTTTTTCTAAAATTAATTATCAAAAGCTCAATCAACAGAAATTAATCAAAAAAATCAATCACTTTCATTGCATTCAATCATTTCAAAAAATGGTGGAAAACCACAATCCTCCAAACTAAAGCCTCTCTCACAACAATGATTCAGATTCAGGGCCCATGGCGGATTCCGATTCACCACAAACTAAAGACAAAAAAACCCTAAAATCATATTCACAAAGCACAAAAGCTCAACCTAATTTCTCTCACTATCCATGTCCAGAAAAAAAGCAGAAAATCTTACCGGCGGCGAATAGACGAGTTTGATGGCAAGAGACGGTAGCTGCGAGAGAAAACAGAGACGAGGATTGCAGAAACCTCGAGACAAAATTGGAGGAAGTGCAAGAGAGAAAATACGGCAAGTAATTGAATCTGACCATGCGAGTAGGCGACAGGCTTTCCATTAAATAGACATACGCGGAATACAGTGGGCGGGGCAGGAAATTAGGTGCGATTGTAATCTGAAATTGAATTGTATTTTGGTGGTATGGTGTCCCACGGACTAGAAATGTTGAGAAGGATTGATGATGGTGGCAGGTGGGGGTTAGATTGTTACGTGCATTCAATCACATGACTGAAAACGGTCGAAGGCGGCGGTGAGTAGGTTGCGTCGTGAACTTTTGTTAAGGTGAGCGTTGTTGGGGTCCCTCCGCTTTGGAGACCCCGCCGCCATTGTTGTTGGCTCTTTAAGGTCCGAAAAGCCAGATTATAGGGGCGTAGAATGTCTGGACCTCTGGTCCATTTTTTTTATATACTTACTCCCTTATATTGCACTGAATTTTGAGTGTATTAACAAAAAATAATTATATTTTAAAATTAAAATAATTAAATAATTTAATTAAAATAAAAAAATTTAAAATTTAAAATATAATTAAAATTTATAAAACAATTTATGTGAGGCAGATATATATGAAAATAATGAACAAATTAAGTGTAACAAGGGAATACTATATTTTTATGTTTTACTAATTATTTATATGTTTTTCAAATTTATTCAAGTTTTTATTTTCATCTAAATTTATTTAATTTTTTAGTAAAAATACATTATTTTTTTATCAAAAATTATTTTTATCTAATTTTTTTAAAATCCATCTACTCAAATGAGTACAACGAAGGAGGTAATATATAATTTAAAATAGAAATAAATAAATAATGTGCTTAGTTATGATTTTAAGTTAAAATTTAAATTGTATTTTAAATTTATTATATTGTAAACAAAAATATTTATTTAAGAATAATTATATGGTAAAAAAAAAGTTAAATTAATACATTGTTTAAAAAATTTATTTTATTTTTAGCTTGAATTATATAGCACTGTCATGTTAGATAAAATCATATTTTGAATTTTAAAAAAATGTAGCCGTAGATGTGACAAGTAAGACCGTATGTACTATGGGTATGGTTTTTTTTTTTTTTTTTTTTTATGGATTTGAAAATATTTTAATTTGAATTTGATATTGAAATAATATATAAAAAATATATATATATTTTTTAAAAAATACACCATTCAAATAGTACAAACCTGAGTTTTGTATCAAAATAAACGAATTCTAAATTGCTCTTGAAAGCATATTAATAATTTCAAATCAAATATAAAAATTATTTTATTATTTATATAAGAATCACATCTAGTAAATTAAAAAACAAATCTGTTGATTATGGACTAAAGAAAACAATTAAATTAAAATCCAATTCATTATATACATCATCCAATATAATTTTTTATATAATTGAAGTATATCTATATAATTCAATATTATATTCTATAAATGTATATAGAAGTGTGGACGGGTTTATATATTTTATTGCTGAGGTAGGTGAGTGCATGTGTCTTATTAATATGATTATTATTATTATTATTTTATTTTTATTATTGTTGGATTCAGGATATGTATGGGCAGAGGCTGACCTGTTCAGAGCAACCAAAGTCATTATTATATGTCAATTTAAATATATTTTGCAACTTTTCTTCTTTCTTTTTATTTATTTATCTTTTTGTTACATATCTTTTGGCAGTGGGTAATTAAATATATGTGCAACTTGATTCACTATTATAGATTAACTAGTGGTAAAAAACAATATTAAAAATTAAGGAACAAAAGTAAATCAATTCCAAGACACTAAACATTACATATGATATGATGGAGAAAGCAAAAAGATTTATATCATTCAATTTTCAATAAAATACATTATTTTTTTCTAACAAAAAACAACTCAAAATAAAATAAATATATAAAAAAAAAACCCAATCACAAACATTAAATCAAAATCCAATTTCCTAATGTTGAACCACTACTTATTTATTCAACAAGTTCATAAAATGCCCACATTCTTGAATGTTTTTATTGCCACAAAACATATGAAATGAAAGAAAGAGAGAATTGGAAGGGCTCTTTACTTGGACATGGCTTGAGGTTGAGGAGCTTTGTTCATCTGCTCTGTCCCATACTGCATCATCTCCTGCTGTTTAGCAAGAATGCCATTCCATCCTGCATGAAACCCATCTCCGTTCTATTAGTCTCGAGTTCACCAGTAAATATATATATATTTTTTTTGTACTTAGGGGTGTCAATTAATGTTTTTGAATCTTGTTTATGTTGAGTTGAGCCAGGGTAACAAAAAAGCTGTCAATTGGAACCTGAAATTTGACCTGAAACCTTAGACCCGAACACGACACAAATTCTTTCAAGTCGGATTCAGGTTAACTTGAAATAATTTCAGGTCACCTGAAACCTGAACAAACCCGACACGAAAAAGACTCGAAAATTTAAAAAAAAAAAAAAAAAAAATTAACCCAAAAAAAATTTTCATTTGTATTTTATTTTTTTATATTATTTTATATTTAAAATAATAATAATAAACAATTTCAGATTAACCCAAAATACGAAATCCGAAACCTAACCTAATTTTTATATTTCGGGTTATTAGGTCAACTCGAAACACGACCGTACACGACACAAAATTTTTCTTTTCGGGTTCGGGTCGATTCGATTTTTTGCAAACCCAAAATACGCAAACTCGAACCTGAAAAATTTCAGGTCGAACATGTATTGATTTTTCGGGTTGGGTTTAATTTTGACACCCCTATTTGTACTCTTATTTTCATAATAATACAATTTTATCATTTTTCTACAAAATCTAATATGTTATAAGAGCCTCATATCTCGAGTTCGAGTCCCATCATTGCCCATTGTCATTTAGTTTGGTGACGTCTATCCCCTTGCCAGTGAAGGAACATGTTGGTTGACTCCCATTTGTAGATAAATAAATAAATAATGTGTATCCTAAAAACTTAAATTTTTAGGCAAAACACTCATTCCCTGAACAAAAAATTACGTGTAAAATGGCCAATCGGATAATTCGATACCTAGTGCAGGATCGAGCTGTCGGCTCTTGAGCTCGCGAAACTCTTGGCAGAGTGAACAGAAGGGACAGAAGAAGTGAGAGACAGCGTCATCGTATGGAGCTTCGACTAGACCAAACTTTCTCCTCAGTTTCGACCGATATTTCGATCCAATGTAGCAGTTGAAGCAAACGATCATCGTCAGCATGTACACGACACTCCCGGAGGTGCAATCTGTGTTCGGAGAAGTAAAATTTTCGATTCTTGTTTGTTAGATTGTTTGAAAATAGATAGCTTACTTAGCTTAGATGACCCCTGGGATGGCTCGATGGCGTCCATGACTTCAGCTATTTGTCCGAATGCCACACACGGGAAAAATGCGGTCATCACGGCTACATGAAAGGGAGATAGAATTAGAACGGTAAAAAAAACAAACATATCTCGGATAAGCTGAATATAACGTCTCCCGACTATGTTAAATGACCATGGTTCGTAGAGGACCGATGCAATTAAGGATGACAATGGGTCAAGTATAAATAGACCAAGACCTTACCATATGTATATTACTAGATCAAAAACCCTACCCAGACCCTAATGTACTCCTAATGTACCAGACCCTATCCGTGATGTATCTGCCAGACCCGCCAAATTCAAAAAATTCAATACAAGTTTGACTCAACAAATTACTAAAAAAAAAAGTAAATATATTAAATATATATATGTACAACAGATATAATTTTCACTAATAGCGCCTTTTAACACCTCCGCCCCACCACCACTAAAAATAAAATTGAAAATGAAAACTAAAGATAGAAAAAATAATAAAATTTATTATTTTAATCAATTGGATTCAGGTCTGGTCCTAGTTGGATCTACTATTAAACCCTAGACCTGACCCAACCCTCAAAAATTTATTAAAACCCCAACTTACACCCAACCAAACATCCAAATAATTGAACCCGACCTCAAATAAATGGATTGTCATCCATAAATGCAGCTCTTGTTGTTAAATTACCATTACTAATAGTTACATACAAATCTTGTACTGGGACTATGACCAAAGAGAGGGGAGGGGGGCGGTGGGACTCAAACCCAGAACATTCCAACTTGGTAAATTGACAAATTCACCTTAAAATTTAAATTTAAGGGTTTCAAATCATTAATTATTCTATATATAAACCAACACTTACAAACTGAGTAGAGGTATCTTGACAGGTTTGTACGTGCCAGGAGATTTATTTAAACATCAAATGACGAGGCAACTAGTTCGATTGTGAAATCAGCTGAGACGAAGAAAATTGTACCATTAGTAGGATCGTTGTGGCAGTCGAACAATCCACTGTTCCATGATCTTCCGACAGATAGAGATGGAGCCGTTGCGACATTTTGAGGATAAGAACCAACCACATTATGACCAGGACTTGGGGATTCAGATGGCTCAGAAACTTGGATTCTACCCATTATGTCCTCAAGATTTCACAAGAGTTCAACCCTGTTTAAAGATAAACAACAAATATGAAACGCTGCAGCTTTAGTCGTGAAGATCGAACCATGCTTTAGATAAGGTTTTCATAATATAAGCATAGTTGACCTAGAGAATGTCAACAGAGTTGGTTAATTTACTTCTAAAGTCAATGAATCAATAGTCAATTTATAATGTGCAATAGGCAATAAAGAAGAGAATAAGATAACCTTTCCAAGCAACTTGCCTTTGAGATTGTCAGCACTGTAAAAATCGAAGGAAATAACCGTAATAATACACCAACAAGGAACAGACACATGGTAAAGAACATTGGGAAGAGCTACCCAGTGTTAGAAATATACACTATTGCATATATGTGGAATTTGCCTAGCAATGTAAAGAGAAGAAGTGCATGAATGGAAAAAGTGCTTAAACGAGACCCGTAAAATGATAAAAAACTTACCGATCGAAGTACAAATAATACAGCATTGTTCTCCTCCTGCAGGGAAGATTGGAGTCTTCGAGCAACAAGAAAATCAGTTCCACAGCATGGAACATTGTTTTCCATCTTACAGTATTTTCTAATAACAAAATTAATCCTGTGTTTAAAGAAGAATCTCAATGTCAAGACTGCGATAGTGTTTATCAATGATATATAATTCGACGTTCTTAAGATATACAAGCAAGCATTTCACCGAACACCATACCTTCTCCAACCAATAGCTTCAGCACAATGTTGTAGCTTTTGATTCTGAAGAAATCCAACCAGAAAAGACTCCATAATGCAAAAATCAGCAGATTCATGTTTATATACCATCTTAAACTCTATGATTCTCTTTCCATTTATTCAAAACATTTCATAGAAGTGAAGATCCAATTCTTGCAGCTACAAAAAGAACTTGAACTGAACTTAGGGCTGATTTAGATTAATAAACCTCTCAAGTTAGAGAGAAGAGACCCTATGCAAGTAACATGTAATGATAACAATTTTTTTTTTCCAAAATAAATAATAAAATTAGATATGAATTGATCCTTGTGGTCTTTCACTACTCAACCACAAAAGCAATTCATACATCATACTGTACTGAAATTTCTATAGGAACACACATAAAGTGGAAGAATGAAACAATATGCCTACTTAACGTTTAACTAAAGAGGAATGAAATATCATCATACTAAGGCAAAACTTTTTACTTCATTAAATTATTTTCGATTGAAGCAAATCAAACAGCTGGAAGAAGTGCAATCTCAATTTCTTGCAACGATTTTCCTTTGGTTTCCACAACGTTCTTCTTTGTAAAGGCCACTGCAGTCAAGCAGAAGCAGCCAAAGATTGCATACAAAATTTGAGACCCCAGTAGCTCCAAGAGGGGCAGAAATAGTAACCCGACAAAGAAATTAACCACCTGAGCAGATAATCAAATCAGAGGATGATACTTCTATTTAAACACACATGCATAAAAAGAAATCTTAGACATATTATCAAGTAAATGAAAATCTACATCAAAGAATTCAGATAGGGGACACACAGGACAAGCTTGAAATTGATTTTTGTGATGGCATGGAATTCCATGATAAAAATTAGAAATGCCAAGTTCACTTACCCAATGTACAGCCATGCAGAAAGCCATTGCCTTAGCCCTGATTCGGCTTGGAAGTATCTCTGATAGGAGGAGGCCAGGGACAGGGCCAGCGCCTAAAGAAAAGGTCAGGACGACCCTGTATATAAAGAGAAAGAGATGTTATGGTATGGCATACAGAGCAAACCTAGGTAATGGCTTCTCAGAAGAAAAAAAAAAAAAATAGAAAGAGGTTTTGTGTAATTGAAATTAATCTAAAAACATAACATTGTTCCTTGATAAATTCTCAGTGGATGTTCGGAGTAAATGATGAGTTAACCAGAAACTATTGCTATCAGCTTCTAGCAATAGTTTCCATGGCCGAGTTGCTTGAGATACTCACAACAGCATCCCGATGATGGATAAATACATCCTAACAGAACCAGGTAAAATGTCACTTCCTGCAATTACTTGCAAACTGAGAGCAACTGCCTGAACAATGAAGCATTCAAAATATAATCATGGATGCAATAAAAGAGTTTTAGTTGAATGCATGAAATGGAGCTATCCATGTAGTGCAAACGTTTGTCAGTTCTGGGAAAAGATTACTTGCCATGCCCAAAAAACTCCACATGAGAAGCAGTTTTCTTCCCAATCTATCCATCAGAATCATTGCAACAACAGATCCTGAAGAATTAACAAGGATCGAAACTAGCTATATATATATATATAAAGTATCAAGATATTTGCAAAATAAGATGTATGTGGTACTGCAACCACATTACCTGATGTGTTCACCAGTCCTATGCATACATTTCCAATATCCGAAGGTACTCCAGCACTTCTGAAAACAGTTGAAGAGAAGTAAAAGATGGCGTTTATGCCAGATAGTTGTTGTAATGCAAACAGGGTGGCCCCGCTGAACACCACTGCCAAATAAAACAATAATGATGATTATTTTATATAAAAATATTATGTGCTCACAATACAGACAATCCATGAAAAATATCTACCATTAAAATGACGGCCATGGAGCAATTCTGAGAATTTGACTGCCTCCACTTCCTCGCCTTTGTCAGATTTCGATAGCTCTTGCACTGCAGATTTAACATGAGACGCTCCAAGAAGCCTCTCGAATTCCTCTTCAGCTTCAACAGTTCTTCCTCTCTGGACCAATCAGAAGAAATCTAACTGAGCTCAGAACAGACAATCCAAGCCTAATGATGATCATTGCCTAATCATTACCAACACAGCCAGTAGGCATTGTCAGATACTAAAACTCATGATTGGTTATAAACCTGATTAACAGTTAAAGCGAATACAAGTTCTTAAGTCACAGATCATTAAAAAAGAACACATTACATAAGAACAATCTAATATAAAGCAGAAAAGTAGAGGTGAAGGGTAAGGAGCACCTTGAAAAGCCAGTGTGGAGATTCTGCAGTGAACTCAACCAAGAAAGCAAGTAATGCAGCAGGAATGGCAGATATCCAAAAGCATACTCTCCACCTGCAAGAACAGTTCAAGTAAGCAACGGATCTCTTGCATACTACCACAAAAGTGAGGGTGTATTCTACTGTTTGACTATATAAGAAGATATAGACAGCAAATCATTTTGTCTGGAACCATTTTATGCCTCTTACCAACGAGGAACCATTTTGGCTGGAATCCCAAAGAACAGAGCAGCCATGAGGCCAAGGCAGGTCGCAATCTGAATGAAGCTACCATAAGTGCCCCTCACCAACACTGGTGAAACCTGTACAAGTGGAGGGTGTGTTAAACAAACATTTAAACTAAAAATAAGATACACATCATTATATATCTATCTATGATTCAATTTTACAACAAGCCCCTGCAGGTTATTTCTTTCCACAAAAGCTTGCAAAAGCGACACAATTTTCCGAATGGATAATGGTAAGATTCAAAGAAGATGAAATGGTAGATAATCCTGTTCTGAAAATAGAAGTCAGCTTTTAACATTTTCAAAAGAGTGTCTGCATCATTTATACAAATCATACCTCAGATACATACAAAGATGCCACAGGAGGACCAAGGCCCATACCAGTTCCAACTAAGAACCTTCCAAGAAGCATACCCTCTAGTCCACTTGTTGTTGCACTGTAAATTGCAAAGTAAAAGAGCAAAACTAGATCACTAGATAAATTGTCTAATTCCATTCATTGATAATCCCATGGAAAGCAATGATTTCCTCCATCAAAAAATGCACTTAAAGAATTCAAATTGGAGAAAGTTAACCTCATGGAAGCACCAACTACCATTGGTAGAGCACATAACTGGAATGCTCTCCTACGGCCAAGTCCATCAGCTATCGAACCGCTGAATATACAACCAATAAAAGCACCTCCTAAGCATATACTCACCACCAAACCTTCAGATCACAATAGGACTCTCATCAAGTAAAGATTCAACAAATCATAAGCTAAAAACATTTCAAATGGGAGCAGAGCACCTTCCGCCAAAGTACTACCAGCAAAGCCAAGGTCAAGAGATATGCTCTCCAATGTATCATTAACAACCCTGAAAATGTCCAAGAAAATACCTAATCTTAGATAAGTCTTCTGTTTCACCTTAACAGCAACCAAAGAGGAAAAATATCAAAAGAGATCAGTCACACCCTAGATGATAGCCAAATAAGAATGATGTCAGAGTTGCCACCACAACATGAGGCAAGGGACGCTTCCATGAAGGATTCCCAGCATCTTTCCACGATCCATTTTGTAACAACCTGTCTGAAATTCCACAATACAGTGTCATAATGCCATTCAATACCATATCCATCTATACAAGCCACAATCATTTGAATTAATAGAGGTGAACAGTAGGCCATTGTAAATGCATTGTAAATATCCATACCAATTAAACAGCCATAGTCGAAATAAACACAAAATGCTCATTGATAATGTGGTACCTAAATTTTTACCTCTATCAACATCACTCTCACTATCACTGTCACTGATATGATCTTTCGTAAATCCACGCTTATACATGGAGACGATTTCTTGCGTTTCTTGATTATGCCGTAGACATTGAATCCGAATCTGCAGAAACAATTATCATTCAATGAAACCGCGACCAAACTCCACAAATTTTTTCAAAACAATTCGCTCGCGCAGGGAAATAAAATCTCCATGAAATAAACTAAATCCAAATCCAAATCCAAATCCAACAGCAGCAGCAGCTCGGCATCCGATCATCCGTGTTTCCAAAATCAACGTAATTTCAACACACGCACCATCCAATCTTAACTCATGTACAGCTCCACATGCAGAGCACGAATATTCACGTATAATCATACCTAAACACGCTCTCCAGTTTCTTATAAAGCACAATATCATTTACATTACCTCTCAATGCAGGATGCAGAATGGGATCGATCGAGCAGAGAATCTGAAGCAGCGAAAAGCACGATGTCGGTTAAGGGGCGGCCTGAGCTGGGGGTTGTGGATGCCTTCGAGCGTATTATAGTGGAGAGTGGGTCGAGATGGAGCTCGCCGGCGCGTGAGGCAAAGACGCGGGTGGGGAGCGAGTCGGTCGTAAGCAAAATTTAAGGACGATGCGTTTGCACCTGTGCCACGTGGACGTTGTTCGAGAGGGCCCTGATCTGACGTGGCACGGTGCATTGGTCCGTCCCCCTTTCCGGTATATATTTATTTATTCATAAATTTGACTGAGTTGACCGTATTATATATTTTATTATTTTAATTCGTTTAAAGACAAAACATTACAAATTTTTATTTTAAATCTTTTTTTATAATGTAGGAACCGATCGCTACTCGAACGCCACCGGCCATCCTTGCGAAACTTTCTATTACGGGGTTGTATTTGTTCGAGGGTTTGGATTTTGAGTTAGGATTTGAATAATAAAAATTTTGAATTTAAATAGTTGTATGATATGATATAAATAGGTTTTGATGCGATGTTTTGAATGTAAAATTGATTTTTAATATAATATAAAAAATAAAAAATAAGTGTTTGATTTGATATTTTAGGGAAAAAAATAAGGATAAATAGTAAAAATTCAAACAAATCCCTCGAACAAACACACCCTACAATTACAAAAACTATTTTAAAAATATTCTATTAAGTAATAACTTTTCTCTACTAGGCGGTGTGAATAGTAAACTTATAGATTCAAATCAGAAAAATAATATTATAAATATTTTTAAATTTATATTAATTATACGAAAATAATATCAATATAAACATATTTATAGAAAAAATATATGCCTTTAATTATCATTTAAATATAATATTTTTAATATCTCTTATGAAAACTTCTAATGGGCTCTTTTATGTTTTGATAATTTGATATATGAATATTTGTTTGATTTAACATTTTACATGAACACAAATATCATACCTTTTGTTTTTCTAAAAAAATCAAAAATAAAAAATCAAAGGTAATTAGTTCACGGAAGAGGAAAGTATACAAGTTTTCAGACCCGTTACATGTTAATATCTCATTTTCAAAATAAATCATTATCGGACCTAGTATTTTAAAATAATAATAATCTCTAAATAACTCAACAGTTCTATACCGTACCATGATTTTCAAGGTACAAAGGAAAAGTATAAATAAAAATAAAATCACAATTTACTATAACCAAACAGGGCATATACAACAACATAATGCATGAAATTACAGTTGTTGGGAGTGAGCAGAAGAAATATGTATCGAAGCATAACTTTTTTTCTTTTTTTTTTTCCTTCTCAAACTTAAATCACCGCAATGATATTCAAAAGACATGCCTGAAATTGATGTCACAGAACAATGCTCCATCAGGCAGCAGCCATGGATGAACTCAATCTTTGGATCTGTCAACATTAATGAATCAATCAACGGACATTGCAAATCGAAATAAAAATCATATAGATATACAAATATGAGTTCATGGGGTTATAAATGAGACCATACCTTGTTCACAAGCATGTTCACTTGCTCTCTGTACATTTCCTTCATATCGATTATGTCGGCACGAAGTTCTTCCAACTACACAAAACACACTTGTCAGCACTTGCAGGCGATACCGTGTGTGATTGTAAACAAAACAGCCTTACTTGGTCAGAATTGGAATGATTAATAACAGCACGGTACGTTTGCTAACTATAGAATCTATGGTACAACAACGAACTTCGTCGAATTTGGAGATGACATCAAGTTTCGGTTCCAATTACTGGCCGCAATTACACTGTGTTTGTCTTAAATTTGATTTAAGAAGTAAGGTTTAGATTCCAATATATGCCGTCATGGACTTTTCTTATCCTAAGATTTCACGACCTTCGAACCACCCTTGTAATAATAATTTCGCCCAACATCAAACAAACTCCACTTTGGTAAACTGTCTAGTAAAAACGTAATTTGGTTGTGCAATAGAAGGAAAAGCTGATGTACCTCTTCGTCTCGCTCTCCCATCAACTCTAGTGCTGCTGAATGCCTCCGTCTAAGTAATTCTAGTTCTGCTCGTATCCCCGGAAGTTCAGCAGCTTCTGCACGCAATTTTTCACACTGCACCATGTATAATTATATATCAATAAGCCTGTGGTCTTATTGAGAAATTATGAAAAGCATCGCCGTGGGGCTATTTGGGAAAATGTAAAGATGCACACATCTTATTTTGCTCAAATAATTTATTGATTTTCCAATATTGAAATAATATCTTCCTCTATGCTACGAACAATTTTAGTAGTTGGGGGAAAAAAAGGAGTAACCAAATGAATGCATTGCTGACAGAGAAAAATACGACTCACAAAACATCTCACCTGTGCAGTCATCTTAACCAACTCCTCGGCAAGTGAGTCGCGGATGGATTCCATAGATGCCTGGACAATGACAAAGTATAATTATAAGGATATTAGAAAACTTAGTTAGAAATGACTCTTGTTGCAGTCAAGAGTGTAAGTGACCCGACAGAATCAATTAAGGATGCAAGAATTGACAGTACAGAAAGGGGTAAATCGATTTACAAATTGCAGAAACAAACTCCAGAAGGAATTCATAGAATTGCAGAAGCAAACATACCAATCTGGACATGTAAGAAGCAAGTTCCCCCTCCTTTTGACGAAGGGCAGCCTCGAATGCATTTGATGTCATGCTCCTCATATAATATGGACTAAATGTACTCTCTGCTACACTTCTATGTTCAGATAAATTCTCAGATGATTCCAGCGTTGTTTGTAGAAAATAGCTTTCTTCCATACTGCTCACACTACTTGCACTTGAAAGCTTACGAGCTGAGCCTGTTAAAGTTCATTGTCAAGTGCATTGAGATTATACATGCAAAATAATTGCATGGGCTAACCAGTGAAATACCGTTCTCATATGAAGCTGACTTATGCCTCGTTAATGGGCTTTGATCAGGAGCAACAGGAGCCTGCAGCCGAGCAGCATTTTCCTGCTCCAATCGAGCAGCTTTTTCTCGCTCTAGATCCTGTTCAAATAGCAACCATTTTGTAAAATGGAAATTAATGAAACTCATGAGTTAATAGAAAATCCATGACAAGAAGAAATATAGGAAGAGAAGGGTGAATATTGTAGTTTCTCATGGCTATAGAGTATAGCCTACTACGTTAGTGCGGTCAGCACGTGAAGAATTTGTAGAAAAATATCTGATTTATAATTTTTTAGTCAAGATATCGTTATGGTACTGCATGGGATCGACCATATGCATCACATGTTTCCATTATGTTCGACCGGATCACATCACACATGTTCTCGTCTATATATAACATTTGATCAAGAAATTTCCTTTTTACTTATGTTTTCAAAACTGTTTTCTCACTATTTATCCAAAAAAAGAATTCTTTATAAAATAAATCAGATTCAAAACCTATATTTCATTTCAAAAAATTACAGAAAGTAGATTTGGCAATTTTACCTGTTGCAGAAGTTCCTGATGCATCCGTGCCTCTTGCAATTCTTCCTTGTGCTTTCTCTTTAGCTCCCTAATTTCTTCCTCTAATTGATGGGCACGACCTTCTTGAGTATCAGCTTCCTCCTTGAGAGCAAGATATTCCTGCCGGTGTTCTGATGCTCTTTGTCTCTCCTTTTCAAGAGATTTGGTTAGCTGTGTCTGCTCGGTTCTCAGGCAGGAGATCTGCAGTGCTTTCCTAGCGTAAGCAAAATATTGAAATGAACCATAGCATATAAACTAAGAGTACTAGCAGCAGGGAAGAAACCTGAGCTTCAAGAACATTTATACGAGATAAAGTTTGAGTTAATCGCTCATTAATGGACCGCTCCTTTTCCTCTGAAGCTGCAGCTTTGGCCTCAGCTTCCTGTTCATTATATCACGACAGTATTTGGATGCGAAAAGCTTGAAGCATGAAGACCAAAAAAAATAAAGTGTGTTATAAAAACCTGAAGTCGTGAGTTCAGAGATCTCTCAACAGCAGCCCAAGCTTCAGCTTTTCTAGCAGCTGTTTCCTGAAGCAAAAATTAGGTTAAGCATGCATACAAGTGTTATACATAAAGGACTAAGTAATTACTCAGTAGAACCTGCATAGCTTCAATTTGCCTTAAAAGAGGTCTGGTTGAGTCAGGAACTTGGCTTATTAACTCCTCGCACCTACGCTCACTTTCCTAGGGATAGTAGTTTCGGGTGAGATCACAGGTATTCATATCCTCTTCTTTCAATAAAAATCCAACCAACCTGATATCTCTTTTGAAGATCTTCAATGTCCCTACGGAGCATATCTTCTCTAAATACAGCCTGAAACAGAATGAATATATTGTCAAAGAAAAAATTTATGTGTGCATTAGTAACCCCCTTACTGCCATACACTCAGATATCTCACCTGCTGCTCCTTTCTGCTTAAAGTTTGCCTAAGTTCTTCAAGGGTCTGAACTAGCATACTTTCACGTTCTTCAGCTTCTCTAAGACGAGTTTCCACCTCAGTTCTTGCTTCAGTGTTAGCCCGTGCCTCAGCTAATGCTTCAGCTTCCTTTGCTGCATTCAGAGCATTTGTATAGTATTCTTTTTGAGCTGCAAGTTCATCTTGGTGTTTTTCTACTGTTTCTTGGAGCAACTTCTCGGTTTCTGCCTTGTCTCTTTTGACGCTCTCTACTTTATTCTCTTCAACCTAGTAGACACATCCATAAGTGTATCAATTCATATGAATAATATAAACATTAAACATAGAAAATGTTGAAAAATAAAAAAAAAAAAAGATGAAAGCAATGCACTTGTGATCAAGATTTTTAAGCTTGGATTAACTAAAGCAATAGCTTATCAAAACATTAAGTTGCAGCTATATAATACTACATCTAGCACTGCAGGCAAAAGACATACTAACAGTTATGTACATTCATATTGAAATCAGCTGTCATGAGAGAAGAAACATAATCAAGATAGGAACTAAATAGTGTTCTCCTCGTATATATAATTCAGTAGCACATGTTCTTTACCATCCACTGTATTAGGAATTACCATGTCAAATGCAACAAAGGTGTAGTGTACGCTTGTTCTCTTATGGCCTAGTTCTTACTTTTACTCTTATTATATGCATATGTTTTAAAAAATATGCTCCTTATCAAATTATTTCAATGGGATGGTGGCAACACAAGCAGTCCTATGCCCTGAGTCTAAATTTCACTGGTAATCAAATTCCAAAAGATGTAAATAAGTGAAACAACTGGCATGATAGGTAATAGATGATCAAGTTACAGCTAGTTTTTGTTAAATTAAACCCATGTACAAAAGAAAACTGACCTGGAGCTTTGTAAGCAATCCCTTCTTCTCTTCCTCAAGCTCTCTGATCTAGCTTTCAACAAAAAATGTTTCAAAAAAATGTCTAATGGCCATGACTTGTGTTAAGCATAACAGAAAGAATGTCAGTTTCAAAGATTAGAAACCGATACCAAATCAGCATACCTGTGCCCTTAACTTTCTTATCTGAGCCTCCTGAGCAGCTTGTTTTTTTGAGAGCTCTTCACCTGGAGATTATCGGATGAATGGTGAAATAATTCAAAACTATTTTGAAACTATTCAGGACAGGACTAAAAAAAAGCACCCAACACCCAAGAAAATGAAGGAAAGAAGAGAAAGGCCGAAGAACTGAATATCAACTATCTACTTATTAGCCATAATAAGCTGATCTATATTAATGAGAATCATCCAGTAACAATGCTTTAATTCATTCATAGATGTTATTTCTGCTGTCTGATATTCTACCATAATTGGAGTCATCCTTCACTGAGGAAACAAGTTCTAATTTTTATTTAACACGGAGAAACTTCCACCCCAGTTAAACATGTTAGATCAAGATTCATGGAACTTATTGACAGTGTTGTAACATAGCACTTCCCACCTTCAGCCATCACTTGGCTAATTATCTCATCCTTTTCCTTCAAAAGAGCGGCAGCATCACTTTTTTTACTCTGTTCCCTACGAAGTGTATCCCTTTCCTTAGTGAGAGCATACACCTAAAATATATACAAGGCAGGGAGAAAAATATATATTATAATATGAACGTCGAATATCAAGATAACCAGTAAACATGTCATTAGCTAGCTCAGGAGCATAAATAATGCTTCAAGACTATCGGTAATCTAAAAATATCACCATTGATAGTGTAAATAATTACAAGATGGATCAAGCATGTTCATTGCATCTGAAAGTAAAGAAGAAATAGATCTAAACATACCTTTCTCTCAAGTGTTGCCACCCTCTGATGATACTCCTCCCGTAGGGATTCAGTCTCACTTTCATTTGATTTTCTCTGAAAATTACTTAAAATAGTTTGTCATAACTTAGATATGACTACCTGCAGGCATATGCATTAAAACATATGCACATAACAACTTATAACGATGAAGCATTAACTCACCCTCAGATCATCAATCACTGCTTTTAGCTGCTCATTCTCATTCATTAACTTTGCAATCTCATCAGCCTTGGCCTGGCAGATAATATAAAAATCAGATTCATATTTGTTATAAATAAGAGTAATGGAAATTTTACGGCCCCTATGATTTAATAATGCAATACAAAGATATAACAGTGACTCTTCAAATGAATCAGGGAAAAATCGAATCTTTTAGAGCCATATGATGACCTACAGCTCCATGTTGCGACCATGTCAAAAGAGCTTTATACATCCAATAATAATTTGAGGAATAACTGAAATATCCCAGACTCCTGCGTATTATCTTTCCAATTAATCAAGTAGCAGCTTAACATTGAGAACAGGTAAATAGATGCATCTCTTCATTAGAATTCTTCTGCACTTGAAATGCCACAATTAATCCAACCACCTCACATTATAAAAACTTCGACCTAAACAGCAGCTATGTGTTTCACCTTAACAAACATTGCCTTTTGTTTTCTAGGTAACATTTCAAAATTATTTTATTTAGCATGCAATGCAATCATTTTGCAGTTACTATCTCATAAAGCCAATAATTTGCTGGATTAATACCTGAGCTTGCTTAGCAGCTCCCTGCAATGCAGTTTCCATCATTTTCATTTCCTTCTTCACTTTCTCCAATTCAACCATCGAACCAGTAATGTCTGGTGAATCTCTCATTGTGCTCACGTGTTGTTCTACAACAGTGCTATTATTGCCTGTCAGCTTCTTTTGGCCAATGGGATGAGAAATAGCATTCTCCTGATTTGCAACCAGATTAAATGTTGCTTCCAAGGCCTCCACTTCTTTAGTTTGTAAACTGGCCAAATTATCTCCAGAGCTATCTTCTGCATCTCCATGGGGATGATCAGGAGCCGATGGCTCTCTATTCTCATCATGGCCATCAGGTGATGACTCATACGGAGCTTGAGCTGGAAGTACTTCTATAGCTTCTTCTTCTGCTTTCTCTTCTTCTTTTTCTTTTTTGTCTTCATCCTGTTTATCTACAGCCTCTGGAAAATTAGTTTTGTCCTCTACCATAGGTTCAACATGATCGATATGACTAGTGGATTCCAGTTTAACCGACTCCAACGATGCAGGTGGTGCTTCGTCCAATCTCTCCCCTTCTATAAAATTACTTGCAGATTCAGTTTGCTCAACCAGAACCGGTTTTTGTTCAGCTGCTTCAACGGAATTTAATGGTGAAGCCACCTCAACTTCACTGTCGCCTGTAGAAACTTTATCTGGATCCCCACTGCCATCTCCAGTCTCCTCAGTTTTTTTCTCCACATCAGCCTTTCCATCTAAAATGTGTTCATTAGCTTTACTAGCTGAGCCATCATTCTCAACTCTTTCTTCTTCCTCTGCAGGAGACGGGGCCTCCGACAAATCAGGCTTTGCCAATGATTCAGACTCCTCTTCCCCATCTTTCTGCCCAATAAATCCCATAATGGGTTCAAACAATGCCCTCCTGTCTGTCGCCGAAGGCCATAACCCCGATGCTGTTAAGAAGAAACCATGGATTTATATCAAAACTGATAATCATAGCCCCAACACAATAGTTTTTTAACAAATCTGAAGAAAGGTATGCAAACATTAATTTCTATACAGAAGCTAGGAAATTATGAATTAGCTGCAACTCTTAATTAGCTAGCTGCATCATGATCTAGCCACAATCCTTGCATTTAATAAACAGCATGCCAAAGTATAACTGCGAGTTAACGATTAAATGAAGCTAGTGAATACAATTACTGAATTACAAATCTACTAAAGAACTATACCTTCCGTACCGCTCCCGGAACCACTCGGTTTCTCCTCAAATCCAAGTGCAGTATCGAAATTCTTCTCGATGCTCTTGACACTCTCGCTGAGCTTATTCACTGCCCCAGCCAAATCCGGGAAATTCCCTAGATTCCCCAAATTTACTTTCCCACTAAACCACGCCATTTATTCGATCACCTTACTTGATCCAGCACTCAGAACATCGCACTCGCTTCACCCAACACAGCGCGATCAACAATAATCACAGCTTCATCACCCGATCAATCCAGGTAAGAGTCCTAAACTACAAACGCCCAATCCAACCAATCAAATCCAGTCAGTCGAGAGAAGACTGCGGATTGCGAGATTCGCGGAATCTCCGACGGACACTGGATTGACGAACTAGATCGAACAGGGCGGACGCGGCGCGATCGTAGCTCAAAACGAGTGATTAGATGCAATTTGGGGTCGAATAGAAGTTGGGATCTGATGAACGGTGGCGGGTATTCGGGTACTACCGTCGGGTACGGATCAGCCCCATATTATAAATAAATTAATATAATAATAATTAATGGGTCTCTAACTTAAGGCCCAGCAATAAAAGTGGGCTTAAAATATTTTCCTTTTTTCTTTATGTACCACCATGTCGATAATTTACTTTTGATTTTTGCTTTTTTTTTTTTTAGTAGACCAAATTTAATAATATGCTTAATAGAGTTTTAAAATTTTGAAAAAACAAAATTTAAAAAAAAAATTAAAAAAAAATTATAAAGTTCTTGTTATTATTATTTTAGTTTGATTTTTATTTTTATTTATAATAATTATTTGATGTAGTATTTATAAAATAAAATAATAGTATCTCCGTCTCATGTACCATGTCCAGGTTGTCGCTTCTGTCTGTCACTTTTCTTTTTTGAAATGATTACACATTTTAATCTCATTTTAAATTTTTTAAAATTTTTTTAAAAAAAAATTAATTAAACTAATTAGTTATCTTAATCTTAATTTATAATTATATATATTAAAAAATAATTATTTTCACTAATACATTTTTAATTATATATTAATTACACTTATTCTAAAATACAGTGTCTACAGTGTAACAGGCACGGTACGTGGGACGGAGGTAGAATATTTTTATTTATAATTGTGGGTATCAAATGAATGATGAAAAACTTAAGCAATCTCAAGAAATATTTTTTCTAAAAATTCTGATAATTTTAGATATAGTTTTAGTTAAAAAGTAAAATAAAGATAATTTTGTCATTTTAAAAGTAATAATATAACTGTAAAATATAGATATTTTAAAAAATGAAAAAAAAAATTGAAAAAGTAATAATATAACTGTAAAATATAAATATTTTGAAAAATGGAAAAAAAAAATTGAAATTAATAGTTATAAAAAAAAAAATTATTTGTAATTGTACTACTATTTAAAATAAAAATATGTATACTTAGTACTAAGTATATATAATTAACTTATATAAATTTAATGTGTTTTTAAGGAAAAGGAAATTCATAAATAGTAGATTTTGGATTTTTTTAAAAAATAGAAAAATATAAAAAAAAATGAACAAACTTAGAGCTTTTAGTAAAATCATCTGCTTTTAAAAGTAATTAATATTAAAAAAAAAAGAAAAAAAAGATAGAAGCAGAAACAATGGTTTATTAATTTATTTTATTTATTTAAACTTTTGACGTAATACTTGTAAGAAAAAGTATTATATTTTTCTTAAAATGTCCAATGAAAAAAAATTGAAACAAAATAAGTAAATAAATATGTAATTATAAAATTGAACATATTGAAATGTTTTGAGTGAAATTGGGATAATTGTTAATTAAAGTTTGAAGATTAGAGTTTTGCTGTCATAATCACTGATGACGTTTGGTGTAATAATTATTACTCACTTGACAATAAATAAGATTTTAATTATTTATTGTTTGACACGTTGGCAGGTCATATATATATATATACACATTTTTAGGCTGATTTTTATATTTATTTTACAGAATACTACGCATAATATCAATAAAAATATTTAACTATTTTAAAATAATAAAATAAATATTGTTATGATTTTTTATAATTATTAACAATAAATTCATTTAATTTTTGTTAAATACTTAGGTTTAAATCTTTTTTATTTTTGACATTCATGGTATTGAAAAAGATAAAAAAAAAAATAATAAATATTTTTTACTTTAACAAATAAAAATGACAAAATAGCTATTTTTGAATTGGACTAAAGAAATACTCCCTTCGTCTATAAACTAACGTCCTATTTTTCTTATTGGAATGTCCAATAATTATTGTTCTTTTTTTATTTTTATACACAAAATTTACTATTTTACCTTTACTTTATTTACTCTTTTATTTTTTATATACAAGATTAAGGACAAATTTATCATTTTATAACAAAAACTCTAATTGCCTATGTATCAAGAACATTAGAAAATGGTTGGAGGAAGTATATAAACTACACAGCCTGATATCTATTATTATTATTGTTATTTAAATCAAACTTAAAATATAAATATTCTTTTTGTTTTTATCTTAAGACAATATATTATTTTTTTAGTAATAAATTGTAAAATAATAATATTTGTATTATCTAGTAAAAATATTTAGAAAAATTTATAATTTTTTATTATTATGTTTTGTATAAATTAATTATATATTTAATAAATTTATATAAAATCAATAATACTTTAATATTTTATATGCCATGATTTTATTATAATAAAAAATATATATATTTAAATATGATAGATGAAAATAATAATAAAAAGTACAATATATATATAGACAAGATAAGTAAATAAATACATATCCATATTTTCAAGAAACCTTATAAATTTGTGGTTAAAATTGGTTTTATTTAGTGGGCCTTTAAAAGGACAAAACTTTAAACTTCATGACCACAATGTGTCGGATTTTGTGGTCCAATGTATTAAAGAAAATTTAAACATTTTGTTTATTTGTGTATGAATGTAAATTTAAACTTTTAAAATTTATTACTTAAATAGTATTTAAATATTTTTTTCATCTCACTTTAATTTTAATTATAAGAATTTTCAATAGATATATAAATCTAGACAAAGATATTAGTAGTAAATAATTTAAAAATATTTTCATAAAAAATAATTATTGTAGAATATAAATAATTATAAATTAAAATTAAAATAACTAATTAATTTAATTAAAATTATAAATTATAAGTTATAAAATTTAAAATATTATTAAAATATATATTTATTTATTAAAGAAAAAGATAAATTATGTGAAATTGAGTGAGTCGTTTTATTTTATTTTATTTTATTTTTTTATTTTTTTTTGTGTGTGTGTTAAAACTCCACTTTAATTCAAACATTTAAGGCATGTTTGGTTTTGTGTTTTGATATTTTATTTTGATCTAAATAATAATTAATGTGATGTTTTTATAAGGTGTATTTGTTGTGTTTTGGTTTGAGAATTTTTTTTGTACGTAAAGAATAGACAATTGTAAATAATATAAAAATAATGATTGTGTAATATATTAATTATTTTTGAAGAAATGTGTATAAAATATTTTATAAAAGAATCAAACCCTTAATTTCAAAGCACATTTATATATATATATATATATTTATTTATATATTAATTAGGTGAAATAAGTGTTAGATTTTTGTTTATATTCATTTTTATTTTTTTAAAAATTAAATTCTTATAGATTTCAAACTTAAAATTCAAATCAAACAAACAATATGTTTCAAATAATAGATAAGTATTAAAAGAAAAAAAAAACTTTAATACCCAAAAAATCTATAATAATATTGGAAATTATTTTTTACTATATAAGATTAATATAATCAATTAATGAAATAACATGAATTTATTTAGAGATATTTTTTTTTTCAATTTTAAATAAAATTATGTATATAATATTTTATGAAAAAATACTTTTTTTTTTAAAAAAAAATATATCATTTATTATACAATATTTATTCATCAGTAAATTTATCAATACTTTAATAAATCACAATTAATTTATTATTTTTTAATAAAAAATTCATATTATTTTAAGTTCTTTTTTATTTAATATATTATTTATATTAAAATATCAGGTTATTTGTTTATTGTTTTTATTTGAATGTTTTTATATGCTAATGATGAAGAATAATTTTGGTAATATAAGTAATATTTTATGCTCTTATTAAACTTTGAATTTTGTAAGAAAATATTTTTAAAATTATTTATTTGACCGTCTAATCGTACAATTAATGCAATTTATTATAAAATGTGATATTATTAAGTTACTGTATATTACTCTATCTTTCCACCATAATTATGCCTCTGTTTTTTACATTATGAAATACATCATATTAGTAATTAATGCAGTAATGTATGAATATAATTAGGATATTACTTCAATTCTGTCATTAATATTTTATTATATATATATATATTAAATAACAATAATTTTGTTTGGATACCTTTTAATATTTTAACGAGCCACTCGCTATAAATATATTAGTGAAAATAATTTTAATTTTTTTTTAAAAAAATAAGAAATATAGACACTGTAAGTGAGACGGATGAAGTATAATAAAAATATAAATACAATATTATTACAGACAATACTTTGTATATGTTAATATAATACAAACACAGTTTATGAACTAACAACACATATTATAGTCGCATGCAATACATACAAAAGTTGTTTTAAACACGTGACATACTCTTATAAAATACATATATAATTATTGAAAAACAATACATATTTTTATTACACACGACATATGTTGTGCATAATAAAAATATATGTTGTTTGTATACATTATGGGTGCCGATTTGAAAAAATTCAACACCGTAATCATTCATATTTTAATGTGTTTTGTGTTTTAGTAAAATTTTAAATTAAAAAATTATTTAATTTATTTAGGTAGATTTTTTTACAATTTTAAAAAAACATTAAAAATAGTAATAAAATTAAATATTTCATATGAAATTTTTAAAAAATAAAAATTATTGAATAGTGCAATTCAAAAGTGTGCAAATAGTAAATAGTGTTTATAGTATGTTTTGAATAAAAAAATGTTTTGTTTGGAATATTATGTTTGAAATAGTAAAAATTTTAAATTGTTATAATTATTTGACGTTATATAAATAAATATTTGATATAATATTTTGAATAATTTTACTATTTATTCACTATATTAAATGAAAAATAAATACCTCATATAGTAAAAAAATAATTAAATTATGCAAATGAATAGTGAAACAAGATTATTATCACATATGATATATCATAACATTTATGGTAAATATTATTGTATTTTGACCCAAATAAATATAATACTTAATATTATAAGATTTTATACACAAATCTATTATGGAAATAAATTATAAACTTTATCTAAAATATTTAAGATATGCATGCATATTTTATTTGAATTTTTCTTAATTTTTATCATATAATTTTCTCATTTCAATAAGAATTTCATTTTATTTGCTAAAAATCTATCTGTTATTATTCCATATAAAAAACAATAAAAATAAAAATATCCATAGTACACACAAAAAAATGTATATATAAATATACCCTAACATTTTAAAATATGATATATATATATATAAACCTTATCGAAATAAATTTTAATATATATATTTTTTTGTGATATTATTTTTACTTTTATGTTGATATTTTTGAGATGATCCATAGCAATTTAATATAATATTTTGCATAAAAAATATTAATAAATATAATATTACTCCATTTTACATTTGTTATTCTGATTTTAGTTTTAGTTTCGGGTTTTGTATTAATTGAATATCAGTCCAAATAAATCAAAAATTTATTAGGGATGAATATTACGAAGTTTAAGAGTTATGAAAAATTTATTTATAATTTCGGACTGTAAAGTTCCGGTAAAATTTACTTTTAAACAAAACCCCAAACTTTATAGATATTCTTCAAAAAGCTGTTTAGAATAAAGTAATACCGGAAAATAACAAGATGTAAGCGCACATTGTAATAATACATGATGACAAAAATTTAATAAAGAACTATCTAAATAAATATTGATAAACCGAACAATGTGTGTTATTCTAAAATTTTATAAATTGTGTATTTTGATTTTTTTATTAAAAAATTAAAATTAAATTAAAATAATTATTTAATATTATATATATAATTTGTTTTGATATAAAATTATAAAGAAGATTAGTATAGGTAACTAGGAGGAATATTTCACACAATCAAGGGGGTGTTTGATTGTGTTCTTTTAAATAATATTATATTTATAAAAATAAAATATATAAGTGAACTAACCTTCTATAATATTTTTAAATAACATATAATAATTATTTTTTTTCAATATTAGGGTTCCTACCATTCTCCGAAATGCCTAAAAATGGAATGCGCACTAATACACTTGAAGTGGGGCCCGCTCAGTCCAAATACACGCATCTCTACGATATCTAACGGTCAACCTCTACCAGCAATTTTATCGACCGTATTTCATTTGAGAGGTCCGGGACTAGAGATCCAGAACGATCCAGGCCGTCCATTGTGGGCCCAGGGGCTTATTAAGATCTGCGGAATCATTCGCGAAGATCTGTCCCTTCCCCGGTTTTGTTTCATACCCTTAAATGAAAGAAACCCCACACATGTATATATATATATTTATGTATTTATGTATGTATATATATACGTATGTATGTGTGTGTATATAAGAAAAACCCCTAAAAAGTGAGTACAGTAACTGAAAAAGGAAAAAGGAAGAACGAAATGGCCAGATATTCTCTCTCGTCTCCGGCGCTATCACTCTCTCTCGTACTCCGATTTCTGCTTTTTGTGTTTTAGATTTCTGGATTTTTTTTATGAGGATTGTATTTGTATGTGGATTCCGACGATTTTTGTTTGTTTTTTTGGTGGTGATGGTGTTGTGTGTGTAGGCAGGTATATTCGGGGACGGAGGAAGCGCGGAAAGAGGGAGCGGTAGCGGAGGAGGTGTAAGCCTTAAGGAGGAAGCACTGGAGACAATCTACAGTGAGAATTCAGGTCTGGGGAAATCTCGTTCCGAAGATGATTGCGAAATTGTGGCGGAAGGTGAGCGCCGCAGCATTGATCAAATCGAGGACGACGACGACGAGAATAGCTTCGAGAACAGGAAGCGGAAGAGATATCACCGCCACACTCCCGAACAAATCCGCGTAATGGAAGCGTACGTTAGCCTATTTACCCTTTTTGCTTTTTTTTTTTCCCTTCGCTCTTTTGTTGTTGCCTGCGCGGAAAACGTGAACTGCAGAAAATACAGTATTAAATTAAATGTTTATCAATTTGCCTCAAGTTTTGATTCTGCCTTTTAGGGTTTTGGATTTGTCTCGATTGTGTCTTCTGAATTTCAAAGTAAAATTCACACGGAAGAATTTGTCAATTGGGGAAATTTATTCATCATCAGTTATCTAGCAGTTCATCCAAATCAAGTTCTATTCCGGAGCCAAATACAGGAAGACATTGTCACAGTTTGTAGTGTACCACCAGATTTTTATTAAAAAGGAGAAAAGAAAAAAAGCAAGCAAATACTATAAAAATTAGTATCGTTTAGCACGTTTTTCTTGATATGTAAAAGACAAAATAGTTTCACCTTTGTACGACTGTGACATTTAAGTATATAGTATTATATATAGTCTTTTTTTCTGGTGCAGACATGCAAGTGGGATATTTGTCCTCTCTGTCATTTCTTTTTGTGTGTATATATTCAAATGAATAATTTATTTATATACGTGCATACAACTGATATACACATGAAATTTCATACACGAACTGAATCGTGATACAGTTCAACTTAAGTTTTCATATACCCAATTGCTTTGATTATTTATGTGCAGGTTATTTAAGGAGTGTCCTCATCCAGATGAGAAGCAGAGGGTGCAGCTGAGCAATAAATTGGGGCTCAATCCTAGACAGGTCAAATTCTGGTTTCAAAACCGCAGAACACAAATCAAGGTATATCAGTGCACTTAGTTCATGAATCAAGCTATTTATAATCACAATATGTGTAGCTGTTGGCAACCAAACTAAATGAGATTGAGCTTTTGTATGCAAAAAAAAGAGAATGAAAGTTTTAGAACCTGATATATTTATTATATGCATGAAATATTTGCAATTATGATTATGCATATTTTTTATACAAATGGTTTATATATGTGTCTCTTTTGTATAGAATATATTCTCATGCTTGTGTGTGTGTGTGTGATGCATATATTTATAGGGATATCAGCACATGAAATAGAGAGTTGTATATCTTGTCTATGCAGGCAATACAGGAACGCCATGAAAACTCCATCTTGAAAACTGAAATCGAAAAGCTTCGTGAAGAAAACCAGGCTATGAGGGAAGTCATCAAGGGTGCAACTTGTCTGAGCTGCGGTGTTGCTACTTCCAACGACGATTCCATGACAAACAACGCTGATCATGAGCACAAGCTTAGAATTGAAAACGCTAGACTCAAAGCCGAGGTCTGGATCAAAACACTCCACAACCATTTCAAAATATATATCATACAATTTTTTCTTGTGTTTAGATTCATTTTTATGTACAGGTTGAGAAACTGAGGACAATTGTCGAAAATCATCCTCCTGGACTATCGCCGAAAGCTTCTTCACACTCATCAGGAACTGAGCTAGAAAGCAAAAGCTCATTAGATTTCCATGCTGGAAGTTTTGGCCTTGAGAAAACACGCATACTGGATGCTGCGAATCGAGCAATGGATGAACTTCACAAAATGGCCACTCATAAAGAACGACTATGGATTAAAAGTTATGAAACGGGGCGTGAAATACTAAACTATGATGAGTACATGAAAGAGTGTCTTGGCAACCACAACACCAGTGTAATGCAGGCGAAGAAATCCATAGAAGCATCGAGAGAAAGCGCAATCATCTTTGTTGATCTGCCATGGCTAATTCAGAGTTTTATGGATGCAGTGAGATTATTTACTTGAATAACACAATCTGGTATAATCTTTTTGATAAAGATCCAACGATGTGCTTTCATCATTTTTGCAGAATCAATGGAAAGAGTTGTTTCCTTGTCTGGTTTCAAAGGCCGCGACTTTAGATTTCATCTGCAACGGAGATGGCCCTAACAAACACGGTGCTGCACAGTTGGTATAACGCATATTACTCGAAACAAGTTCTTGAATTTGTTACCGTGCTTATAAGGTTTTGAATTCTTTTCAATTCTCTTAGATGTTTGCAGAGATCCAAATGCTGACCCCATTAGTACCCTCCCGAGAAGTGTATTTTGTTAGGTACTGCAAGCAACTGAGTGCCAATCAGTGGGGAATCGTCGACGTTTCCGTCGACAAGGTCGATGACAACATCGACGCATCTCTGTCGAAATGCAGAAAGAGACCATCTGGTTGCATCATAGAGGATAAATCCAATGGCCACTGTAAGGTTTGTGCAAGATTGAAAATTTATATCATCGCAGCCGTCCGTCTCAGAGCCGTATCTTGATTAAATCGAATTTTCAGGTGACGTGGGTCGAGCACTTGGAATGCCAAAAGAACACCGTTCATTCCCTTTACCGAACCATAGTTACAAGCGGATTAGCGTTCGGCGCAGAGCACTGGATTTCGACATTGCAGCAGCAGTGTGAAAGACTCGTATTCTTTGTCGCCACAAACATTCCGAACAACGATTCGAGCGGTATGAAATTTAGAACATCCTTTGCCAAAAACTATTAAATTAAAACGAATGTTCATCGACACAGGCGTTTCTACACTCGTCGCAAGAAAAAGCATTTTGAAACTGGCGCAGAGAATGACCTGTAACTTCTCCAGAGCTGTCGGAGCATCGAGCCATAACTCGTGGAGCAAGATCACCGGCAAAACCGGGGCTGAAGTCAGAGTGGCCTCCCGGAAGAACCTGAATGACCCGGGCGAGCCTCTCGGGACAATCTTGTCCGCAGTTTCTTGTGTCTGGTTCCCCGTTTCTCACAAGGTCCTCTTCGACTTCCTGAGAGACGAAAATCGAAGAAAGGAGGTAAACAATCGGTTCGGAAAATCATCCTTTAGCTGCAACCGATTGTGTTTAATTCGTTCTTTTACCTTTTGCATCAACTTCAGTGGGACATAATGTCGATCGGATTCACCATGAAGTCCGTCGTCAACCTCGCCAAAGGCCAGGATCACGGGAATGCAGTCACCGCCATGGTTAGTCCCCTCCGCCCTTTAAACAAATTGAGTAGTTTGCTCGATCCGGTTCGTTAACACTCGGCTTGCGGATGGCTCGATTGAACTCATTAATAATATTATTTTTTTATTATTTTATATATTAATTTATAAATTAAAAATATATAATTCAAGTCGAACTTGAACGTTACGTGTCGAGCTCGAACAACATATATTCGAGTTTATCCGGCTTGTTTAACAGTTCTACTTCAAACTCTTCTCTCGAATGCAATGCAGGCGACGACAACAGCCGACAACGCGCACAGCTCGTGGATGCTGCAAGATAGCTCGACGAACGCGTTCCAATCGATGGTGGTCTACTCGTGCGTTGACAGCAACGGGATGCAGTCTGTGATGTCCGGCTGCGACTCCAGCAACATCACAGTTCTTCCATCGGGATTCTCCATTCTCCCGGACGGCCTCGAGTCAAGGCCTTCCGTCATCAGTTCAAGCGCGGAGGGCGGCGCGGGACGAGGGTCGTTGCTGACCACGGCCTTTCAGGTACTCATAAGTAACTCTCCTACAGCAAAGCTTGATTTGGATTCTATGGAGTCTGTCAATGCTCTCATTTCTTGCACAGTTGAGAACATTAGGAGATGTTTGCAGTGTGATGACTAACTGACCTAACTCACTATTTTATGCAAAATACTTAAAGAAAAAGCAATACAGTACAATAGCAACAGCAACAGCAACTTTAGTATTTTTATTCCATTATTTCCATAACTACATTATAGTTAGTTAGTTAGAATGAGCAGGAAGCTATATGGATTCCAACTATTTTATTACTGTTATTATTAGTATATACTGTATACATATCGATTGCCATTTTACTTGTATTTTAGGATTTATTTACTCATTTCAACGACAAATGTATTATCTTTAATAAAAAATTACATTTAATTCTATATAAAGTTTTGTACATAATTTTATAAGGATATATAAACTTGTTATAGTATAGTTTTATAATACTCCTTCGTTAAACTAAATTTTTTATTTATTTTTTATATATTATCTTTAAATATTAATTATTATATTAAAATATTATATAATTTTTTTTAAAATAAAATAAAATTCTATCAATGTGTTTTAATTTGTATGTTGGATGGAAATATTATTTCAAATAATTTTTTCAAGGAAAAGCCTGTATAACCAAAATTTGTAATTAAAATTACTAATGGACAGTCCATTGTGCTTCAATCCATGATTTACCACTGCAATTCTAAACACATTATTATCTAATAATTAAGATTTAATGGTAACATTTAAATTTCAAATATAATTTACACAAAACTATCCTATTTATATTATAGATCAAATAAAAAAAAATATTGCCATTCTTCCATAAGTCTTAATACAAGAAATGTGAAAAATTAGTTTCAAATTCAGAGTACCAAATCCCTTTTTCTTAAAAAGAAAATTGGATAACCACGAATGGCCAACAGCCTTTTCACCCAGAGCTCTCAGACTCCAACGGAATCCCGAGCTCCTGCTCCGGCGGCGGCGCGTCTTCATCCCCGCCCTTCGAACTCCGCCGGCTGGGCACCGGTATGGCCCAGAATGATTTTGTCTTGCTAATCGGCCGGCCTTTCTCGAGCTGAACGTAATCCCCAACCTGAAACTGGTTCAACGGGTCATGCGCCTGGTACGTCTTCTTCTTCCTCACGCGGCGCTTGTACTTTGGGTGTGGCGCCAGGCGCGTGACCTCCACGGCCACCGTCTTGTCGTTGGTGGAGCAGACGACTATCCCTTGGAGTGTCTTCATCGCTTTGATCACGGGGAGCCTCGCCGGCGCCGCCGCGGGGGCGGCGATTGAGGAGCACGACTTGAACCGATTGATTGAGGAGCCGCCATGGAGGAACGGAGAAGTTAGGGTTAGGGTTTTGAATTGGGGAATCGAAGAAGTGATTTGAAGCATCGTCGAAATTTGGGGAAAGATAAGATTAGGAGAGAGGGCGAAGACGCTGAAAAATTTGTGTTCCTGCTGGAAGATAAAAGCGCGTTTTTATTAATTTAGCGATTTCGTTTTTTTGAAAACGCGACTTCTGAGAAAGCCCGGCCCATAAGTCCAAGCCCAATAGTGAAATAAAAAGAAAAGAATCCCAAATAGGATGGATAGGCTTATCACCTCAGTCCACGTGGCATTTCTTAAATGGCAATCGATATTTCTAGAATAAAATCTGATTTCCACGTGGCACGCTGATATCCAATCGAACAGATGAAAAGCATCCACAGGCCATCGAATTCGCATTTGAATCAAAGCAGTCGGTTTTTTTCGCCTACCGGAAATGGCTTCGCTCGCAACGTTTGCTGCAGCTCAACCCACCGTCGTCAGAGGACTCGCCGGAAGCTCCATTGCCGGAACTAAGCTCCATGTCAGGTCACCGCGTGTTGGTTTGAAGCGCTCCAACCGCAGGTACATTTGTGAATTTTTCTAGTTCGATGGGGAACACTGACGGTCTAGTTTGATCCTTAGAGAGCGTAGAAGTTATAATCGTAGTTTCGCATGAAGTTAGTGCTGTTTTTTCAAGCTCCACTATGATATTTCAACGTTTAGAATTATATGATTTGGTATGATATGATTGAATTCTATGAAATCAGAGGCATACAACGGTTTTGTGAATAATATGAAATTCAGTGGAGCGTATAAGTTATAATCGTAGTTTCGTATGTGATGTAGTGCTGTTTTTATCAATCTTAACCCTGATTTTACAACATGTAGAATATGAATTTGTTCGATATGATTGAATTCTATGAAATCAGAGGAATATAACGGTTCTGTGAATAATATAAAATTCAGTGGAGCGTTGATTTAGGAGTTTGGTTCTGATATTTGTAATTCAATAAATACGTAGTTGTTTTGAACTTTTGATGATGAACATAGGGAAAACTACCTGTATCTATTGTCTATATTGAACAAATTTAGGTGTTCATCATATTCCTACCACTGGAATATCATTTTGCAGGGCTGGCGCTGTGGTTGCAAGCTATGGTGAGAACAGTGTGTACTTTGATTTGGATGACATTGCCAACACCACTGGCCAATGGGATGTGTACGGAAACGATGGACCTTCACCATACAATGCTCTTCAGGTATGTATAATTCTGTTCTACTTAATCGTTTCCCTTGCTCAATTACATGTTAACAATGCTTGTAGCTTATCGGCATTCCCTGAATTGGAGCGGAGTTTTGCTTCTTTTTTGTACATTGCAATTGATAATAATATAATATTACTATATGATGTGATATTTTATAAGAGAAAAAATGTAGTTGACGTCACGTTTTTGAAAAAATTACTATAAATGAATAATGTCAAAATTTTTGAATAAACAAATTTTGGTCATCGCTTTATTAGATACATTAAGATTGGCTGTAAGTATGTTGGTTTCAAATCTATCCTTTTACCTTTAACATCCATGATTATTCGAAGATATAAATTTCATTGAGGTCAAGATTTACTCGAAACTCCATAAGTGTGAGTATTCAGTTTGTACGATTTTCAATTTTTGCAGAGCAAGTTCTTCCTAACATTTGCGGCTCCTTTCACCAAGAGAGGGTTGTTGCTCAAATTCTTGTTACTCGGTGGTGGCGCTTTGCTCGCTTACGTGAGCTCCCAAGCGTCGGGAGATGTCCTACCAATCGTCAAGGGCCCTCAACTTCCACCCAAACCCGGGCCGCGTGGAAAAATCTAAATTCATTCGATCTAAACTTGTCAGTCTATTTACCATGTATGATATTTGATTTTACAGCTTTGTAAGTATTTCTTGAACCTACTTGTGACAGTGTTAATCAGCATCGGATCTTCAATCATACGCTCGATTGTTTCGTAAGTTTTACTTTTAATCTATGCCTTTTAACACTTTTGAGCACATCTTTAGTAACGTGAAACAGAGGTGTGTAGCTACTATATGAATGATTGGTAAAAACAGTTCATTAGTATACTTCAATATCTATTCGTATGTACCGACTCTTCCTATGTACAGATGAATGAGTTACATAGCGATGAATAGATAGGCCTCTACGACTCGACCATTTTATATACACATCGATGCATTAGCTTTATATCTTTAGTTCGCGAGTCTTGTTAGTTTGTCTCCCTTGTATTAGTCGACAATTTTGTCTAGGCTGCGTAAGTCGATTAGTGGCGCGCTCTAGGGCTCTTTAAGCCGCCGAGATTCTCTAGCCTCTCGATGTATGATACTTTTCTGTTCGGGTTGATGTTCGGTGATTTGCTAAGTTGCTTCACTTCGGGCTCGTCTTGTTGTACATCTTTATTCGCTTCTGTTTCCGACTGATCTATATTCCATCCCATGAAATCTAGCAGTGTCTTTGAGCTAGGAGTCGTCGCAGAGTTCATGCTTTCGTCGTCTTTAGTGTGCGATAGCCTCTGCAGTACGATCTTAGCTACGGAGCCTTCTTTCGGGGTGTTTTTTCTTTGGTCCGAGACCGATTCTCTAGCATTACAGTCGGCTTGTATGACGTCGTCTATTCTCGACAAGACGTTGAACGCTAGGCTTTCTATAACTCTCGAATAGCTTTCGAGAACTGCATGCCCTACATCCTGCGCGATCGAGAAAGATGGAAGAAAGAAAACTATGTTAGTATGAAACACTCGATTCTAAGGTACGTCGATAAACTGATACGGTTCGATTTCATAATCCTTCCTACTCTGTTGTATTGGATCTTGCAGATATCGAGATCCGACTGAGGAATCCCGGGGAACCGATGCTTGAGAATTAGCAATATAGTCTCGGCTCGATCTTCCAACACCTCCCGCTTTTCTGCGCTCACGCCGGAGCCCCACGAGGACTTGCTGTCTTTAGCATTCATCTTCCTTCTCCATATTACGATCGATGCCTCGATCTTGTTCTTGAAGTCGAGTATCTTGTGCTCGGATGACAAGTCTTGCGACGAAAGCAGACAGTCGGGATCGAAGAAATCTTCGGTGATGCTTTTGTATATCCCGTCTCCAAGACTCGCTCTTCCGTTCTATTCGAAAGATGAGACAGAGAGGTGAGGAATTATACGTTATGTAATACAACCGTCGACTAATCGAGGTTCTTTCTTGTCTAGTCGTCGTACCTTTGGCAGTGCGTCGATGTAGTTTTCTGGAATCTCCATTTCTGCTAGAACCTGAGCGTTTATCGCCATTGCGGCTTTCAGCACTTGGTTCACTGAATCCTTCTGATACTGCAGCCATTTCCTCGTGGATTCGGACAAACCGTTCGGAGGAACCTTAGGAATAGGAAGCCACCATTTGTCGTCTTTCCTTTTCTCTTTCGAATCATCGTCGGTCTTTGATGCGTAGTAGAACTCGTTTTGGTCTTTGAAGTTGTCCAAACAATCCTACATATCATCGTCGAACATCAGTTAAGTGGTGTTGCTACACATTTGCGAGAAAATTTGGATTAAGAAAGAGTCTGAGAGGTGTTGGAGCTGACTAGAAGCATTCCGTCGAGCTTGCGCAGCGCCGGGACGTTCATCCGGAGATCGTTCCTCTGCCTTGTTACCATAATCTGGATTAAGAGTTTGTTAATTATTCCCAACACATATATAAAGTCTGGTTTCTAGAATGTTTGGTTACCTCCATGGCGCTCCCGTCCTTGGCTTTTTGCTTGGAAGGAACGAATTCGACGATGTGATCTGTGACTGATAAGAGCCAGTCGATCTCTTTCCTCCACCGCGATCGTTTCTCTGGATGCATCGGCTCTAATTTCTTCATTTCTCCGAATGCAGATGCTGGATTGGATTGAATTGAATTTCGATTCAGGTAAACAAGCATGAATTGATTGCGTTTGATGTTGATTAAGGTATATGTAGGTAGTTAATCGATCTGAATCCATGTTTTTGAAGGAAAATCGAAGATTAAAAAGGATGGATGGATTATAGGTACGTACCTGCTAAATTTGTGATAGCGTTTGACAAAGCGAGAGCTGATGAAACACCTTTTCCCCCTCCGGACATGTCCTCGCCGAGAAGCAATTTTCCGAACTTCTCCTTCATCGATTCCATATCTGCGTTGCGTTTAGATTGTGGAAATCAATTAATTCGATTTGATTCAATTTAATTGCAGATTATCGATGGATTGGATTGGATTGAACGATTGAAATCTGAATAGGCGACGAATCGATCAAGTAAGTATGCACTTGCCTGATTTAAGCTTTTCTATTTCGTCGTCGGACTCCATTGCCGGCAGTGTTCGTGGTCGAATCCTTAGGTCTGTTTTTGACGATTATCCTCATGCATAATAATTTGGAGGATTCTGCTACGGCAGGACGTGCGGCGGATCTCTCCTCCCCGCCTCCATTGCATCATTTTTTCATAATCTACGGGAAATGTAGAATGAAAAAATACATATACAATACACAATCTGCAATCTGCAACACGAGTGCCTCTCTGTTACAACATAATAATAATTATGGCTTAGAAATTTTGCAATGGAGAAATGAGAAAAAGGCCTAAAACAGCATATCTCTAATCTATGATATCGTCGTTCTTCTGCCTTTTCTTTATTTAATTTTTTTGGATTAGTTTGATGGAGAGATGATGTTGGGAAAATGGTTGGAATTTTAGGACAGGTAAGAATTTTGACGACCAACACCAACGCGAGTACATCACATTACATGACACAAGGGAAAATAATATTATATAATTAATAAATATATAGGGTGTGTTTGTTTGGGAGTTTGGATTTTGGATTGAGATTTGAATAGTAAAAATTTTGAATTCGAATAATTGTATGATGTGATATAAACAGGTGTTGATATGGTTTTGAATGTAAAATTTATTTTTTAGTATAATATAGAAAATGAAAAATAGGTGTTTGATTTGATATTTTTGAGAAGAAAATTTTGGATGAATAGTAGCACAGCCATAGAGTATTTATATACAGAGAGATTATATATTATTGGACTTAGGTTGGCCCAATAACATAGATTTTTTTTTTTTTTTAATTTTATTTTTGAATATGTGGGCTTGGGCTAAATGTCGTAGAACTGAAATTATTGTAAGAATCCAATAATAATAATAATAATATATCTGTGTTGACTTTATTTTATTTATACTTGTCTTGTCCATTTTGAATAGTATTAAGATTGTGGTTAATTAGCATTCTATTAATTAATCCCATAAGAAATAGCTTAGTGTTGTAGGGTGGACCGTGATCTTATAGGTTCAACCGTTCAAATCCTTAGATATCTTTAAGTCTTGTTTACTGCACATAGTTCGCATAGTGTAAGTGACTCCTACCAATCATTTACGGAAGAGTTCTATTCTTCTCTTTGCCCCTCTCCAATAATATTTTTTAACGATTTTTTTATTAATATTCCGGAAACAATTCTTTTTTTTTAGCCTCCCAACATAGCTCGAGTCTTTCTTTGAAGCTTTGAAATATTGGGTGTATTCATTTGTAAGGAGAGATGTTCTCCATAAACTCGACGTGATTATCGAATTTATTTTGATAAATTATCGTGACTATCAAATTTATTTCGATATATTATTTTGATGTCAAAATTTATTTTTTAATAATTATTTAATATTTTAGAAATATAATAGTTTTTGAAACTGTTTGAGATTAGCACTGTTAAGCAACAATAATAAAGAAACAAAATATCTCTACTCACTCACTTCAATTGGCTTTATCTAAAGAAACAAAAGCAATAATGTTGAAAAAGTAGGCCAAACTCCAATTATTATAAAACTTAGCCACAAACATGACTAAACACACAAACAGACATGGCTTTGCATTGCATTGCAACCCCACTTTCTCATATTTTTCTATCATTAAATTCTATTCAAATATTATACTATCACTATGTATGTGTGAAAATGATATACAATATATATTTATATATAAAATTATTTTCACACATCATTTAATTCTAATCATTTGATAGCAACTCATCACTCTCAATCTTAACAAAAAATCAATTTAATCTTAACCACCAAAAATTAACTCAATATTTAATATTTATCTATATATAATTAATTAATTAATTAAATTGAAAGCATCATTCCAACAACTTCCATTATTGCATAAATTATACACACGGTAGTTGTACTTGTTCATCGTCAGAATTCCAATATTAATCACCCTATTATTTAATTTAATAATAATAATAATAATAATACTTACAGTAATCAATAATTTTAAAAAAAAAAAGAAAAGAAGCTCACTACTGTTTATTAGTCAGTGGCACTGATAGAGACGCACAGCTGCCGACACTTCCTGCCGAACCTGAGCAACAGCTAGGCTCGGAGCCAGGCTCGGGAGCAGACCACGTGTCGAATGTGGCTGCCTTTTCTTCTACATAGACTCATGCTTTGCTTGCTGCGGTCATCACCACAGAATCACTCCGCCATTATTATACCTCACCCTTTTTTCTCACTGTGCTGCTGCTGCTGCTCTCCTCACATGGGGATGAGGTTCTTCTTCCTCGATTGAATGATTGCTTGCATAATTACGAATTCGTGTTGCTGCGGTTGATTTCAGGTGCAATTTGGTGGAATTAATTCCAGGTACGTGAAGATTTCGTAGAGAGTTGGAACTTAGGGCTTCGAATCGATCGGAGATTCGTGAATCGGTATCGGAGTGTTGTTGCTCTGCCATCGGAAATGCAGCACACGAAGTCGGAATCCGATATCACGAGCCTGGCGCCGTCGTCGCCGTCGCGGTCGCCGAAGCGGCCGGTGTACTACGTGCAGAGTCCGTCGAGAGATTCTCACGACGGAGACAAGTCGTCGTCAATCCATGCAACTCCGAATTTCAACAGCCCCACGGAGTCCCCCTCGCACCCTTCCTTCGGTCGCCACTCGAGAAACTCGTCCGCCAGCCGATTCTCGGGGATTTTCCGGTCGTCGTCGGGGCGGAAGGGCGGTAGGAAGAGGAACGACAAAGGATGGCCGGAGTGCAACGTGATTGTGGAGGAAGGTAATTACGACGAATTCGACGACGACAAGGCATTCACGCGGCGGTGCCAGGCGTTGATGGCGCTCTGTGGATTCATTGTACTGTTCACCGTCTTTTGCTTGATCATTTGGGGCGCCGGAAGGCCGTACAAGGCACAAGTTGCTGTTAAGGTAGCCATTTACGTTTTTCCATTTCCATTTCCTCCTCTGATTTTATTGACCTCTGTTCTGTGTGAAAAATTCGATTCTTACAGTACCATAAACTACATTAACGATCATGTTCTTGTAGTTCCAACTGTTACCTAACTAAATGATTTCTCAGGCTTGTGCTCTCTGAATCATAATTTTCTTTTATGGTTGAATTAGAAACAAGATTTGTTAGAACCATATTCTAGTTTAGCTGCAGAGTACAGATCGAGGTTGAATTAGGCAATGTTGGTAAATAATTTGGTGCATTTGGTAAGAGAAAGTTGAGGACATGATGATGATTTTTGTATATTCATATTAATTTTGGTGACTCTCATGGCTTTTTAAAAATTTTCATATATTAGTTGTTGGTGTGAGTATATATATATAATGCTTATGCCTAGATCAGATTCTTGAAATTCAGTATATGTTGGAAATGGTGATGATGATGGTTTCTGCATATTCAAATTAATTCAGAAGCATATTATAATGGGAATGTTTGGGAGACAAAATAGGGTAGGTTTCTTACATACTTGGGTCCAGTCCAGCCTCTATTATTTACTCTTACAACATTGATTTGTCATTGTTCTTGATGAAAAGGGCTTGGTGAGGAAGGATTGACCTAATTGTCAGATTTGATGTAGTGTAAAAAATGGACAGATAATATATAGTTTCGTTAACACAATATATGTTATCAATTGAAATCATGGGTTGACCGTTTATATTTATAAGAAGTGTGTTTATGTTGTCTTAGCAATAATGGTGTGCTGCATAACTCATTTAATTGGTTGCTTTAATCATCCTACTTGTTTCATGTTGGTTGCCCTACACAAGCACCTGAAAGGGTGATGTCAATATTTTGTCAATTTGATCTCTATATTTTGGTTTGTTTTTTTAAGCTTGATGGAAGATAAATGACTAGTCGGTTTTAGGTAATTGTAATGTAATGGTTGTTAGTGAAGCTCGAATATATTTCTTTAATATTTGATGCGATATCCTTTGGTAGAAAAAAGTCTATTTTTCTAGTGAATGTTAAGTCCAAATAGTTAAAAAGAAAAACACATATTTAATGCTCGTCTTTCTGTGTTGCAGAGCTTGACAGTGAATAATCTGTACATAGGATCGGGGGCAGACTTCACGGGGGTTCCAACGAGGATGCTGAATCTAAACGGTACATTGAGAATCAGCGTGTACAATCCAGCTACATTCTACGGCATTCATGTTAGTGCGACGCCCATCAATCTTGTGTATTCAGATGTCGTCGTTGCATCCGGCCAGGTATCTTTACACGCCCTTTGTTTAGATGTTTTCAAGAATGTATGCAAAGCAAATGTTCATAATCCTTTTGGGCCTTTATTTTTTTTGTGGTGCAGCTGAAAAAGTATTATCAACATCGTAAAAGTCGCAGGACTGTGGTGGTGCATGTGGAAGGAACCAGAGTGCCTCTGTATGGGGCGGGGTCGAATCTTGTGGTGGCTGATGGCGTTGGGGTGAAGGTTCCTTTGACATTGGAATTCGAAATAAAATCGAGGGGAGATGTCGTAGGGAAGCTGGTGAGGACCAAGCATCGGAAAAGGGTTTCTTGCTCGTTGGTCATCGATTCGACGAGCAACAAGCCTATCAAGTTCAAGAAGGATTCTTGCACTTACAGCTGAATTGAGGCTCTAGGGAGCATTATGTATGAGGTTCAGGAATCTTACTGTTTCTCTCTCTCTCTCTCTCTCTCATGTTTTGGTTTTTGGCAGGAAATGGTAATAAAACTGGTGCAAGTTGTAAAGAGTGTTGAGATTTGGCAGGATGACACTTGTGTTCCTTTGCTAAGTTATCCTCCTGCCTACATATTATTGTGTTTTTACTCCGGTTTCGTTTTTACCATTTAACTACTGTAATAAACATTTTATTTATTTGGAAGATGAATGGTATAGACTCGATTGATGTATAGAAGAGATCTTTGGAATTTTAAGTTTTAACTTTTTTTAGAAATAATAAAAAAAAAACTGTAGACTAAGAGCATGGTTGATTTGATGGAAATATAAGAATAACCAACATATGTTTTTACATGTCTCACCACTTGATATGTTATACATATTGAATTATGTATAAATATATATCGATTACCCTTCTGATCCGATCAAATCAGAGCCATACTGGCCACTGATTCATGCCTAGAAAATGAGTATCAGTTGATTTGAGATTTTGTAGGAAAAATTAGTTATTCGATTTAATATTTTTAAAATAAAAAATAAAATTAGTAATAAATAATATCAAAATGAAGAGAACCATGATGGGAGACGAAACGCACAATACAATAGACAGTAACGTGAGGCTAATTTCAATCAAGAGCTACTGAATGAAATTTCCAATGTTAATTAATTAAAGTTCAGCAGTAATAATTAAATAGGAGAATAATAACTTTAACTATCGAGCGCCTGACATTAAAAAGCAAATTGAATTGAATATAGAATGAATGTAGTGTATTTGTTGAAACTATAATAAAATGTGCTGACATAACACATAAATGAGAAAAACATTAAATGCAAATAATAATAATAATAATAATGCTTAAACCTAAATGTGAAATTTAATTAGAAATATGATTTTATACATGACCATTATAGAGAACAGTAAAGGCACCATTCTATGTTATATGTTACCAAACGCATAAATTCATATTTATATTTGCACAATTTCAACAACCCCTAAACAACAAAACATGTCTGTCATCACCTAACAATATAATACAATCTTCAACCATCTAGAAACCAAACAAATAAAAATAAAAATAATATATACATATAAATTATCATATCCTATTAACCAAAAGCATACATACAAATTCACTCTCACTCAAGGGCTCAAATCATATTCACATATGTTGTAAAACCACATTTCTTGATTTCCCTCTACTTGACCAATTAAGTTCCATATTCCCACATAACCTGTTCAAATAAACACAATATTTTTCTCATCCTAATCACCCCAACTTATGAGAATATGAATGTAGCAAACAAAATGATCCAAAGGTCACATTTACATACAAGTTTTTGAAGTTTTTTTAAAATAGCTTCAAAATTGTGTATTTAATGTAATCTCTTATGAAAGAAAATAATTATTTGATGCAATTCGAAAAATAAAAATAAAAAGTTACTGTTAATAAATAGTTTTGCGTAATGTTTCAAAGAGATATGGTTTACGGAGTGTTGAGCAATCATAAGAATTACGAGGGGCTAATATGAATATAATAAAAATTTAAATGTTTAACATGATGTCTTGCGAAAGAAAATAATTATTTGACGTGATTTTTTTCTAAAAAAATAAAAATTATTGGTAATGAATAGTATGTAAACGTTTCAAGGAGATATGGTTTACCTAGTGATGCCGCGCTCATGAGAATTACGAAGGCCAATACGAATATAATGATCGACGCTCGTTTCAACAATGTAACCATTTTGTGTACCACACACTGCCCGACCAATGCAGCCAGTGTAGCCACAGCAACAAAATAAAGGGCTGCAAAATTCAGTATGAATCATTGTTATTATTAAGAGATAGATCCCAAACTTGAATCTGTCCTGTTTACGAAATAAAGAACAGGAACCGATACCGTAAGACGGGGGGAAGCGTTTCAGAAGGTGATATTGAATTACAGACATGGATGAGGAGAACACCATGATCAGCGTTGCAGTGGCGCTCGAGACCTGTATTTAGAAAGTCGTGATCCGGTTGGTAAGAAGATGATTATCGAAATAATGTAGATAGATACGATCAAAGTGAAAGAGATCGATGGACCTGTGGTGGAATGCCGAGCTCTAGTAGTAATGGAGTTAGAATAAATCCTCCTCCAAGGCCTAGAAGGCCGCCAACTATTCCGGCCAAAACTCCACAGCTACAGCAAAGAATCAATTGCTGCGCTGTCCAATTAATGCCGGATCCGCCTGTGGATTCCATCACCGTCCAGCCTTTGTATAAGCAGACCGCCTGGTATCCAGAGGCTCCGACAGCTACGGGTATCTTGAAATGGAAAGGGAAATACGATTTGTCACAGTTAGATAATATAAGGGGCCGACTTTACTAAAATACTTAGGGTGTGTTTGTTTGTGAATTTTAGTTTTTGGGTTTGGATTTTTTAATAGTAAAAAGTTGAATTTAAATAGCTATTTGATCTGATATAAATGCAGGTTGATGTGATATAAATGCAGGTTGATGTGATATTTTTGAATGTAAAATAAATTTGTAGTATAATATAAAAAAAAATAATAATTATTATTTGATTGATAATTTTGAAAAAAAAAAAAGAATTTAAATAGTAAAAATTTATAGTAAAACCCACAAAATAACACAGCCTTAAGCTTTTAGGGATACACATCACTTTTTATTTACGGGAGTCAACCAATACGCCTCCTCACGGGCAAGGAATAATCGTCACAAAACTAAACTTGCCCGTGGACAACGACAAATGAGGAACAGTGGGACTCGAACTCGAGGCTTAAGGTTTTGATACTATGTAAGGGTGTGTTCCTTTGTAGGATTTTGTCAAAATTGTACTATTCATCCAAAATTTTCCCCTCAAAAACATCAAATCAAACACCTATTTTTCATTTTTTTAGATTATACTAAAAATCAATTTTACATTCAAAACATCACATCAACACCTATTTATATCACATCATACAACTATTCAAATTCAAAACTTTTACTATTCAAATCTCAATCTAAAATCCAAACCCCCAAACAAACACACCCTAAGAATATTTTAGGAAAACTGAAGACTTATATTGTTTGACTATCAAAATAAAAAATCTATATATAGGCAACATAAAACAACAGAATGACTCAAATCTAAATAATGTAATGTATGGATAAATTCAAATTTAAATCTAAATCTAATAAATCAAGTCACACAATGTCCTATGATCGACCTAAACTTGGTTTTAGGAAGTACCTGCGAAAGGGTTACTATCCAAAATGCTGCTGAACAAGTAGTTGTATAGTCCTGGCAGAAAAGACATTATCTTCAGAAGAACGAGAAACTAAGAAATTGAAAATGCAGTTTTGGTAATCCCTGGAAATGAACCTTGGCGATTTGAAGTATGAGGAAGATGACCCAGATTGCAATGAGAATGCCAAGCTTCATCCAGTCGACATTGTTGATTATCGAGACCTGCAAGACTAGTTAATTCAAAGTACAAAAAAAAAAATGCTTCGGGTTGTTTGACTGTTAAAAAAGATCACATTACCTTTGGTTCAACTAGTTGCACTCCAGCTTCATAAGGCGGATCATCGACTAGAAGCTTGTACGAAGCTTCTTCATTTCCATCATCTGATGCTACATCAGTAAACGGCCCAATCTGTCAAATTTTCTTTCTAATCCAAAATAATCTCAAAACATATAATTTGCGGTAAAGTAACTCACAACTAGCTGCATAGCATCGCATGGCCTCCTGAATTCCAAGGAAGATGGATCATGTTAAAGTTCTTTCATTTTTAATGCGACGAGGAAATAAGTAAAGTTATAAACAACCTTCTTTGTTATGGTTTCTAAATTCCAGGTTTCGACGCCCTTCAAGAATGCCTTTGTCGAAGTGACTGCAGAAGTGTGAAATATATAAATAAGCAACTGTTGCTTAGAGAAAGTTGAATAAATCCGGGAAAATATTTGTTACCTAAGAAAAGAAGAATCAGCAAGAACATAACCATCCATTCTGCAAAAATCACATTGAAAAAGACACCAATGCTGACTCCTAGCACGAGCATTGGTTGGAAAAGAAGAGCCAGATTGTAATCGATGATAGGAAGGTCCAGTGAAGGATGCCGGAGCTTGAGATTGTAATATACAGTGGAAAGGGCTGCGCCAGTTACCATACCTAACCAAAATAACACGAACTTCAATCCAAATGCAAGGCTTAAAACCAGCAGAACTCCAATTACCAAAAAAGGGTAGATAATTAAAGAGTTATAAACAAAGAAAGCAACTGTACATTCAATATGTTCACAAGCCATTGCCGTAAATGAATAAACTCGTAACAGAAAATATAACGAAGAGCAGTCCGCATATCAGATATAGAAGAGACAAATAGAACCATAAAATATTTCTTCGGTTCAATTGTTTATTCAAGAGCAACGAGTAGAGTGTAGAACCAGTTACCATACCTAACCAAAATAACACAAAAGTTTAATCCAAATGCTGGGCTAAAACACGACTGAAATCCAATTCCCAAAATGGGGTAGATAATTTATAGACAAAGAAAGAAACTATCGATTCAACATGGTCACAAGCCATTCTTTATATGAATAAACTCGAAACAGAAAATACAACGAATAGCAGTCTGGATATCAGATATACTAGAGGCAAATAAAACCACAAAATATTTCTTCTGTGCAATTGTTTAAAATAAAATGAAAATTGTCATTAGGCCATGTATGGTACCAAAGTCGATTTGCAGAATATGAAAATGAAATGTCAATGGCTGGACCTGATGCAAAACATGCATTCTTACATTTCGATATTGCCGTGGACGACTTGGGATCAAATCCAATAATCAAAATGAGCATTGGAACAAAAATGCCGCCTCCGCCGGCACCTCCGACGCTGCCAAGAGCAGCACCTAGGAATCCAATCACTGTCCCAAGCACAATTCTCCACCCAAATTGCATTTCCTGCAAACTCAGATAAATAAACAATACTGTCTTCCATTATGGTGCATAATCATCTATAAGATCCAGAGTTGGCAATTTACTTACAGGCCAGACATGGGGGAAAAGTAAGCGCCTGTTCTTCTGCAACCATGTGAATATTGTATGGAAGGAACCTGATTCGCCGGTCCGATTTCCGCCGGAGATGGTCTGCCCTAAATCTTCTCGGCCAGAAACATCCTCGCAAGCTAAGAGTAGTGCAACAGCCAAAATCACAGCCGTTCCTGTCAAAACCTTTCGAGATGTAGCTCCAATCTCCGCCATCAGATTCTTCGGAACCCTAATTGCAGTTCACCTGTAGAAATTACACCCAATTTTCAGAAGGAACGTTACAAAATCAGGAGTAAGAGAGCGAAACTCGAGCATGGAACTTCAATCGAAGAAAATCTGGCTGTTTCCTTAACTAGATCTCAAATTCAAACAGAAGTCGCTGACGATAGGCTCAGCGGAGTGAGATTCTTCTACGTCGATCGAGGCAGCCATACTAGGTATGAAGTTTCTTCGTCATCCTGTAAATATTCTTCAACTATCCAAAAAAGAGAAACTAAATTTTTTACCTCATATTCCATCGTGATACATGTGAATCCATTGTCTGCTTTTGATTATTCGGTCGGAGCTACTAGTTGAAGTGATTAGACGCTAGTTCCAAACACGGCAACTGCTCGAAAACAAAGGCACATCACTGTGGTTAATGAAAAATGGAAATCAATAAGAACGTCGATGGATTATTGCTATCAACTATTTGGATGACGTCGCCAACAGCGTGGAGCACAAAATCCGAGTGGTCTACCTCACCAGTAATTCCGAGGGTCCCCAAGACGGATAAACCGATCCCAAGCTGCAGAGGAATTTAATTTCAGGATAAATTGCGCAATCAAAATGCTAAATATCAACTCCGATTGTCGGTGATTCGGATCCGAGGGGAGCCTATCGCGGTGCGCCACTCTACAAGAGCTTATTGTTCATCTAATCCATTGAATATATAATTTACATATATATGTATATGCACAGCATACTTGTGGCCACAGATTCATACATCATCAAAACTGATCATATGATTAATTCATTCCACACGTTGCAAATTTGCAACTGTTCACTGTTCAGATCAATCAATCGAGCAATTCACCGGTACACGAAACCAAAGCAAGCCAAAAATCTTCACCATTAAAGCTAATTTTAACATGCACGCAATCTACACACTCGATTCGACTTCACTCCCGACGAACCCTAACAGTACGGACACCGGGGATCGTCAGTCCATCCAAGCACCTGCACGCACGTCTACACGAAGGAGGAATCAAAATACATAAAAATGGATGAGATATGCGAGGACAATAGGCTATATACTCTACAAACAATTTGCCATATATTCTCTCAATGCGAGGTAAGTCAGGAATGGATTTGACTAGCTCCTATTGAGGCTTTTGCAGTCCATCGCTGCTCGATTCCGACGGCTGAATACCAAAGTCGCTGGTCGGACCGCTGAACTCGCTTGTGGTGATTGTGATGTCCACGCTTTGTAATGCCATCTTCCTGAACTTCATGAGGTCCTCTTTATACTGCGTAGTGTCGTAAGAGGCGTCGAGGTCATAGTCTATGCTACCGTGAGAACCGAACATTGTGCTGTGGCCTGGCCGGATTCCGTCATGCAGATCCTCCAGGGGAGTCTTCCCTTCTAAAGCAAGAACTATCTGCACAAGGATTTGTTGGAGGAACAATAAGGAATTCAAATCAAACACGAGCACGAATAATGAGCAAATATTATAAGTACCAAAATTTTGATATACCTGACGCTAACCATGCATAATTTTGGCATTTTCAACATATACTATAACCAAATTATCGGTACAATATATAATATTTGTACCGAATTTTTGGTACAACAATTTTTTGGTAAAATACCATTTCAAAAATTTGATACGATATAAGATTTTCTATATATAATACCAAACCACTCATAATATAGACGCACCTGACTCATGCGCGGCCTTCGTCTTGACAAGTGACGAACGCAGGCTGCGGCGCATGCAACCACTCGGGCCATCTCAGTAGAGTCGTAATCCTTTTGTAACCTTGAATCAGCCAAACAATCGAAGTTTCCGTTTTCCAGAGCTTGTGTGAGCAAAGGCCTCGCCTGTATTAGATGCTGAGTAATTAGAAAAGCCAAAAGGAAAACAGTTTGCCGATATAAACACAAAGAAAAGCACAAGAAGCCGAAGCATGATACAATGGCATATGAAAGCAGCTACATCCGGGGATGAACAAAATGGAGTTCGCCGTAAAAAATTATTAGCACGAACATTCCATGTGTTGTTACTTAATTCAAGCTTCTCGTGCATTTTTATGTGCATAATGCTGATGGTGCACAAAAAAAAAATAATAAAAAGAAAATCAACAAAAATTTGTTGTCAATAATATTCACAAACTCCTGGAGGAAAGCCATGCACATCTATCTAGTAATATTATGGGGAAAAAAACAATACCGATCTCTTCTAGTACAATAGCCATTCAAAGTTTGATATTTTCGATATATATCAAAACACTGAAAATACCGTATACTAGTTTCATATTTTAATATTCTATATATTGATATCAAAATTATTATTTTTAATTTTTCCCTAAAATTATAAAATTATTTTTCTTTCAGTATTTCAATTTGAAATACTATACACCAATATTGTGCGGACAATTATCAGTATACCAAAATTATCAGTATGATAAAGATATATATATCTATCATACTGAACATTTGGTATAATATCGATGTTTTTTAACATACTAAAAAATTCAGTACAATATACATAGTGTTCCGACATTTTCGATATACCATACCAAATCATCCTAATAAATATATATATATAAAAAGTTAAAAATTTCTTACAACAATGAAGAAATTATCTCACCCAATCAATGATATTATCATCAAGATAGTACTGCGATTTATCAATTGGTCGGCGGCCAGTGATCAACTCCAAAAGAACAACGCCAAATGAGAAGACATCTGACTTCTCTGTCAGCTTCCCAGTAAGAGCGTACTCTGGGGCTAAGTATCTGCAAAATCAAAATATTGTCGTTACAAGTAGGAGAATCACATGTAAGTGTTAGTAGGAAGTGAATTTCGAGTAGCTTACCCAAATGTTCCCATTACCCGTGTGGAGACATGTGTATCAGTATCTGCAGAGAACCTGGCTAGCCCAAAATCTGCAACCTGGTTCAAACCTCCAGTCACAAATGGCTCGTTGTTGGAATGGAAATTTCAATATGATTGAAAATTAACACAAGATTGTAGATTTTCAAACAAGAAATACATAAGCAACAACCAGAATGGATGATGCAAAAAGCTGATCAGTAAGTGTGGCAAAACTGCACAAAATCCACATGTGGTTTCACAAAATTCCGCCAAATCTCTCATACTTCTAAATTGTATCAGACACCCTCATGGTTTTGTAAACTTTGCGTCTAACCCACCGGACCGTCCTTATTTAAGAGTGTTTGACTTTCATGCGCAGTTTCAAAATCTTTATTTTTAAACCTTTGAAATTACATATATACTTTAAATATAAGAAAAAATGAGTATATTTGTAAAGGGTTTAGAAATTGAGATTTTGATACTTATAAGCAATTTGGACGCATGAAGATCAAACACCCAGAGTTTATGAAACCACGAGGGAGTTTGACGCAATTAGGAAAGTATTGAGAATTTGGCGCAATTTCGTGAAACTAGTTTTGTGTCATTTTGCCAATAAGTGTAGCAAAACTTAATAGGTTAGAGTTATATTGATAACTTCAAAACACATGTCTCTCATAAAATTTATATCATTGAAGCTGCCAAAAACATGGCAGCATTATCATATCCAATGTATCTTTTGTCCAACATGACTAATTAACAATCGTGGGTGGTGGTGGAGCTTTGTAATGAAAGACCTCAACATGCTTACAATGATAAAATGATTTGACCTTGTAAAGATTGTTAAAGTTAAACGAGTAAGCATGAGGAAGACAAGCCAGACTTAACTATGTTAAAGCAGAGAACACTAATGAGTAGAAAGTAAAGCCGAGAAGTTATTCTTCATCATGTACTTGGGAAGGCTTAAAAGATAAGAACCAACCCAAGAATATGATATATGTTCTTTTTTGTAGTTCCATTTTTGCCCTTTATCTTACAGTTGAGAACATATCAAATGCACCAAGTAATCAAAATTAATAAACTCTTCCCATGGACCTAAATGAAGTATTTTGATGTACATTAAGCATATCAGAAATATAACAGCCACGCCTAATGATAATAACGGTGCAAAAACATAGGATCTCACCTTGGCCTCGAAATTTTCATCAAGAAGAATGTTAGCTGATTTAATATCACGGTGTATGATCTTTGGATGGCCTGCAAAGTGAAATTTAAGTCCTGTGAGATTAATCACTTTGAATCGCACGTAATAACAAGCAGAAGAATACTCACAGTCTTCGTGCAAATATCTTAATCCTCGTGCAGCGCCCAGGGCAATTTTCATCCTGGTGGCCCAATTTATGGGTGTTATCCCCTTACCTGCATTGTCTTTCAGTCAATGAGATTATACGAAAATAGACATAAGATGGGAATCGAAACTAATTTATCATTACATCATAAATCCTAGTATCAAGTGCCAACAAAAGTACAGAACATATTCAACTGTTGGAAAAGTTAATAAATTTCAAAAAAAAAAAAAAGTTCAAGACCAAAAACGAAATTACCCACTAATCATGCTGCATGCCCCTACCGAACACTAATATTTCAGCTAATGCAACTAATTTATAATGAGATCATAGTAGAGTTTCAAACTATAGATCGAGCAATTTTATCTTTTGGACATATTCCTAATCCAAAAACAAAGATTCTCCTATCACCAAATAATCTGCCTATGGTTGCTAAATAATATAGGCCACCTTAAACACAGTTACCGTGCTACTATGATGAGTCAATAAACAAATAAAATCTCAGTTGGCCTTACCATGTAAGTGAAATTCCAGGGTCTGATTAGGGACAAATTCGTAGACTAGTAACATTTGAGTTTCTGAAATGCAGTGTCCAACCAGGGATACTAGATGCTTGTGGTTCACACTACTTATAGTCTCGACCTCAGCCTGAAATTCACGCTCTCCTTGACCACTCCCAACTTTCAGTTGCTTAATTGCAACCACTAGTCCGTTGCTAAGCACTCCCTTGTGCACGTACCCAAAGCCACCTTGTCCGAGGAGGTTACGGGCAGAGAAGTTCTCTGTTGCACGCGCAAGCTCGTCGTATGTAAATGCAGGGCTAGTGCAAACCCTACTATCAGTGCCTGCTTGCGAAACTGGCTTTGCAGAGTTTCCACTGCCACCAGAAATGTGTGCCGGTGGACTAAACTCTTCCTGTGAGGATAGCCTCAAATGCGATGAAACTCCCAATGGAGCTGAGGTTTTCGGCTGTCCAGAGACATTACTAGCCTGTGGAGTTTGCTGTTGCAGGCTATGGTGTGGACCTTGAAAGGGATCCTCTGTAAAAGCCAAGAAATTAGGTCAAACTGGATTCACTTAAGCATCAATCTGAAACTGGCTAATGGAGATTCTAATCTATGCAATCCATGAATATTGTGAGAATCCAGGATATAAAAAGCCTCCTAAAAGCCAAGAAATTAGGTTAAACTGAACTCACTTCAGTATCAATCTGAAACTGACAGATGGAGATTCTAAGCTATAATATCCATGAAAATTTTCAGAATCCAGGATATAAAAAGCCTCCATAAACCCTTAAGTAACTCACCTTATCCTAAATTAAAGAATTCACAGAATTATTAAATCTGTGCAGGTCAATCCTATATCAATTAATAAGTGTTTTAATGGAGGAAGCAAGTACACAAGACAATCAAGAAGGAATATAGTAAGAAGCTTCCAAACTATTTTATAATCCCTAAAATGAGCAGACAAAACGAATGACATCATTCAACGAAGAAGAATTCGTGAAGAAAAATCTGAAAACTTGCGCAAAATCGTTCGACCTTTATGCTCCTGTGCGTGAGCAAAGCCGCCATCGCTGAAACGCTTCCTCTTCCTCCTCTTGTACCATAACACGAAAATGCCCACGCAGACGAGCACGACCAGGCCACCTATCCCTATACCGACTCCGAGCGCAATCAATGTCGTGCGGTTGCTTGACTGAGAGGATGCCTTACCGAGAGGCGACGGAGGATACAGAAAATCCACAGGCGACGGTGGAGTTATCGGATCCGGAACAACCCCAGGCGGCGGCGCAGACATCGCCGGAGCTCACCGCTTCGAATTTTTAATGGAACTCACAAAGTTTGCTCCTCGCCCACTTTTTCGAGTAGAATTTCAGTAAATTATTCTCTCGAATCGCTTTAGAATAAACTCAGATCGGAGAGCAGCGGATCCTCAAGCCCAACAAGGCTCCTCGAACATGGAAAGTTTCCAAAAACGTGGCCGCGTGGGCTCCATTGGCGTCGGGGATTCCGAGCTGACACAGTGAGTCTGTGCAGTGCCGGTGGAGACTGAAACGTCGCCGTTTTGTCGTCCCGTACGCTGTGTCTATTTTAAGTGAAGCAGCTTCCCGTTGCCGGTCAATACTAAAACTGCGTAATTTCCCAATGTCCGTTCGACCGAACGGACAATGTGTAAACCCGTCACGTGACTATCCGGGACAAGCACGTGACCGATTATCTACTCTCTTATGTAATAAATTAATAAATAATATTATTTTATTAGGTAGTAAAAGTGGGTAAAAAAAATTGATATTTTTGGGGAAAACTAAATGTATGTATAATAATATATTTGTAATTTAAATAAAAAATCAATAGTATTTTGATATTATTATATGATTACTTTTATTTTAAAAAATAAAATGATATTTTGAAATGAGATGGACGAAAATGATAGAAATTATACTTTCAAATTGTACGGAATAAGTATTATTTATATTAATATATTTCCTCCGTCCTATTGAAAGGTTGTCATTTTTCATTTTCGTCCGTGCCAAAACAATGTTACTATTTTCTAAGTTAGTAATTACATCCCTAACATAATAAATATTCTTCCAACTTACACTATATTACACAAATGTCATTACTTTTATATTACACAATACTAATAAGGGTATCTTCGTCTTTTTCACTACAATCCATTATAATACTAATATTATAAAATTTACATGAAAAAAAAAACAACCTTAGACCGGGACAGATCGAGTAATATAATTAATTATAAATATAATGCATGAATTATATCACATGAAGTAATCTCGCATATTAGTGATTATTATTTGTATATATTTTATTTGTGCTAGTTTTTTATACTCATTCCCGTATATATGAAAGAAATATTTGTTTTATTTTATGGAAGTTGGTCATTTGATGAATTCTATGTCGAGATTCATTGAATTATATAGAAAATTTGTTAAAAGTATAAATTGTATCGAGTTATGTAAAAGCATAAAATATCTAATAATCCGTCTATCATGCAAATTTGTACTCATTTGACCGGACACGAGAATTAATAAAAATAAATAGTAATTGCTATTTTTTCTTTTTATAGTAAAAAAAAATACAAAAATGTAATAATTTTTTACTTCAAAGAAAAACGAAAATAATTTTCGATGACATAGAAAAAAAAGTAAACATAAATTTGAATGACGGATAAGGTACTGTGTAAAGGGTATTGCCTATAAAATCACAACATGTTTTATCTTTCTATTTTTATATGAAAAAAAAAAAAAATAATAATTGGAAATATTATACAATTGCATAAATTTATTAGATTACGATTTTTCTTTCGTACTTTTCTATTGAGATATTGGGAACCATCATATTATATTAAATAGAGAAATTTGTTAAAATATACTTATGAATATTAATATATATTGAACCACTTGAGCTATTCTGTTAATTATATACTAAAATATGTTCAGCTGTAGCATTTTATGTGTGATTTTGATTAATATATACTTCATATGTCTGATAATTATATAAATTTGTTAATAATATTTTAATATTAAAATTAAATAAAAAATATTACTGAAAATTATTAAAAACTTGATAAAAATATGGTGCAATGAATAAAATAATAGTAACAAAATATTTATTAATGATTAAAATAAATCTAATAAACTATAGATGAATAAAATTGGTCATTGTAAATATATTGCGTTTATGTGAGTAGACAAAAAACTAACTACATAATTTTGATAAACTGAATTTAATAAAATTTACTATTTGTTTACATAGATATTTTCAAAGTTTTAAAAATATTCACCTATAGTAAAATTTTTAAAAGTATCATATCAAATACAAATTATTCGTAATAAAATATTATATCGAATATTGGTTTTTTACTAGTTTTAATTATTTTTTTAAACTTAAAAAATATTTCTATAAACAATAAACTTGTTCATTTTGTGTTCTTTTTTATGATTAATGTATTTTTATGTTAGATATGAAGAATTATATTGGTAATATAAAAAAATAATATTTTTACATTAAATTATTGATTTTTTATTTTTTATTTTTGAATTGATAAATTATATATTATATATATTGTGTTAATATAAATATATTGTAATGTTTTATGTATTCTATTTGTATATGTGCATTTATAATAGACAAAAGAAAAAGAGAGGAGACTTACCCAACTAAAATAAAAGAAGGATGAAGATACAAGTGTTTTAGTTTTTACTTTTCAACTGATTTTTTTAATTTTATCTTTTCAAAATATATATATATATATTTATTTATTATATATATATTTTAAATCAATCAAGTATTTTTATCTCAAGTTCTGGAAAGTACAAAACACACGCAGTATATATATAGATATACATACAACAATACAAAAGAACGCGTTAGTTCTAAATTTGTTAACTCTGTCGTTTAAAACTATTAATCCCTTCCTTCCGTAATTATGTATCAATTTGTTTTTTGTACAATGTTTTAAAAATATTAGTATTATATTATGATATAGTAGAAATAAAATAGAAATGACTAAAATAATACTCCGTCCCAAAACTATAGTATGAGTTGTGTTCGGTACGAAATTTAAGGAATATTTATATTATATTGGTAGTGGGTAAAAAGTACGGATAAAAACTTTTTTACCCTTGTGAGTGTATTAGTGTAAAAAGTAGTGACAATTGTGTAATAATAATGAAAAAGTAAAAATAGTTTTATAGTGATATGATTATTTGTGAAAATTAGGCTATTGTTTTGAGAATGACAAAAATGGTAAACAAGACTATTGTATTGGAACGAAATGAGTATATTGTAAGTTGTAAGGGTATTTCCAATGTTAGACATATAGTACAGTTACTAAAAAATAAAATGAATACTTTATTATGGGATAGATTAAGGGTGTGTTTGTTTTGGGGGTTTGGATTTTGTGTTGGGATTTGAATAGTAAAAAATTTGAATTTGAATAGTTGTATGATGTGATATAAATAGGTGTTGATGTGATGTTTTTGAATGTAAAATTGATTTTTAGTATAATATAAAAAATAAAAAATAAGTGTTTAATTCGATATTTTTTGGAAAAAAAAATGAGATGAACAGTGAATTTATAATCCAATCCCCCAAACAAGCATACCGTAAAATAAAAAAATAAATATTTTGTTGTGAGACAGAAATATTATTATTATTATTATTATTATTATTTTGTTTTACATTTAATTTAAAAGTATCTTAAGTGACGATGGCATCAATAGCAATAATTATTAATTAAGAGCGTGTTGGGACCGTGGATAGTCTTATCTTTCCAAGTAATCAAAGTAAATCAGTAATAGCAAATTTAATCAAACAAACAATACTCCATTTTGACCAGAGTTGGAAAACGATAGTACCTAAATTTACTTGTTTTATTATCGGGGCTTGTTTCTTGTACCCGATTTGGGAGAAAATAATGTGCAAATACTGTTTGTACAGTGTTTAAATTCAAACCGAGCCGGCTCCCAAATGTCCGACATATGTTGCAAAATGTACTATTTTATTATTATTTTTAAGTATTATATTTATTTAATATTTATAATAATTATAGGGTAAAAAAATTTAAATATATATTTGGTATAATATAAATTGATAATCAAATTATACAATATAAATTTTATCAATTAAATTTAATATATATTTATATTATTTTATTCATTATTCATCAAATCAATATCCATCAAAACTTTCAAAACCCCAATCAAACCCAAACACAAAACAACAAAATTCAAATTCATCCCAAAATTCAAATAAAAATCAAATTCAAACCCAAATTCCCCAAACCCCTCTAAAAAAACACACTTAATTTATTTATTATTATTATTTATCTTGTTATATTTGTTAATCTTTTATAGACAGTATATTTGAGGTTAATAATGATTACATGTGTAATATTGGAGTTGGTTTGCTCAACTTTATATATATATATATATATTGTTATATACAATTTTTAATATATATATATATATAAATATTATTTTTTTTACAAAAATAACATTGAACTCAGACGATTTTCTATATTTTATATTAAAACAAAAAATTTAAATCAAAACACTAAATAAACAAACTCTAATGAATTTTCAGGTATTTAGAGCTTTCCAAAGAATTTTTCTTAAAAATATTTTGAATATATTATTTATTTACAAAAACATTACTGTATAACTTTTTTGTATCTAAAAAATTGTAAAATTCTATATAATACGAAAAAACAATAAATGAATAAATAAATAATACTCCATGTTATAAAAGAATACTCCATCTATCTTATACTCCATCTATCTTATGTACAATCCAGCATTTAAATTAGATGAACAATATTAAATAGGACTTTCTTCGTCCAGTTATTATGTTAAATTTTTCTTATTTTTATCTGTCCAAGTTATTTTGTTATTATTATTTTCTTTTTTTATGAAAAAATATTATAGACTTTAATTTAATTTTAATTTTTTAATTCATAATTTTTTTTTAAAATTATGATTAGATTAATTAGTTATTTTAATTTTAATATAAGATTATTATTATACTATAATTAATTTCACTGATACATTTTTAATTATTTACTAATTATATCATACTAATACATTTTTAATTATTTACTAATTTATATCCCTTCTCGTATCTACGGTGAAACTGTAGCCGGAGCATAGGGAGTATAATTTAAAAATTAAATAATGTGATGAAAGAATTTAAAAATTAAATAATGTGATGAAAGAATATATTACTCACCATTTCCTTTTTTAATCCGTCTGCTAAATTTATCTCATTAATAGGCAAAGTCTCTTTGATAGCAGTCATAGGTACGTTCAGAAAGGATCTGATCGTAGATAAAGACTGAAACCACATTCAATCCGGGCTTTTACCATGTCTCCCGAACAAGTCAACAGATCAATATTTAATTATTATCATAATTCAATACTCCTATTAACGCTATTGCATTTCCCTCTTCATTTAGTTTGATTTCTAACAAAATTTTCAAAAATACCTGCCTATCATTTTTCAATATACATGTCAAACCCAAATAAACTAATTTTAATAGACTGAAGAAGTATATATTTATTTATTTATATTTATTCGAGTGATTAATAAAATGCTATATACACACTTAATAATTTCCTAAATTAAAAATAAAGCAAATATTAAATAATAGTATATTAGAATATTATTTTATTTAAATTTAACATAGTTTTTTTTTTTCTAATAAATAAATGACACGACCAGGAGAGATTTGCCGCACTTCATTAATTAAATTATATATTTTGCAAAATATCTTTATTAATTAAAATCTGTATCGAACCCAATACGCGGAAATAGTATTTTTTTTATATATTAATTAAATCAATAATATATTCAAAGCAAAACTTTAAATTTAAAATCGCATTAAACAACTATTCTGACTTTATTTTATTTTTTAAAATAAAACGTTACATTTAATTCGCATTTTACCAAAACTAAAACACAAAGTATAGAATATGATCATAAAAAAAATATATATATATATATATTAATATTGAAATTAAGTAGAAATAAAAGTAAAAAGACTAAATTAACCCTATTAATATTGTATAATATAAAAATAATAATATTTGTATAATATATTATAAATTGGAAAAATATTTATAATATTAAATAGATAGTACAATTACTTAAAAAAAAAATGAATACTTTGTTACGGGACAGAGAGAATATTAATTTTTTGACTTTGTAAAATTAGTAATAGAATAAATTTAACAAAACATACTAATAAAAAAGTAAAAGTAAATTTAGGACGAAAAAAATACTAGATAATACATCAGTTTCAACAAAAATACTTAGAAAAAATATCTAAACACTATTAACTTACATTTTTTTAAAGAGAAGTTTAACACTATTCATCAATGAGTAGTATTTTTTTTTTAAAAAAAAAAATTAAAAATTGAAGAAGTACTAGTTTAAGTAATACATGAGTTTCAACAAACATACTTAAAAAAAATAAAAAAAAAATCTAAACTCTATTTACATACACATTTTAATTTTATTTTTTTAACACTATTCGTCAATTATATATATTTTTTGATAAAATTAAAATTTTAGTATTATTTTTAAGTTAAAATATCAAATAAAATACCTCTCTTTTATTACTACAGTAATTCTCCAAAACTTCCCAAACCCTTACCTAAGGGAGCATAAAAACACCTAAGATAGTTCATCACACTGATTTGACGGCATTATCAATTGCTTAAAAATGCCAATAGACCATAACAAATGTGAGAACATTACCAATATAACATAGTAAATGATCACAAACATATCAATAGATCAAAGGGATCTGCTCATCATTCAAAGAGAATAAATATGTGATGACCGCAAAGCTAAATAGCAACCAACAATGAAGAGATCGTCTACATGTATTAATAGTCTCCAAGAATTTCGAATCAAAATACCAACAAACACATAGCAACTGAATTAGGATCCAAATCGAAATGTAAACACGCCCCTTCAAATTGCGTTCACAAAATTCATTTTTAACTCTAATTCTTCATGAAAAAAGGCAATAAGATGTAGTACCCACGAATAGCCTGCAAACTCAACGCAGCCCTTATGCTGAGCCGGCAGAAGCTTTCTTCCTTGGTGCTGCTTCAGTCCCTGATATACATCAAATGGAATAGTATTATAGACTCAGAAAAAAATGTATAAAATTCCATGTTTGAGTCGTTGACAACATAGAAGAATAAGCAATGGCATAAGAGCAATCACCTTCTCTAAAGTTGGTCTTGAATCTGCGAGGAACATGGCGCAGGTACCTCATTCGTCCAGTTCCGGTTGTCTTTCTGCGAATGGCCTTCACGCTCCAATTATCTGAAGTGCAAAATACGAGTCTTTGGATTAGAGGAGGTTTGAAATTAGTAATAGCTAGAAAATTGCACATAAATCTCTCAATCAATTGAGATGTAATTCAAAGTGATTGAGTCAGAAATGAAATGCAAATATATAATCGGAAAATAACTTGAACTGCTATGGGATTTCATGAAATATTCATCATAATATCACATCTGAACAATATGTAATATACAGGAAATCATAACCGGTTAAATCACGGCATATGGATTAATCATGAATCGCCTGCGAATTTGTTTCTATGTGCAATCCTAAATTCACAAAGTAATATGCAAATAATGAAGCGAAGCATACGAAATTGCGACACGTATAAAAGCAAAAGTCTAAAAATTTAAGAACTTCGGCAAAAAAAGTCGGTTTCTTCAAAATCAACGACAAAAGCAGTCAATCAAAAACGGCTTACATGTCCTCTTCCGCGCAGCTGGGAAAGCGCAGGCGGAGCAACGGCTCTTCTGAACGTGGAAGCTGCGGCGGCCACACCTCACGCATAGGACATGCGTCTTGTTCCTCCTCTTCCCAAAACTCCCCGTTCCTTTGCCCTACAGAAATTAATCACATAAAAGTAAAATCCCGTCCAAAAATTCAATCACTATTGAGAAGATATGAATGGTAAAATCAGATCAAACGTTCCGACACAGTATCGAGCTTACCATCGCCGCGAAGTTGCAGATAACAGAAAATCCTAGTTTCTGTGAGCAGAGGTTGAAGAAAACGGCAGCTGCGGTGGTAAATCTCCTCTTATACGCAGTGCTTAAAGGACGCGAGCCAATTAGGGTTTAGTATAGTGGGAATTGGGTCGTTAATGGGCCATTAAATGGGCCTATGATAGTTAATGGATCATCAAGGCCCTTATTGTTATTGAACTTGTATATGACAATTTTGGGCCTTAGATCCAAAAAGTCTCTTATTATTATTATTATTATTATTATTATTATTATTATATGATTATTTGTTTATTTATTATTTTCATAAATAGTGAGGACTGAACAGAACTTTAGCGCGGGAAAATTACGGGGTGAAGTAGAAGGTGCGTACCAATGGAGAAGAGCAGCAAAATGGAATTCCCAGCGTTCCCCTACAGGCCGTACTCCATTCAGCTTGATTTCATGAGATTTCTTTACGAATCACTCGATCGAGGAGGCGTATCGATGCTCGAGAGCCCCACTGGTATGGTTTAAATGCTTGCTTTAATAGGCCTGATGAATATGGAATCCGATTTGGTTTTATAATTTTTAAAACATGAATTCCATTTTAGAGGTGATTTGAGTTGGTGAATGGGTGGTACAGGGACTGGAAAAACCCTAAGCATTATATGTAGTGCACTGCAATGGCTCGTCGATAGAAAGAACAGGAAGGACGGTGAACTTGAGAGGTTGAAGAATGGTGCGAATGAGATACTGAATGTGGGTAAAGAGGCTGACGATGAGCCGGATTGGATGAGAAATTTTGTACCGAATAAAGAACAGGATGATTCAGCTGGTAGTAAGCATCTAACTGATAAGACAAAAACGGGGTTTCTTAGGAAGAAGAGAAAGAAGAATATTACGGATTTACATAGATCTATAGAAGAAGAAGAAGGAGCAAATAATGAAAATAGTAGCAACAAGGTGATGAAAAATGTGAATGCTGAAGTTGATGAGGTGGAAGACAAGGAGTTTTTATTAGAGGATTATGACAGTGAAGCGGAAAATGGTGGAAAATCAAGGAGTAAAAGTTCTGGAGTGGATGATGTTTTGTCAAGCGAGGAGGAAGAGAAGATGGATGAATTGGAGGAGGAGGAGGCGCGGCTGAAGATCTATTTCTGTAGTCGGACACATTCCCAGCTATCGCAGTTCATGAAAGAGCTAAGGAAGACTAAATTTGCTAGTGAGTTGAAGGTTGTGTGCCTGGGTTCTAGAAAGAATTTTTGCATCAATGAAGGTGTGGAATATTGCTCTCTTTTTGTAGGATTAGATCATGTTTACTCGTATGAGTATTTGATTTCGCTATGCTTGATTGCTCCTCTCAGATGTGCTGAAGCTGAGAAGTTCCATTCGTATAAATGAAAAGTGTATTGAACTTCAAAAGAATATGAAAGAGAGGGCTTCTAAGATGAAGGTATAGGTATCCTTACATTTGTTTTTTCTCCATATCGTCTTTAGATTGGAGTCATATTCTTTCAAGTTATATGTAATTTTTGATTGCTTTATGTGCTTTGTAATAACGTCTCTGACAGCAAGACAAGCTCATCATAATTAAGCTACTGCTGCTTTCATGTTCATAGTTTTGATGATATATGCAATCAGAACTTCAAATACTTCAATATAGTGTCATGAAATTGATATTATGTTTTATGAACGATTTCTTGCTGATTACCAGAAGTTGGGCACGGGCAAAAGTGTACACTGTAACAAGGCTTCCTCTGGATGTCCAATGTTAGGAAGAAGAAAAATAGAAGAGTTCAGAAATGAGATTATTCGCCTGGAAGCTCTAGATATTGAAGATCTTGTTCGTGTTGGGCATGAAGTGGGGAGTTGCCCTTATTATGGTTCAAGAAGGATGATGCCTGCAGCTGATCTTGTGGTTCTTCCTTACCAGTCACTTCTTTCAAAATCATCCCGTGAATCGTTGGGTCTGAATTTAAACGATAGTGTTATTATTATCGACGAAGCACACAATCTAGCTGATACTCTCATCAGTATGTACGATGCAAAAATTACAATGCCTCAGGTAATGATAGTATTGTACTCTTTTGTCATTGACCGTTAGTGCTGCTTAAGTTCTGTAAGATGTTTTCACTATCAAAATTCATGCTGTCCCTACATTTCTCTCTGTTCTTTCTTTTTTGAATCATCCATTAATTTTGGTTCCACGCCTCGCCTTTCAGCTGAACAAGTTGAATTCTCACTTAGATGGGTATTTCAAGCGATTTCGTAACCTCTTAGGGCCAGGAAACAGGAGGTATATTCAGACTTTGATGGTTCTTGTCCGGGCTTTTTTGCAAATGTTGAGCAACAACAGTCTCCCTTGCGATGCTGGTGATATTAAAAGTTCCTCTGTATCTACAATGACCATCAATGAGTTTTTATTTGCTCTAAACATTGATAACATAAACCTGGTCAAGCTGTTACAATACATGAAAGACAGCAACATAATACATAAGGTAAATGCGTGTTCCTTATTCTATATATTTGTCATATCCCTCATTGTTTCTTGCTCTTGAACTTTGGAACATCAAAGTTCTTTTGTTTGTCTTGTTCATAGGTCAGTGGTTATGGAGATAAAATTGCCATCTCTCCAAAAGTTGTCATCGACAATGAAGTGTTTAATGAGGAGGAAAGTGCGTTGTCCAGTTTCAGGGCATTAGCTGATATGTTTTCATCTTTGATTAACAATGACAAAGATGGAAAAATAATAGTCTCCCGACCAACACTGACATATGATGGTCTAGAAGGAGGATCTATAAAGTATGTCATGCTTACTGGAGAGAAAATCTTTTCTGAGGTCTGCTTCATTGCTAATATTGTTATATTCTGGAATACATTGAAATTGTCATTTATGTGATTGTAGAAATTCCTCTTGGATAGGTTGCCGATCAAGCGCATGCTGTAATCTTGGCTGGAGGAACTTTACAACCTATAGAGGAAACAAAAGAAAGACTCTTTACATCACCGAAGCTAAATCAGTTGCACTTCTTTTCATGTGGTCATGTAATCCCATCGGAGAACATTTTGCCAGTTGTTGTTAAGCAAGGTCCTTCTGGCCAGCAATTTGATTTTAGCTTCAAAGCCAGAACCTCTTCAACCATGGTAAGAAAGAATGCCTTGTCCATCACTCTTTAATATAAATCTTAAATGCTTTTGTAGAACCCCCCACAACACCCCCCCCCCCCCCCCCAACAAAGTTATCCACTTGTGAAATTACTGATTATGATATCTGCAGTTGAACTCTTTGTCAGTTCTGCTATTAATTAGCAATTGTGTGTCTTCTTGAAATTAATAACAGGTTGAGGAGCTAGGTCTTCTCCTTTGTAATCTAGTCACAGTTGTTCCGGAAGGTGTGGTTGTATTTTTCTCATCATTTGATTATGAAAGCCATGCATATGATGCCTGGAAGACATCTGGACTTCTTTCAAGGATTATGAAGAAGAAACACATATATAGAGAGCCGAGAAAAAGTTCGGATGTGGAAGCTATCTTGAGAGAATACAAAGAAACAATTGATGCAACATCCATTAATAATTCATCATCTCTTAATGGTGCAATTCTCCTTGCTGTTGTTGGGGGGAAGGTATCTGAAGGTATTAATTTCAGTGACGGGGCAGGTCGATGTATAGTAATGGTTGGATTGCCCTATCCTAGCCCCTCGGACGTTGAGTTAATTGAGCGGGTGAAACACATTGAGGGTCTTGAGAAGACAAACCTTGGCAAAAACCTTAACACTTCCATCCATGGTGATGTTCAGACAGGGCTTCACATTCTCAAAAGCTGTACAGGCAGGGGCAAAGATTACTACGAAAATCTTTGCATGAAGGCTGTGAATCAATCCATTGGTAAGTGCTGTTACGGAAAATTAACTTCTGAGGAACATTTATGCATTTTTGCATAACCCTTAGAGACTACAATTTCAGTGTGAGCTCACATGATTTACATTAATTTGAATCTCTTTAATCTTTTATTCAGTTGTTGTAGATATTGAAATCTTTTAACCCATTTTATCCATTTGTTTTATACAAATTTTCTTGATGCCATGACTTCACCTTGCAGGCAGAGCAATTCGACATGTAAATGATTATTCGGCTATCTTGTTGGTTGATGCGCGCTATGCTCCCGGATCGACAAAAGCAGGCTTCTCCCACTCAACCAACAAGCTACCGCAATGGATCAAAGAAAGGCTCGTAAGTACAGCCACCAATTATGGAGAAGTTCATCGATTGTTGCATCAGTTCTTCAAATTACACAAGGGAAAAGTTAACAATTAGTAAAGACTTCAGCCGCAAGGCTGGATACTACACAGAAAAAGCAGATGACCGGTACATTGTATAGCTCCCGTCTTTCTTGCCTACATTAACAACATTCAAAGCTCACATTTAGCCTAATCTCAATTATCTGAATTAGCAGAATCATCCTAGTGAGTTGGTTACACTTTTATGAATACATCAATTTATATATCGTACGTTATAGCTGCTTTCTGTCCATATATATATCTGGATAAAACACACTTTTCTGTCGTTTTCGCTCCTTCATATGACTGTGTGAGGCCAAAGAGAACAGGTCCCCAAGTTTCTATTACTCCTTCCAATAATTAGTAATTTGGTTGGTTTGTGTTTGAAATTAAATTTTGGTTTAAATAGTATTTTGATATGACTTTAGGGAGAATAAATAGTTATTTTTATTGGGAACTCTGAGGATTGAACAGTGTAGTTTTGGGTTTGAAATGCAAAATAAACACATAAAAAAAGCAGAGGTAAGAATATGCCTAGTTTTTCATCCTTCTCATTATAAATATAAAAGCTCCTCCATTTTTCACACATATTTCTTTTTAGGTCAAAATTTGGCTAAAGAACCTTCCTTATCATTATAGTCTTCACATTTGGTTAGAATTGGATATTACAGATAGGTTCTTTACATTAAAAAGGGACAACACAGAAGTTAAAAGGCCAATGGAGCCAAAACTGAGGAATTTTGTCCCACTTTCTCTCCAGGTAATAATCACAAGAAACTTCAGTTCTTGTCTCATCTACTCTCTGCAACATATTTGTCTAAATGTTTGAATTCTTGCAGGAAACCGAATGCCCCGACAGACAATTCTCACTTTTGTCCCTGCAGCAGATAAGATTACAAAAATGAGCAGCAAAAGGTAGCAAAATATCAAAGGTGAAGTAAAAAAATGCTTATCCAAGAAATCTTTTACAAAACCAACAGATTCTTCAACAAAACCTTCATAAATGTCAAGTCCTGTATTTCATGTGGATATCGAACATCCCCTGAATCTCCTATCAATTTTTCTGCGACAGCAAGATCAGCTCCCGGATGCAGGAGCTCGACAACTTCTGCAGGAGCCTCTGAAAACAAAAGATGGACACTTGTCACCAACAGCATTAGCAAAAGGTTGCGAAGAACAACCAAATGGATTGACAGAAGACAATGAAATGTGCAGAGTCTCGGCCAAGAAGTCAGGTAAAGTCGAGTAGCCTTATTGCAGATACTTTGGCCAAGAAGATGAAAGAGTTGGAGATGATGATGGCCCACAAGGATATGGATAATGTGATGGATATCGAAGAGGTCCTACATTACTACTCCCGACTTACATGTCCTGCATTCGTCGAAATTGTCGACAAGTTTTTCAGGGATATGTGCTGTGAATTGCAGCCATGTTGGAGTGGGAACAGTTCAATGAGGAAGGCAGGATTCATAGCTCAAGGAGAAGCCTTGGCCATATCAAGCTGTAGCCTGTAGTAGATAAGCCAAAGCTGTAATTTAATTTTCTATGTTTTATCCATCTAAAAGTATATAATTACTAATTTTAATCTCATTTCTGTATAAATTAGAAAAGAAAGAAAAAGAAAAGGTTAAATCGACATAATAAAGAAGTATATATATTTAATACTATTTCATAGGAAGGGTACGGTATAAATAAAGAAGTATATATATTTAATACTATTTCATAGGAAGGGTACGGTAAATGGGAGAAAAGGAATAAAATATTGAATTAAATATTATTTAAATATAAAATTTGAATTTTAATATCTAATTCCTAAAAAACACCTGCTCTAATTGAATATTTCCATTTTCTTATTATTATACAAATTTTATTATATTTTTAAAAAGTTAAAATTAATTTTTTTAAAATCAAACTATTACATTTAAAGTGTTTAAAATAGATGAAAAAAATAACTGTACGTATTGGGTTTATACTATTGGAATTACTTTTTTATTTTGAAATTGTTTGTAATTTCAAACAAAAAAATTTATTTATTCTCATAAAATATAGCATCAAAGTGATATTTAACTCAAAATTCTAATTAATTAATTAAAAAAAAAAAACACTTCAACTCAAACAAAACCAAACAGGCCCAATCAAATTTAAAATAGAAATAAATATTCAATCTCATTAACAATAAATTACAAGACTATTTATACATTCATCAAATTTCAATACCAACCTCAACATTTTCATTTATCATTTCAGGTGTGACTATAAACACTGCCAAAAAGACATTACAATCCAAAAGAGCTTTACAACGCCACCACCTTCTTCACCAACAAATCAATACAAAATCAACAATATATCTTGAATTCAACAGCCAGAGATCAAGGGCTGTAGTTTTCGATCATTCTTTCGACGCATTCGAAGACGGCTACGTATACTCATAGCCGAATTTCCAGCTGCATCGAGCAATCACGACGAACTTCATTTTCGTACGGAATTCCTAAGCAAGCTGCTTCACAATCAACCATTATATGCAAGATTGTATGCATTCGTATATCTCGACATTATGTAGCTCTAGTAGTAGTTAATGATCAGAAGGGGCGAGGACGTTGTGCTCCATCAAAAGCTTTTGGAATCGAGCCAAATGATTTTGTAGCTGTAAGATACCTGCTGCTTTCTTGGATAGGATTGAGTTCAACTTTGAAATGTATTCGTCGAGCTGATTTCCAGGTTGATCAGCATCGACCAATAGATCCATCTCCTGTGAAGGTACCGGGAATATCTCAATTGTGTCGTGATTGGAAAACAAAAAAAAAAAAAAAAAATGAGAAAAGGGTAATTGATGAGACAGAAAGTGAATGTGACGAACCTCACGAACAATTTCAATCGTTTCCTCCACTTGCTTTCTGTGACAATTGACAAAATCTTCCTCTTCCTGTGGAAGTTGAGAAGAAATTAAACAGATATGGATATGTAATGAGATTAGTCGATTTCGGAAAATAGTTCTTTACCTTCAGCAAAGCAGCCAAATTGTTGTCGGGATTTGAATGTTTCATTTCCAGTTTAGGAGCTCCCACTAACTTTGCGTGGCTATTGGCTCTCTTAGCTCCTTCATCCACATTGGAGTATGATCCGACTTTCATGGTCTTCTTCCATGTCCATTTCTCAGGCTCGTAGAACTCATCTTCATATTCTTCAGGCTGTGGTTCAACCGAGTCGTCATCTTCAAAAGTTGGGGGTGGGGGTGGGGGTGTCGACTCCTTCAAGTTTGAGGTTGAAAATGAAGTGTCCCTTTTGGAATTGTTTCCTTTGGAAAGGCTCTTTACTCTGGAATGGGAATAGATTGTAGATTATATATACATAATATATATATATATATATAACAACTTGTGGAGTGTATGTATCATTATTCATTTCCAGCACATGTGATTAATCTCTTATTGAAAAATCGAAAGATTAGACTCACCTGTCGGCGTATCTTAATGTATTCAAGGTATGTTCGCATGATCCTGCATTCGGTGAGATACATGATACCATCACCGTACGAGAGTTCCCAACAAAGGAATCTCTCAACACTTCTGTTAATTTGCTGCCTCTAAATGGAATGTGCCCTTGATCGTTGTCGAGAGCTCTAATACACTCCTTAAGTGCAAGCAAACTTTTATTGATCTCAGCTCCTTCCATTCTGCATTCGGAACACGAGACTTGCACTTAGGCAGATAAAGATTTACATATTCAATTTCTCCCTAAAAAATTTCTCACTTCATTAACACACTCATATACTTCCAAGTTACATTCACTTTATGACAACTAACAAATATAATACAATATTTGTTAAAATCTGTGTTCAACTCAAATGAACGTAAAATTCCTGGATGGAGGGAGTAAAAGTTTTATGCCACAAGTATAGTGCTTAATTGAGCCAACCCCATTTCAAGTTTTCGAGCTAGACTCAATCTTTTACAAAGTTAGCTTGAGGGCACTCGATTGAGGTAAATAAATTTTTGGCTAAAGCTCAGACATGTTTATATTCGAGATCAAGCCTATGCTTAGAATCTAAAACAAGGATCAACCTAATTTGAGCAGCTTGGTTATTAGAAAAAGTAGAACATACTTGACTCAACAACTGGCTCATGTATTTCTCAAGCGTGAACTCAGCTCGTTTAATATGATTAAAGAGTGGAGTTCAAGCTAAACCTTATCAAACTTTCGAGTAGCTTGAATCAAGTAACAGCACTACCCATGAGGAAAAGGACAAAGGTGATTAGGTTATGCAGGTCCGAAAAGTAAAATAATGGCTTATTACAAGCTACATGTATACCTGGTCTGCTTATCATTATCAGTGGTATCTGCACCGCGTTCACTGCCGGCAAGATCGATGAAGGAGAGCTTGCCAACAACCTTCGGAGGCTTGGATTCACTGCCGTCAGCTGATCTTTTAATACTAAGCTGAAGAATGGCATGAGATCTGGAAGATTCCTCATTTGCACCTGTGGTACCAGTACTTCTACATGCATTTCCTTTTTCGATTAATTCCTTGACAGTCTCCACATCCGATACACGGTATTCTTGCAGGCCCACAATGCAAACTTGCTGCTTGCCATCTTCCCTCATGAAGAGTTTTCTGTAAGTGCCATAGTTTTATAAGTATCACTAAAGTCGTGTTTATGGTGTATAGAGATGCTGGAATAGTGAGACAACTTACTTCCTGTCACTGAGTAGATCAAAGAGTTTTCCTCCATAAATCTCGAAGAAGCTGACAAACAACTGAAAGCCTTGGTTTCTGTAGGTGTAGTGCATCAGCCTCAAGATATCTCTAACTGCTTTGAGGGGTAGTGGTTTCATTGTATATGTCTTGCCACTTCCTGTGAAGTTTACAGAGTAGACGTAAGATTAAAGACTCGAAGAATGATGCAAAAGAAACAGAAGAAAGACCAAAGTAGGTTGCTGAATTTTACATGGATATGAGCAACATTGGATATGAACAATTTAAAATTACGGTATGGTCTAATCATTTTTCGATTATAATGTCAATTACTGTCATTTTTTAAGAGGGCTCCATAGTTGTGTGAAAGTGAAATTTCAAGTTTCAGATATTGACTAACATATTCACAGCAAGAAACTGATAAAGGCAACTATAATACAAAGCTGTATCTAATGATTGAATGGATTCACTACCTGTTTGCCCATAAGCAAAACAAGTGGCTTTTGTTCGTTGGAAAATTATTGGAACAATGGCTTCTACAGTTTCACGATACACCTACAAAAACGAGATATAATCAATCCAAGACCTACAACAAGACGAAAGTCAATTCACCTCAATATTGGGTCTAGTAGAGACACATAATCACCTCATTATTTGAAACTTCCTCATTCAACACTGCATCAAAACAAAATTCATGTTTCTCCACATATTCTGTCAGATCAACCTGCAAAAAAAAAAAAAAAAAAAAAGAAAAATGGATTTTTGGGCTTTGAATATTAAATAATAATAATAAGAAGAACAACACAAAGAAACAATACTCTAATCAGCTGAATAAAATTGAAATAAATTGGAATGCCATTTTGACCTTTGACAACCAGATATCTAATCCAAATCAGGATAAAATTAGACCAACCAATAACTAAATATACTGCCTTCATCTATCAACGAAAAATGGAATAAATTTTTTTTTTTCCATAGCAATTATTGTTGATTAAGTGCACTTAATCCATCCTAGCAAAAAGATTTATGTTCAGAAGCTATAGGAACTACACATCATATAGTCACTCTAAAATTCCTATAGGCACATGAATAAGTACAGAAAGAACTTAAAAAATATGTCTGGACCTTAAGTTTTGTCTCATGAACCACGAGAGAATTTGAATGCGTTTCTATGATGTCTTCTTCATTCTTTGCCAGCTCTTTTTTGTTCAATGGCCTTTTCCGAACCTGCAATAATATAATTAATATTGCTACATACACTGGAACAGCAACAGTATCCCAACTTTTAAGTGATTGATCCAATGCATGCTACACATCACATGGAAAAATATACAATTTCCCTCAATTGTGGCACGTAAAAGCATAATTATTCCAAATAACTAAAACAATAGAATAAGAAGCATGTTTCTTGTTAGACTGTGAACAACCAAACCAGTTAAACAAAATGATCTATGATCACGGACAGTAAAAAAAAAAAAAACAATTAGTTGGGACAGATAAACATGAACAAAGATTGATTCACGTACAACTACTTTGATCTTCGCAACATTGCTGGATGCTTTTGCATTGTCAGCTGCAAGACTTCTCATTACATTATTATCGGGTAACAGAGAAGCTCTCTCAGATTGTTTATTGTTTCCAAAATATGGGTCCGAGTCATCAAAACTTCTCCCCCGGGAATGATAATTAACAACTGGGATACCAGGCATCGGCATCTGTTAAACAAATTAAATATCAGATGATAAAAAACAATCAACCATTACAAAGGAAAACTGGAAAACCAATAGAAGGATAAAAGGACAGCATAATGTGTAGTCAGAGAGTAGTTTCTATCTGATCGTGTAGTTCATTTAATTTTCCACAAATCAGATTCGATGGAAAATTCTCTGGCATCATGTTGCATTCTAAAAATACAACAACTAAACCACGAGGTGTGATATTTAGACGAAATGAAAGTATTCAATATTCGAAGGGAAAAACTACAGCCCTGAAACTTCAATTACTGGAGAATGACAGATTCCTACAAGTCTTCAATATCTGAGCACCATTATAATGATCAAGAATCATGAGGGAACAACATTTCAATATAAATTTTACTGCATCATTATGTTCAGTGCAACCAACTTGCAACTCAAAAATGAAGACAAAATTGATCCACATACACCAATAAACTATATATATATACTAAAAATGCGTTGACTGAATAGCTAGCTTCTTCAAAGACAGATAAACAGACTCTACCACTGACAACTCTCATCGACATTCAACAGGTGATTGTCAATCAGATTCTACTTCTTTCTTCAATTCCTTCCAAATTTGTGGCCCTCTAGGATGAGACTCTACATAAGTCTTCATAAACATTTCATCCGAGGATGACAACAAAGTGCTCAAGGCCAAATCTGGTGGCACTGCTGCTTCATCTTTAAGCCATTTATACATCAAAACTCTAAGTTTGACCCTTGGAATTTTATAACACAGAATTTTCGGATATCCAACCAATTCAGGCACTGGGATTCCCAATTCTTCTACCAAAAACTTAACCTTCATTTCAAGAATTTCCTTGGACTGATTAAGAATCCGAGGTGTTAACCGAAACATACTCGCAACTTCCACGTGGCTCAATCCACTGTTCATTAGACAATCAAATCTATCTTTAAGTGCTGCTCCTCGGCCTCGAAGCACTTTGAGAGCTTCCATCATTTCTTTCGAATTTTCTTTGTATCCTAAACTTAACAAGAACTTGGTTTTCAACATTGTTGCCTGCAGAACCCTATATTTAGCCTCATGCACCGGGTCAACTCTTAAGCCAAGCGCCCATTTCTGTAACAGGTTGGGATCATCCTTGAGCATTTGATTGAGCTTGGCCTTTCCACAGTTCAGCGAAGTCTGCAAGCTCTTTACACTTTTGGGATCAGATGATCCAAGCAGCACGGGATGTGATCGCACAAACCAACCAAGTTCTTCAAAACACATGTTAATGTCTCTCAGAAATTTCAGAGAGCAGCATATATTATTCGTGAATTTCACAACCGATATTTCCGGAAATTGAAGGAACAAATTTTGCATATCAGCAAAAGTGAATCCAAATTTCCAAAAGAATCCAAACAAAGGGAGTGTCGTATGCTTGGGGCACTCGAGCAAAAGCTGAGGATGCTGTGTACATGTTTGTTTTATTTTCTCCTCATTCAAACCCATCGCATTGAATTGGCGCATTACCTTGAGCATACCTGTCCAGTCGTAAGAATCTTCAACAGATATATGCTCTTCAAGCCAATCATTTTGAATTCCTGCTGTTTTCAACTTGGCAAGAAACTCAACAAAACCAGAATTTTCAACTAATAGTCTGGGGGTGGAAGCAATAATCTTGGCTACAAGGGTGTAGTTTAATCCCAAATTCTGAATAGATTGGAGCTTTAGCGATAAAACTCCATAATCATACCCAAAAATCTCAGTCGCTTCTTTATAAATCTTTCCAATCCAATCTCGCTGAATGCCATAATTACACAAAGCATAATAGTTTTCCAGCAACAATTCATCATCACTTAGAAACATCATATTCCGCGGAACAAAGGGCAAATATTCAGAAGGCTTCAAACCTATGCTCTCAAAAAATGGCTCAAACTCATTAATGGGATGGTACCTCAAGAACCGGGTCAGCGACTTCTTAACTTGTGCTTCATCTATATCCACTCTCTTCGCCAAACTATCGAAAAAGTGGGGGGTGTTCCTGCTCATATTCTCAGCATCAATGATCTGCAAGCCCCTGGTGCCATGGAAGTAGTCTAACAGAGCGTCTTGAGCTTCAATCCTTACACGCGATTTCTTCGCTAGCTCACAGAGATTTCCACAGTTACTCGAATTAACAGTTCCAGTTCTGTAAAGCCTACGGGGATGCGACACATCAACATAAAATTTATGATTATTTTCTGGGCAGAATATTACAGATATCCATTTGAGACCATTCGATGATCTAAACTTGCGTAAATTGCTCATGTGGTATTATTAGTACCTCTAGCGGCGGCCTAAGCCGCGACCGGAGAACAAGAAAGGGACCTTTTTTGCAGATTAATGGCGACACACAAATGAAGCAGGAAGAACGAACAGCAATGATGCTAGGGCTTTAATTTGTTCGAAAGGGGAGGGCATAAGACGAAAGAAATAGAAACAGCGGAGGGTAAAATGGGTTTTTTACCTCAGTCAGTAGCTCGGAATCGAAGGCCTGAAGATCCAAAAGCCCAGAGCTGTTATCACTCTGTGATCCTCTTTCTTCCCCATTCTTACAACTGGAATTACCCGTCGGCGTTAATGGCAGAGCAAACAAATCCACGCTTCCTTTATAAGACGTCTGCGGCTGCACGCTACGATATGATCTCGAACCTTGATCCCCACCCATATTATGGTATCCATAACCCTTAATTCGAGTAAGAACCAAATAACAACATTCACAAATCCAAAATCGGAGCTCCAGATTGTAGAATCAGATCCCGCAACTCCACATACAAATAAACCATAAAAACGCACCTGAATTGGAGGAATCGCATTATCCGACGACTGAAATTGCTGCAAACCAGCTGATTGCAGCCATCGGCCGTTCGACGAAGTTGCCAGGAAATTTTCCGAGCTCTGGCGGTGATGATGCGCCCCTTGAACGCCGGATCTCTGCCTGCCCATCATGCTGATCTTCTTCGAGAAAATCGAAAGCCGTCGTCCCGCCGGCGTCCAAAGCCCCCTGGATTCCGAATTTTCCGATTAGCTGTATCCTCGGTGATGACTACAGTGGCGTAGATTGTAGAATGCATGTCTGATTGTGAGGCAAGCAAATCAGTATTTATGGTGTTCTGAGGATGAAATACGGTGAAGCTTTGAATTCTGTAGACGGTGACGTCGCACGTGTGAAATGGCACGTGTGAGAAACATGATTGGCTGAGTCCAGTGTGGGACCCGGTTTTTTAAATTTTCCTTCGCTCGTGCTTCCCATGTCGTTTTGTGCGTTCGGTGCATGTCGTTTTGGGCCCAAATATTAGAAAACAGCCCACTCTCATATGGTCTATGGAGGTGTTCGAAATGTTTTTTCATATAATTTATTATTTTATATTCCATCCGTCTTAAAACTATAGTCAGCTGGATATTATATTAGTAGTTGGTAAAAATATAGATAGAAGACTTTTTTGTTCTTGTGAGTGTATTAAAGTAAAAAGTAGTAACAATTGTGTAGTAAAAATGAAAAAATAGTGGTAGTTTTATGGTGATATGATTATGAACAGGTAGACTGCTACGCTGCAAAGGAGCCCAAGCGAGCAGCTTAAGCCATTAGGTGTAGGAGCTTTTATGGAAATAAGACTATTGTTTTGGAACGGACAAAAATAGTAAATAAGACTACTACATTGAAATGAATGAAGTATATTGTATTAATACTTGCTCTATGTATTATATATGATGTTGTACTATATAATTATTATGTTAAAATCATAATATATTGTAATATATATAATTATATAATGTGTTATTACAATATGTATTTTTGGACAAAAAATTGTGTTATTTTTAATAAACACAAAATTTGTACAAATTATATTTGATTTGAATTCAAAGCGGGTCATATTCTCTAAATGAGTCATTTGATTCTTCTTCCGGGTGGATTTATTTTCCAACTTGGTTTTCTATGGCTTCTTTGATCCGAAGAGATTTGGTCTTCGGTTTGATTCTGCCGGCTTTTGAAGGGTTTTGGTCTCCGTGCTGGCGATTTGATCGTCAGCTTTGGATTTGATGTCTTTTTTAGACGATCCGATACTTTGATCTTTGATTTGGCTTTGCCGCTTTTGGAGAATTTTGGTCTCCATGTTGGCGATCCAATCGTCGTCTTTGGATTTGTTGTCCTTTTTAGACGATCCGCGACTTTGATCTTTGTTTTGGCTTTGCCGCTTTTGGAGGACTTTGGTCTCCGTATTGGCGATTTGATCATCGTCTTTGGATTTGTTGTCTTATTTAGACGATCCACGACTTTGACCTTTGCTTTGGCTTTGCCGCTTTTGGAGGACTTTGGTCTACGTATTGACGATTTGATTATCGTCTTTGGATTTGTTGTCTTCTTTAGACGATCCACGACTTTGACCTTTGCTTTGGCTTTGCCACTTTTGGAGGACTTTGGTCTCCGCGTGGGCGATTCGATCGTCGGCTTTGGATTTGATGTCTTCTTTAGACAATCCGCAATTTTGATCTTTGGTTTGCCTTTTCCGTCTTTTGGAGAGCTTCGGTCTCCGCGTGGGCGATTTGATCCTCAGCTTTGGATTTATGTCTTCTTTGGACGATCCGCAACTTTGATCTTTGATTTGTCTTTGCTGCTTTTGGAGGATTTTGGTCTCCGCGTGGGCGATTCGATCGTCGGCTTTGGATTTGATGTCCTCTTTAAACGATCCGCAGCTTTGATCTTTGAGAATGTGGATTTGGTGCTCCATAACGCTTTTGGCGGCGTGTCCCTTTGATTTTTGGATCGAAGAGGGCCGAGTTGTTGCTTTGGTGAAGAATGCGATGAATACCTTGAAGCTTTGGGATGAACTTTGGAGACTTTCCCTTGGCTTTGACGAATTCCTCAACGGCTTTGAGAGCTTTGATCCTCGAAGAGGTGGATTTAGTGCTCCATAACGCTTTTGGCGGCGTGTCCTTTTGAATTTTGGATCGAAGAGGGCCGAGCTTGCGCCTTTTATGAAGAACGCGATGAACACCTCGAAGCTTTGAGAGAAACTTTGAAGACCTTTCCTTGGCTTTGACGAATTCCTCGACGGCTTTGGGAGCTTTGATCCTTCCTCCGGCTTGGACATACGACGAAGAACGTTAACTTCATCGATTCGTCAACCAATATTGGATCATTTGTCCAAATTAGTGACTTTCGACGAAAAACGCTTCGAAGGACACGAAGAACATGAAAAAAAATACAAAGAGAGTCTAGAGACTTACCCTTGCTTGAATCCTCGATGCAACTTCGGTGTGTCAAATGAACTGGTCATGACTCCTATTTATAGGGGAGGGCGGCCTTGGCTTCCTTTTCGGATGGTGCTACGTGGATGGAAAGATTTTATAATCTTTCCTTTTCCATTGGATGCCGTTTTCCATTCTTGAAGGATTTGATTATGCACCTTCTTTTCTCGCCAAAATATTTATATTATTGCCATTTTTGGAAGATATTAATTTATATACTTCATTTATTGACAAGATCTTTATATTATTGCCTTGTTTGGAAGATATTAATTTATATACTTCATTTATTGACAAGATTAATTTATTTTGCTGCCAAATTTATTATGACTCTATTTATGCACACGTAATATTTGTACGATATCTTCCATTTTAAGCAGATTTTTGCATTAATATTTATTGTACAAAAATTAACATGGGTGCATAATTAAATATCATATATTTATTTTATTGAAATTTTATTTTCTTCCAAAATACACGATATTTAATTGATTTTAGACATATTTTTAATGTCTACAGTATTATATATTATATTAATATATATTATTTTCTTTATAAATATTTACTAATTTGATCAATCTATACATGTTATATGTAATTATATAAATGAATTACATATTATATAATATGTGCTATTTTATATATTATGTCACTCTTAAAATTTAAAAAACAATTCATTTTTTATTTCATACTTTCAACTATCTCACACATAAAAAGATATACCAAAATTTTAGTATGGGAGTATATATATATATACTGAATTAATATACCGCCTAATATATATATACCCAAATACTAAAATCAAAAATAAATTTATAATTTAAAAAAAAAAAATTTTAAAAAATATTGTTTAGCTTCAAGATCTCATTTACCTTATTGTACTTAATATTAAAAATATATTTATATTTGTATAATTTTTTCACCAATATCATTATAGTAGTATTTTAAAAAATTTAAAATATTTTTATCATTTTTTCTTATATTTATTTTAATATAATAATTAATATTCAAAAAATCATAAAAAAATAAATGGACCACCGGAGGTAGTATAATTTTGATATAAATTCATCAAATTTTTATTTTCCTTATTTATATATCATAATACTAAAAAATAAAAATAGTATCACATGATGTTTTTGTTATATATCGATATAATTTCGATATTTCAGTTAGAATTTTCCATTTCAAAAATATTTATAGAAAAGATGATAGTTAAAAAATAGTAAAAAAAATCTAAAGCTATACAACATTGGGTGTACGGACAGCGGCATGATCATCCCTATGGCTATGGATGCATCTAACGGCAGTCTCGTAGGCTGTAAAGACGACGCCATTGACGACAAAAGCTCGACCTAACGTCGTCCCTAACCCTCTCCAAAGCACACTGTACCCTTCACTCGCCACGCTTTTCCGGCAGCAATCCACCATCCCGGTGTACGGCCCCGCCGCCTGGATTCTCGTCTTCAGAACGTCCACCGGATAGCACACCAGCCAGCTGGCGGCGCCGGCGGTGCCTCCGGCGACCACCGTCGTCGTGAGCGACTCGCCGCCGTGTTTCCGGCAGCCTGGATGGAGGCGTTCCCGAAGGTACTCGTAGGCCCAGAAGTACATGCCGTGGCCCGGCGCGTCGCGGAGAACGGTGGCGGCGAGGCCGCGGAACAGGCCGCGGCTGCCGTGGGATTGGAGGATTTGGCGGAGGGCGCCGCCGGGAGACGGCGGGTGGAGCTGCTGCCGGATTTTGACGAGCTCGATTGGGGAGATGAGGGCGCTCTGAACGACGCCGGAGCCGACGCCGGCGAGGGCGACGGTGGTGTACGGAGAGGGCTCGTCTGGGGTGGAGGTCCGGGAGTTGAGGGAACGGGATAGGGTGTTGTAGGATTGGAACGTGACGGCGTTCTGTAAGCGACGGTGGGTTGTGAGAATTGACCGGAGGTCCGGGAGTAGTTGATTGAATGTGGTTTTAAGAAAATTGCGTAACAAAAGCTCTTATTGTTCTAATTTTTTGTCTAGATATTTTATCAATTTAAGTTGAAAGTAAACATTTATTGACGTATAACTTTTAAAATGTATTTTATATTTTAAATTTTAATATATAATTATTTGTATTATATTATAATTATTTTTATTAATTATATATTTTTTAAATTATCTTGTATACAATAAATATAACACCAAAGACAGAATGAACAATATTTTAATTGTAACAAAAATTAAAATTATGTGACAATATAATAGATAGGAGTATATAATTAATACTAATTATTTCGTAATTAAGGCTTTATTTAGACATAGGTGTTTAAAGAACTTTGAGATTTTGAGAATTTTTGAAAAAAATAAAAAAATAATAAAAAATTAATATTTAATTTTATATTTTGTGGGAGAAAAAATAAACTTAATATGATATTTTTAAAAAGTAAATAATATCAAATGGATAAAAATTTATTATTTATACAAAGTCTAAATAATTTAAAATAGAAATATATATAATTTGTATGTGAATATATATATATATATTTTTCATTTTTATAAGTATATTTGTAAATGTAATCAAGTCTGATTCTTTTTCCTTTTAAATGTATATATTTTTATAATTTTAGTTTTAAATTAATAACTAATTTAACTTCGAAAATATACCTGAAAGCTGATGGAAACTAAAGGGCCTAGCATTCCTCGAAAGAGACTCCCGGGACCTTCCCTGGCAACGATCTGCCGGAAAATGGCGACCGCCGATGAGCCATTTTTCGCTTGCTGCTGCCGGATTCTCACGGTGTCCAGCGGTTGTCCGACTAAAACGCCGACGCTGCCGCCGATTCCTCCGGCGACAAACTCCGTCCCCCAACTGCTTTCCAAGAACTCCGACCAGATGCTCATTCTGAATTCTGACACACCAACCCTTTCATACAACCCTTCTTCTCCTTCTCCTTGCCTGCGAAACATAAAAAATACAAAAAATCAGAAAATTGTCCAAATATAGACTCAGGAGTGTGTTTGTTAGAAAGTATGAATTTTGAGTCTTTAAATTAAAATAATGCAATGACGAGATATAAATAAGTATTTGAATTTATCCATTTTGGCTAAACACTACTTAAAAATGAATATTTTATTAAAAATAAAAAAATAAAAAAATAATTAAAAATATTTTTAAAAATTTTAGTTAATAATTAAAAAAATAGAAACAAAATGTAATAAAATAAATATTAAATAAATTATAATATTAAATATTGATTTTTGCCTTTTCATAACATCGATAAATTTAAGTTAAATGCACGAACAAAAAAATAAAAATAATTTGATAAATATTTAATTTAATATTTTTAAAGCAAAAAAATTGATAAACGATGAAAACTTGTAAAAATCTCCCAAAGAACACGCCCTCAGTTTACATATGTAAATATGTAAATATCTTAATATTAATTACCTGTTTGAACAAGGAAAAGGAGTTTCAGATTTTGCAGGAGGCGCCTTTTGGTTAAGTACTTTCGCTTAAACGAAAATTTCCAATAATGTGTCCGTTTGTTGCAGTTAATTATTGTTAAGGATCGGCTTATTTATTAATGGAATCTATTTTCAGTTATTTGTGAGAGGATTAGATTTGCAGGCGGGGCGACCTCGGCGGGAAGATGAACAGATAGCTGACACGTGGACCAATGGGAATTCGGCTGTTACAGTTGAATGTGTTGGGCCAAAAATTGGGCCTATAAATAAGGGTTGTGTAATTAGGCCCGAATGTGATGTATAACGAGCAAAATATCTTATCATCGTCTTCCTCTTTGAGGAGCTGTCTGAGTTTCAGTTGAAGCTGAGCAGCCAAAAAAATGGCGCTTTCAACGGCGAAATTGACGGAGCTTCCGCCGCACGTTCTGTCGGCATTTACTGTTCCTAGACGGAGACCGCCGCGGTTGCCTGCTGTACTTTGTGAGAGTTTCTCTTCTCCTTTCCGCTCCAATGGATTTTCCACTGCGCCTTCGGGAAGCCGGAATTTGTCTGGAGTATCTTCGTTCAATTGGATTAGAAAGTGGCCTTTGGCTCCTGCGGCGGCAGCGACGCCTCCGAAGAATGTTGCAAAAAGGTCTGAACCGAAACGCGAGACAATTCACGAAGGTACTACGGCGATTGATAGAATTGTGCTTCGGTTGCGGAATTTAGGGTTAGGATCGGACGACGAGGAGGAGGAAGGAGATTTAGGCGAGGATTCGGAGAGCGGTAGCTTGGAGTTGAATGATACGGCGGATATTGAATTTAAGGATGAAAAGCTAGGTGATTTACTGAAGAGAGATTGGGTTAGGCCGGACACTATTTTAGTGGAAGATAAGGATAGTGATTCTGCTGACTTGCTGCCATGGGAGAGGGGAGTGACAGAGGATGAGGAAATGGAGGAGAGCTGGGTAGGAGTGAAGAAGCGGGCGGTGCGAGCACCGACGTTGGCGGAGTTAACAATTGAAGATGAAGAGCTGAAAAGGTTGAGGAGAATGGGGATGACATTGAGGGAGAGGGTGAATGTACCTAAAGCTGGGATTACTGGTGAAGTTTTGGAGAAGATCCATGATAAGTGGAGGAAGTGTGAGCTAGTGAGGTTGAAGTTTCATGAAGAACTGGCCCATGATATGAAGACTGCACATGAGATAGTTGAGGTTGGTGAGTTCTTTTGTTATTTGAATAATTTAATTCCCGAGATCTTGGTTTCCCTTGGATTCAATAATTGTTCTTGATGCCTAAAGCTATGACATGGTTAATCTGATGAATCTTGGAACCATATTTTAGTGATTACTTATGCTGGAGGTCATAATCAAAGTGGAGTAGTTAAACATCATACCTTAGCAACAAGAGTATTAGTATGTAGCGCCGTGTGTTCTTAACTTGTCTGATCATAAGGGGTGATATATGATGTTGTAATGACTTGGCCGGCATGCATTAAATGAGGAAGGAAGGAAGGAAGGAAGGAAGCATAAGATTGTGTGTATTTATGCACGAGTGAGGCGTGGATACTCAATGGAGGTGGGGTGGGGTGATACATATATCTGTTCATAAGAAGAGACACATTATCATTGACAGTATTGATGATATTTCTACAATTTCAGTTTGGGATTTTGATTCCTTAAGTGGGAAATCATTTGCCATACTTTTCAATGTTTTACCCAAATATATATATAGACTATGAAAGCTCACTATCTCTTCCTTAATCAGCGGCGGACAGGTGGCCTAGTTACATGGAGGTCAGGAAGTGTTATGTTGGTGTTTAGAGGAACAAATTACGAAGGACCTATTACAAAACTTCAACAGGTGAAGAGTGAAGATGACACTCCTTTTGTTCCTGAAGTTTCCACAGCTGCTAGAGGCAGTAGAAGCCCAGTCCTTGAGAAGTCCAATCCAGTTATTGCCAAACCAGTTGAAAGCTTGACAGGAGAGGAAGCTGAATACCATAATTTATTAGATGGTCTAGGCCCGCGATTTGAAGATTGGTGGGGTACAGGAGTACTTCCTGTTGATGCTGATCAACTTCCTCAGACAATTCCTGGATACAAAACTCCTTTTAGGCTTCTTCCTTCTGGAATGCGTTCACGGCTAACAAATGCCGAGATGACCAACTTGCGAAAGCTTGGGAAATCGCTTCCTTGCCACTTTGCTCTTGGTAATCTTAAGCCACTTTATGATGTTTGACTTTTGTAATATCTGCAATGACATGTTTTCTTCTCTTTATTCTTCCAGGGCGAAATAGACATCATCAAGGTTTAGCAGCATCCATTGTCAAACTTTGGGAAAAAAGTTTGCTTGTAAAGATTGCTGTGAAACGTGGAATCCAGAACACTAACAACAAACTTATGGCTGAGGAATTGAAAGTATGTGGGTTATTTTGTAAGCTTTTTTTATCTTTCTTTTTGTGGCAAAACCTCTTTGCTATGCTATGCACCTCTATGAATGTTATGACTGTGGGTTCTCTAACAGGAATTCTTCTTTCAGCAAGTTATCCATTTATGACATCTAGCCCTTTTGGGGTCCTCAATCCATCTTTGTTGCAAATGAAAATTTACTACCGTTTTAACCTCAATTTACAACCCGAGGTTCATGAATCTCACAGTTTTCCTAAAATTCCTTAGTTGTTAATGTTCAATTATAGGACCTTATAGGTTAAGGTTTCATGAATTATGGCATGGTGAAATAATCAGGTGTTTATTTGATCCAAAACAAGCTCCCATCTTAATACCTGTTTATGGTAGTGAGGAATGTCAATATGATTTAAGTTCGGTATCATTAGCATGCAGCAATTTTTTCATGTTTTTTTAAATTCTCTTGTCTTGGTGTGTTTGTAGAGACTAACCGGCGGCGTCTTACTTCTAAGAAACAAATATTATATAGTAATGTACCGTGGAAAGGATTTTCTTCCTCCCAGTGTGGCTGCTGCATTAACAGAAAGACAGGAGATGACTGAGCAAATCCAAGATGTTGAAGAGAAAGTTAGGGTAGGACAATCTCCATCCCCTGTGGGTGAAGGGAAAGAAGCTTCGGCAGGTACATTGGCCGAGTTTTATGAAGCTCAGGCTCGATGGGGAATTGACATATCTGCTGAAGAACGTGAAAACATGAAAAAAGAGGCATCCAGAGCCGAGCGTGCCAGAGTGATCAGACGACTTGAACATAAACTGGCAATTGTAAGTGCTGAGTATATAATGCATGATGAATTGGGATTAGAGAGACATTTTCTCTTTATATTTTACTGTCGTAATGGATCATTCCTTTGGTTGATTGAGTTTCGTGCGTGATCTTGCTTAGGTTTCGATCTAAATGCAAATATAAATTACGCGCATAACTGTTTGCACTCCTAGAAATTTCCTTCAATTTCAATTTTTCATGTTTAGCTGACCCCATTGGAATTTGATTATAGAGTATTTCCTATTCAAATTGTAACTAAAATTTGTAATGGATTAGTTTAACTGAACTTTACAGACAGACTTCTTTATATCTTATTTTCAGTACCTTTTACTTGAAAGATATAAAATCTGTGAGAAAACTCATGTGATGTGATGTGATGTTTGTCTTTAGTTCTTATTACGATTCACTGACTGCATTTACAGTCTCAGGCAAAGAAACTGAAAGCGGAACGATTATTATCAAAAATAGTGGCCTCTTGGATTCCTGTAAATCCTTCAGATGACCAGGAGACAATTACAGACGAGGAAAAAGCTGTTTATCGTAGGATTGGATTAAGGATGAAAGCTTACCTTCCACTTGGTGAGTTTTTAGAACGATTATGAAACACTAGATTTGTCATCCTAAACAAAAAAACATGGCTTGTTTATTACAATCTTTCAGGCATTCGCGGCGTATTTGATGGTGTTATTGAGAATATGCATCTGCACTGGAAACACAGAGAACTTGTAAAGTTGATATCAAAGGAAAAAGAACTTTCTCTTGCGGAAGAAACTGCTAGACTCTTGGAATATGAGAGTGGAGGGATACTAGTGGCAGTCGAAAGGGTTCCTAAAGGTCATATCTTGATTTACTATCGTGGAAAGAATTATCGACGACCTATTGCTTTGAGACCAAGAAACCTTCTGACAAAGGCAAAAGCACTGAAGCGGAGGGTGGCTTTGCAGCGATATGAAGTTAGTCATCTTTTACGTCTCGCCTTTACTATGTCAATAATCTGCAATATTATGAAGCCTTTGTTCATTCATTTGTAAATGTAGGCTCACATTAATAAGTTTGACACTGTTTTGCAGGCTCTCAGTGAGCACATATCCGAGCTGGAGAAATCCATTGCGCAAACAAAGCAAGAAATTGTAAGTTGTAGATCTACCTTACTTTTATTATCTATGTCGACAGTATGTTCTACTTATTGCATCTCTTATCCAATTTTCCGAAAAGAATTCTGCTTCTTTGAGGTGTTTTGCCAAAGGGCGAAATCTAGGGGAGGGTAAAAGAATCGAATCGAACCACTAAACTGAACCGAACCGAATTTTCAGTTAGCCGAGCATATTCAGTTCGAGTATAAATATTGCATATTTGATATTTGTTCGGTTTGGTTACCGAATCGAATATATTTATATTGTTATATTTAAAATTTATATTAATAATTATATTCGGTTCAGATAGTTGAAATATTTGCAAATATTTTTATTTAATTAAAATTTTAATATATTTTTTTTATCAATTTCGGTTCCGTTTGAGTTATTTGCAAATATTTTGATTAACCGATAATTTCGGTTCGGATTGGGTTCGCGTTTTCAAATATTTGTTCGGTTCGATTCGGATATCAAATAGATGCATCTATGTATAACAGAACCGTGCCCACCCCTACCGAAATCGTATCAAAACTTTGTATTCTTGGGTGTTTTCTGGTTAATGAACCCATTGTTGCCATCTGAATAGAATTTATCTTCCTAATGCTCCTATTTCTCCTAATGACCACTTTTTATGATCTAATGAAGTATTTATTCTCTCGACATCTTTTGAAGAAATATGTCAACAAGAAATTGCCTTTTACTTAAGAGAATTCTTGACCTTTGTAGGTCATTTGAGTTGTTGATGCTACTATGGTACTTTTATACTTGAAAATGTTATTCTGAATCGTATCAGTTCTCTCAGGAAAATCCCGAAAAGTTGGAGAGCAACAACAAGCTTCAGAACACAGAGGGCCATGCCGGGTTTAGTGAAGTAAGTCTTCAAAGTTCATTCAAGAATCCGTAATTGTTTTACCATATACATATTTAAAACAAGACGCGATGATGATTGATCGATAGCTAAATGAATTTTCTATCACCTTCGCTCATTGTACAGAGCGAAGATGAAGTATCAGACGAAGATGAAGATGAAGATGACTGGAATGATGGCGAAGATTCTGAATTCTCGACCCTCGAAGAATCTGAATCTGAATCATCTGATTCTCCATTGCATAAATTCCGGTAACCAGAATAAGCCGGCTGGTATTAACTCTCTTAACTGGATATAGAAGCAGAGTTCTGAAATGTTAAATTACGGTTTTAGAATGCGTTACTGTACAGTAGTCATTTGTTTGCACACAAATTTACCACAATGTTTTATGCATATCAAGTAGCATGATTATGTTTTCTCCAGTTAGTGCAGCAGAAGAAGCCAGGAGAAGTATGTAAAGAAAACCAACGTGACCAAAGCATTAATTAGAAGTTGCCCGAAATGTATAACTTCAGATCGGATACCGTCGAACCGGGAAATAATAGTTGTATCTACAACAATGTTCTCACCAAAGAAAGTGTGTCACTGACGAAGCATTTGTTGCAGCTGAAGAACCTGATTCCTTTGTTCGACGGGAAGCATATTGATCTGTTCCGGTGTGAGGCTCATGACTTGCTGCAATAACGCCTTCTCCATTTCAGGGGTCAACTGTGGACAATGAAAAAGAAAGATGACTTGCCAATTCCGGTGAAGATACCGATCAAGTAGAACAATAGTATGGATTAGGATAAACTACCGGTGGTTGTCGAGGAGGTTGATTGCTGGGACCTGCCTGGCTAAAGGGTGGTCCGGGAAGCTGACCCATAGTATTGTCGGGTAGGTTAGGTGGCCGATTGGAGCCTCTCTCAGGTTGCTTAGAGCTTCCTACTTGATTGAAATCCATTCCCACTTGAGAACCTCCTGCCTAGAAGCCACAAGAATAGGTATGCTTCAATAAAACCTTTAATTGACCTACTTCGTCGATAAAGATTATTCGATCCAAGAATCACATCATAACAAAGCCGCAAACCTGGTAATGCGACTGAGGCAAGCTCTGATTAGGAACCTGTGGAAATGAAGGTCCCATGGTAGGAGGCGGCTTTGTACCTGGCTGAAATTCGAAAGTTTTTTTTTAACAATTTTTGCATAAAAAAACTGAAAAAAAAAAAAAAAAAAACCAAGAAGCCAGAGGATTCAGCTACACACATGAAACATGTGCTGTGAAGGATGAAGCTGCTGTCCGCCGGGGTGCTGAAAACCTAAATTTTGACCCATCAGCTGGTGCGGAAATCCTTGAATTGGTGGTCTAGGTTGTGGCGGTAGGGGGGGCTGTAGTTGCGGTTGTTGCTGCAGGGGCATGTACTGACTGCTCGTATTCTGCATAGATTGCTGCTGTTGTGGGGGCAGTGAAGGGACGGGAAGCTGGTGAAGTGGCGCAGGCTGTGATGGAATATGCTGAGGCAATTGCGTCAAATTAGGAACTTGAGAGGACGACTGTGGTGTCGAAGGGGGACCATGATGCGCCTTAGGTTGCTGCTGCATTGGTGGTTGTTGTAATGGATGTGATGGGACGGCCGGGGTTTGAGCATTAGGGGGGATAGTATGTTGTGACTGGGAATTTGATGACATGGCTTGGTTTGGTTGCGGCGCCTTCAACTGGTTTTGAGCTGATTGACCAGGAAATGATGACGGAGCATGAATCTTCGGCTGCTGAGTTGATGCAGCTGAGGGCTGAGGATTTTGCGATGCTGCTGCTGAAATCACAGGTGGCTAACAAAAGTGAAATAATCAGACAACCATTTTTAGGAAATAGACGAGAAGAATGAGTGGGAAAATAGCGCATACTGCTTTCGGGGGCTGCACCATTCCAAGCATAATCTGTGCCTATTGAAGAAAATGAGAGAATAAAATGTTTGATAGAAGTCCCATTTTTCCCAATAATATAGAAACTTCATCAGCAAAATATAATATAGCAACAAACAACGCAGTTGTCTTGTAGTTGAAATCTAGTGCTCTAGTTTTAGAAGAAAGCGAAAAATTCAAAATTTTGAGAAGTATACATCAAATAGAATGTTAGATGTTGCAGAACATGCAATACAGTTCAAAAGGACAGACTCAAAAGGCTATGTTTACTTGGAGTTCGGTTTCGATTTCTTTACTATCCAACTCCTCACAAATTCCTAAAATTAATATTATATCACATCAAAGCCATTATTCAAACCAAAATTCAAAAGCAACACACAAAACCAAATCCCATTTCTGCCTTCAGAGACACAAAAAGATCCTCAAACATACATAATAGGAAAATTCTTGTACAAAATGAATATAACAATACATCTATCCACAATCATTAACACACATGCTTACACATATACTGATATTAGATACTCTAGAAATTACTTATCAATCATTATGCAATATTTAACATAAAAACATACAAAATTCAAGAAACAATAAAACATAAACTCTATTCACAGAAAATGTAATGTAACAAAGCATACATGCTGTTTGCTAGACTGTAAAACTTCTAGTTTTTGTATTGGCTTGACTGCATATGTATACAATATTAATGTTCTCTGTCATTGTGCATATAGAAAGACAGAGTTTCTTTTCTTTCCTCACAACGGAATGAAGTCAACAATGAGCCTTAATAGGTTAGCTTTATCAACATGAAATTTGCGGCGCTTTAAAATGTTTGAGACACAAAAGATCAGTTTGAAGATTAATTCCCAATCAGCCAAAGGGTCTAGTGAAGAGAAGGGAGCAATCAAACTTTGAGCTCAACCGAGAGAAATCATACAGAAAATTGATTAATCTGTTGTGTTTGGAAACAGGTTTCACAAAATTGATCAAAAATCCAGACTATTCAAATCCCTATAAATTTTGCTTGCTGACGCAATATCCTAACAACTATTATCAGTAAAATAGCAGAGAGTATCCCTAGAGGGATGCTGTCAAATACACAGAACTAACTAAACTCTACATTTTGATATAACTTTCCCATGTATTGCAGGACATTAGTGTTGCACTTAAGAACTCTAGTCGATTCAAGCAGTGAAATTTGGGTTTTTTTTAAGTCTGCTAGGTTATGGCAGCTGAAAAAATATTGCAGACACTAAAGTCACAAGTCAATATAATCTAATTAATTCAAGAAAAACCTAAGAAGAAACTAGAAAATAGCTCCAGCGCAGCAGAATTTGGAAAATGAAAACCAAAGATTCCGAGAGATTAAGTGTAATTCAAAACCAAAGATAATTAGTTCAAGGAACACAAGAGAAAACTGATGTACAAACAAACCTGAAAAAGAGCTTTGGTCAAATTTGGATTCTGAATAAGGATTTGCCTAGCTTGCTCTTTATTCTGTTCTATCAATGCCTGCACACGAAAATTCAGTACTCAAGCTTCAAATTTTCGACATATATAACCTAGAAAAATGCAAATAAAGACAACAGTAATTAAATGTGTGTTGAATCGAACGCCATAACCAACACCTTACCTTCATCTGAGACATGATATCGTAGAGCTGATTTTTGGACATGCCGGCGAGACTCGACGGTACTCCGTCGCTGGCTACTTGCTTTCCCGCCATACGTTTGTCGTCGTCCCCAAGCCGAATGAATCGAACACTTGCAGAATCGACGACCGTAGGACGCGCGATCGAAGGAAGTGAAATTGTTCGGTCTAGGGCTTATTTGGGTTAATAAATATTGTGAAGACGAAGATAGATTATTATGGGCTGGGCCTAATAATGGGCCTTTTCAAACCAAACCCATTTAAGGCCCAAAACGGGTCGGGTCTCGATCGAGTATATATAAGCGCCGAGGGTGTTTCTATCCCCCTCCCTTGGGCGGTGGTGGTTTGGTGGAGATTGTGATAATCTACGGCAAACCCCATTAAACGAGACTACGGTAGTTCACGCGCCGCCGCGTATGGCGTTTATGTTGCTCTCAATTTCTATACCTGATCCCATGCCGCCGGCGGTGTTATTTCCGAGCTCTGCTTCTGCGACTTCGACCGCATCCACATCTTTTGCAGCCTCTTATTCGATGTCCTCTTCTCTGGTGCCGCCGCCAGCGAATGGTTTACTGAGGACTCGAGCTGAAAAGTTGACTCGTGGCCGACGGAAATCGTGGATTGTGCGTATGGCTCCCGAAGAAGAGAAGATGACTCGCCGCTCGCCTCTCGATTTTCCTATCGTAAGTTTGTCCACTTCCTCCTCTCCCAAACAGGTTTTGCTGTGTATTTGAGTAGTGCAATTTTAGGTCACAATTATCAATTGTGTAAGGAATCAATCCTTTGAATTTCTGAAATTATTTGCTAATTAGTTTGAATCTGTTTCGTTTGAGGAGACCGTAGATATGATAAGCACAAAACTGTCTTAAGAAACTTTAAGGAAGGAAGTGCAAGGCAGTCGTTAGAAACACCTAATGAAGTTCTATGTGGAAGGTTGATAAACTGAATTGAAGTTAATTTGTTTTTTCTTCAAATTACTCAAAACCCCATGCTTGAAGGAAAACTGATTCTAGTAGCTCCATTAGCTATGTATCTGATTTCCAGTTGATCTTGATTATGCCACTTCCTATGGTTTCACCGAGGCCATCGAGTACATGATATGTGGAAAATTGCAATTCAGGTTCTAAATGTTCTTTCATCAATTTGTTGCTTGACTTCTCACCTACTGATTATTGAGGATTCACTTTCCTTAATTCAAAGTACTGCAAAGTTTCCCAACGAATGAATTTTCTGCCTGCAAAGTTAGATACCAATCCATGTTCAATCACACAATTTGTTGCACAAAATGCTGAACGAACAGGAAGAAAACCTGGTGTGTAATCTAAATATGAGCTGACTTATGTTTTATTCAGGAATGGGAAAGACCGAAGCCAGGAAGGAGACCCGACATCATGCCCCAATTCAGCCCGATGAAAACCCCATTACCACCACCAATGCCGGCAGATCCTCCACCCGAAGAAGACGAAGAAGAAGAGGAAGAGGAGAAGAAAGAGGAAGAAGAGGAGGATCCCAATAAGGAAGATCCCGAAAAGAAAAATCCGTAGGCATTAAGGTTCGTTTTTTGAACACTTCTCGTTGCTCTAATTATGTAATAGCAGTTGAAAAAAGGCACAGCCAATTTCGACTCTAACAACAGATTCTTGTGTTTTGCTACAGGGCTAGAATGTTCTGCAGCATCCCGACTATTTTGTAGGCGATATAACCTTTGTTTGCTCGTTTTTGCGAGTAATATTATTCATGTTTGAGATATGCTGTTATGTTATGCTTGTTTACTTATCATTGCCCCACGGCAATGCCGAAAAGAAAATCTTCTAAACTCAGGGTTATTACATGGTTGTGTATGCGGTGCTATTGTTACGACGGAGTTTAGAGTGCTAAATGTTTAGCTTTTAGCACTCTACCGCCACCATAGCTGGATTGGTTATGGTGCCGATTAGCTGATTAGTTCAAGTCGGCACCACACAGTAGTAGCCAATCGGGCTGATTGTTATATTCAATATTGATTTTATCTAAAAAAAAATTAAAGAAAAATAAGTCACACAGAAACTGGTTTTGACCAATTATGGGGGCTGAATTTGTTTTCTTGTTGTATTATTTTATTAAACTAGCGGATTTTCACTTTATCAATATATAATAATATTATATATATATATATATTTAATAATGTGATGTAATTTGTCTTGTCAAATTTATTCAGCACTAAAAAAATAAAGGGTGTAATTCTTTTGTTCAAGTTTTTTTAAATTTTATTATTTGTAGTCGGTAGAATATTATTTTTTTTTATAAAATATTTTCTTAAATACTATTTTAATAATTTAAATTAATTTTTTTTAAAATTCAACAAGAAAAAGGTCACGAATTTAATTATCATAAAAAATTGTAGGTTGTGTTTTTTTCTTCAAAGAAAAAATCATATTAATCAATTATTTTTGTATATTATATTATAAATTTATTTTATACTTAAAATATCAGATTGTACCTTTTCACTATATTAAAAAAATTATTAAGAAAAAAAAAACACACTATATTTTTCATTGGATGCTGACAAAATGATAAATTGATTAAAATTTTATTGAATGGAACTTGATGGATATTTGTGTATGATACTAAAAACTAAAAGTTGTTTACAAATGGTATCATTTTGATTTTTTTCTTAATTGTTTTTGAACACGTACACTTTTTAAGGCGGTTCACTTTGCCACGCTGTTAATGGTATCATTTTGATTTAGTCGCTAATTTTGAATTCAGACTTTTCCCCCTCTTCTATCATTCTGTGGCGGTGGCGGAGGAGGAGGCGGACGATACGCCGGAATCCGATGGGAATTCTCACGCAGAGACTGAACCAAATCCACGAACGCTTGAACGACGTATTTGTGGGAATACTTGCTGTTCAGATCCATATAACAACGTAATAGCTCCTCCAGATACTCCCAATCCACTTTTCCGTGCTGCTCTATATGCGCCTCCACCATCGCCTCCATCGATTGCCTGAAATCCTCGTACGGTGCACGCGATTGCCTCAAAAGGACGAGGAAATCGTCCAGATACTTCGAGTCCTTCTCGACTCCTCCCTCCGACTCCGCCGAGCGGAATTCCTTTGTTGCGTAGGCCGCGGAAGAGCGTGTCTCGCCGACGAGTAGTCGGCTGGACGAACCGGAGGCGACGAAGAATCTGTCGGAGGGGCGGAGGTTTTCCGGCGGAGGAGGTTTCAGAGTCATCGGCGAATCGAGCAGGTACGCCTTCGTTTCATTTCTCCTTTCTTCTTGGTAAAGCGATTGGAAGTTTTCGAATAGGAACTGGTCTATGTCAGATAACGTTGCGGCGTCGCTCTCCCTTCCTCTAACGGCTAAGGACGCCGTTCGGATGTGGCTGCACGCCTGAAACCGAATCTGTTTGCGTATAATCTTGAATTTTGAGATGCATTCCTGAAGCGATTTCCGAATTTGCTTTTGCATTTTTTTCATCAAGAACGACAACATTTCACATTCCAACACAATTTGCCAGAGACTTTTACAAGTCTTAGCACGATTTATAATCTATCTTCAATCCGCAACGTAGTAGAGAAAACAGATAAGCATGTCATTAAAACCGTGGAAGAAAAAATGCACCAAATAATCTACATTAGATAAGTAACTAATTAATGTGACGTTATTCAGTGCATTTAAAAGCATCATCCCTGGCTTTACTTTTTCCTTTTAGGTAAAAAGAGGTTGTGGTCAATATCTCGAACAGACCTTTTCACCAGATTATAGTTGATTAAAGGAATTCAATTTTCTTTTCCCAATAGGATTGCTGATACCATAAAGTATTGCTATTTTCATTTATCTGGTGGTCTAACTATCATCCAATTGATGAATTCTTACAATAATTGCTATTTGTTTTATCAGGTACATATGATCTGGTTCAAATTATGGCTTTGAATTCCGGTAATCATAGTTGGATTATGGAGTCAGACAAAAGGTTCTTAAACAGGTAACACAAATCACTTATTTCTGTTTACTTAATGATACGAAGATTCCGACAATATTATCATCATGGTTGGTGAATTCCTATCTCTCTTGCTCTTATATTTTATAGCTTCACAGTGTTAGATCTTATATTATATAAATCTAGAATTTGGTAGACACATGGGTACAATTCATTAGAACATATAATGCTATCGAGAATAATACAATTCACTCCCAATATCAGACATTTGTTGCCTGATCTTGGAGCATGAGTATCTCTCTAAGAAGGTTTTTAGCCTGAGGTTCTGTCATGCACAAAACCTGGGGATTGATATGCAAATAGAAGACTCGAATTCTAGTTAGTTTGTTTAAACGAGTAGAAATACTCGTTCAAAATGAAAGTATTGTTCTAGGAAACAGTATTTTATTTTGGAGAATATATATGATAAAAGGAGTGGCATTAGATTAGATCTTGAAGAGAAACACACAGAAAAACATAAACTGACAGTCGTGAGAATTAAGAAAACTGATAGTCTAGGAAAAGGGCAGCCCCTAAAAAGCTGAACAAAACCAAGAAATTAAGACATGTTTGGTTGGATGAATTTGGATTTAAGGGTGGATTTGAAATGAATTATTTAGTATTTAGAAATACTTAATAATTAAAACTCATCTCCTGTTACATGAAATATTTGAAATGACTCATTATAAATAGTATTTGAAATATTAGAAAGATGTGAATTTGAAATCCATAACCAGCTTTGAAGATTTGAAATTGTTGTCAAACGAACCTTATAAATTTGATGAAGTCATTCGAATATCTTTTATCTATTGAATCAATTCACAATATCATTTATGTTTATTTATATGCCATATTTCCATGTATTTATTTATAGTTCCATTTCTCTTTCATTTTAATTTTGCTTTCACTGCTCAAGTCTCAGTTTAAATATAAGTAATAATTCAAATCAAGTTATTATACCTTTTCATATCTCCATTCTATGATTATGGCTTATGCATTTTGATCTCATTTCGACTATTAGCGGTGGAAATGATAGAGTGATTGATAAAGGGAAAAGGCAGATAACTATATTCAAAGAATAACCAAAACACAGGAATAATTCCTGTTTTCTTCAATTCCAAAAGATGACTTAGAAAACTCTTATAGCAATATTTAAGAGACTTATAAATGGGCCGGACTAGCCCACAAGACCAATCAAAAGAAATAACTAATAAGATGGCATAATACTAAAGAAAAGCTCAAAATGGAAGGATCCCTTAGCTAGCCTTGATTAAACCACCGGTGGCTGATCTGCTCGACACCGCCAAATTTCTCTGGTATCAGAAATTAATGAGTTGCAGAATATTGATATTTGTAAGTGGCTCACAAGAGAAAGATCTCATAAGTATTTTTGGGTCGGAATACAAAAAATATAGATTTCCACATAGTTTACGGCCTATCTACAAATAGAACTGCTAACGAGCTAAGCTGAGCCGAATCAAATAAGTGTTCGTAAATGTTTGTGAACAAAGTTTGTGTTCGTTCGTTAAGGTTTTGAGCTCGTTCATAATGTTCAAGCTCGGCTCGTTAAGAAATTTTGTTGTTTGAGTATGTATTTGTGTTCGGTTCGATTAAGCTCGTTCGAGTTTGTTTGAGCTTGTTTGTCTCATTATTTTTTTTAAAAAAATTTATATATAAATTAAAAAAAATTAAAATTATTTTATTTATATATTTTAAATTAATATTTTATTTATTTATAAATTATAATTTTATATGTATATATAATATTTATAATAAATATATTATTTAAACGAATGCTCGTGAATAAAGTTCGTGCTCATTTGTTAACCAAACTAGTCTGTTTATATTGTTCGGCTCGACTTGTTAACGTTCGTGAATGAGCTTTAATTGAGCCGAATCGAGTCGAATTTACGAATGACTCGATTCGTTTAACATTTTTATATACAAAGTACAATCATTCTTTTGCTTTTGGAATGATCTTTAGTTTGAAAAAATATTTTAAAAAGGCCATTCAGAGTCACATTATCTTGACTTGAAAATTCTGAAGAAAATTATGAAGTTTGTGAAAAATATAAAAAAAAAAAAAAAAAAGAAGAAAAATTTATACTCGATGTGTTGCTAAAATTGTAATTAGATAATTAATGCTTTAAAGGGGGCTAATCAGTCAATATTTTAAATCAAAAAATGGGTATATGCGTGATGTGATATGAATGTAAAAAAATGTGAAATCTTTATAATTCGCGAAGAGCTACGAATTGCTTCAATAAAATCTCTCGAGAATTAAAATAGATGTATATATTAGATGCACTGCATCCATCAAGAGACATATAGAGCAAAGAGGAAAGCACTTAAAATAATAATAATTATTATTGTTATTATACTGAGATAAGATCAGATGAGCGGGATTAGGGATGTAGTCAAAAGTGGTGGGGATGTTGGGCCTGCCTCGCCTCATTTAAGGGTCGTGGGCCCATGCATTAACCGTTATTATTATGTGTCTGGTCCATCTACTTAGCGGGATTTATAACTTCTTTTTTTGTGTTTAGACTAGACACCTTCACCGTCTCATTAAGGATCCAACCCAAAGCATCACCACATTATCCACGGATTCCATTCAAAAATTAGTATGATTGATAGTACCACCATGACTACTTTTAATTTTGGAATCCTTCTGTACCTACTGTCTGCTCTCTATTCTATACAGTCTTCACCTTAGTATATTTCACCCTTAAGTCCTCTGCCTCGGGCTCAATAATTAATAGTAATTTAGGGTATCAGTACCAGCTAATATTTTATACAATTGTATTATTCAGTAATTCACAGATAATCAACTACTACAGTACTAGTAACCAGTTATTTTTCTGTATAAATAGAGTAGATAGATTCTAGGCTAGATGGAGAAAATAATACAAAATGGTTGCAGATGCGGAAATAAGAAATTATACTTGTTTGAAATTTTGGTATGAGAAGATAATTTAGTTTATGTTAAAATCTCTGGTCAAATTTTTGAACTTTTATCTTCCAAATCTTTTTAGCTAAGAAATTCCTTTAAAATGTAACATTTCTCTAACCTTAGAATGTACCCATAGATCCTCTATCACCAAATCTAAATATTATTAACAAAACTATCTATGTGAATTACAGATCCATTTGAAATTTGATTGAATTTTTACTCGGATCTCTGTATCATTAGGTCTGTTTAATAATGAAATTTTTGAGGGAATGATGCCAAAAAAAATATCAAGGTAGGTGTGTGTATCAGTGTATCTCCCAACTAGATAGGTTTCAAATTGATTATGATAGCATTTTTGTTTGAATAATAATAACAATAATAGGAAATAAAAAATTCAAAGAGATTCCTCCTTTTAATTATATCATTTGTCAGTGTACACATTCAATTTTCAATGACCTAACTTTTTCTTAATACTTGATGGAAGGCAACTTAGTGGAACATATATATATATAATATATATGTATGCCTGAAAAGAACTTCTATTTTATTCTCCTTATTTAAAAAGAGTATCAAAGAACAATAAAAACAATGTTAAATAAATCCTTTCACCATTTGCTTGCTTCAAGATCTGATTGGTTTGTATGATTCATTATTTATTTATTTCTACAAAATATATTTATTTTTTAAAATATTATATAAAATTTTTATTGTTCATTGGCATCAAATACTTGTTTACATTACAAATATATATATATATATATTAATTATATTATTTATTATTTCTAAGTCAGAAATCTACTCCCAAACCCCAACCAATCAAACCCCTAGATAACTTTTATTATTGTTATTATTTATTAATTTACTGAATGTCAACAGAAGTTGTCAAATACTGTTGCAACTTAGGATGCATGAATATATGACATATCCCTATTTATATGTAATAATAATACTATAAAAAATCAAATGAGTTGGAGTAAAAATTATTAAATTTCACCAGAAATATATGTTTTCTTTTCTTTATTTCTTGGTGAAAGTGATGTGATGCTCAATGTTGGATTGAACGTCTTAATGGTTTTTTGTCAATTAATAATAAGTCACCCAACAGGCATGGTAAGCATAGTCCACTAAACTTAAACTAGAAACAACACAATTAATTGAGAAAGACATCATTGTAATATCAATAAGAATAAGAAAATCTTGTTAAAACATCTCACTTGAAAACGAAGGCACAAAGAATAGGAATAAAGACGACATTATAACAGCACAAAAAATTCATATTTATGTAATAGTAGCTTTATTTTTTTTTAAAATAAAAAATCTCCCTATTTTTTTTGCACAATATATGGATCTTCTTTCTTTTTTTTATTTTTTCTTTTTTCAAGAAGTTAATTAAGAATGTGGTAATCCAAACAAATATATACAGTTTTTATGATTCAATTTTGGATTTTCAATCCTAAAAATAATTTCATCATACATTCACCTTGCAAGTGATAGGAGAGATTGATTAGAAAAAGTAAGTTTTTCAGTGATTATTTTTATATATTTTTGTTTTACTGTCGATTTGAATAGTAATTTCAGTTGATATATTTACAAGGAAATATTGTATTTTTACTAAGAACTATAAGTATTAAATAGCAGAATGTTTGAAAAGAATTGCTTACCCAACACAAAGCTGTCATAAATAATAATACACAACAAAAAAAATTCACAGTGACATCTGAAAACATAACTATTGTAAAAAAATTTAGAGAAAATATACAAACTTAATTTCAAAATCCCAAATCAGTTATTCAGATTTCAATTTGGACTGCAAAACATATGCATAAATAGTGCCCCCATAAATATAACTCTGAGATCTCTAAGCTCAAAGCACATCCAAAAAAAAATACAGAACCAAGATTAGAGATGCATGTAACAACACATATAATTAATCTCATAATGACATCAATGTCTATCCTTCTGAGAGACAGCAGAAGGAACAGCAAACCTGGCCGAAAACGAGCGGCCAAGATCATCGGGAGCATTGTCTCCTTGATCGAAGTTCTGCAAATAAGAATTGGAATCATAAGTGAACCTCATGGAAACTGAGGCTGCTGCACAGCACTGGAATGCCACGATCCTCTTCCTCTCCTTCTTCAGCTTCCTCCACAGCTGTGTCCAAAAGTGATCCCTACTAGATGTGCTCAAGAACCGATTGTATTTTCGACAGGAGGAGTATCCCCTCGGCCAGCAATGGCTGGAGGGGCAGTGCCATGCTTCTTGATCCATTGTTAATAATTGGATGAAATGAATGGATCAGAGGTAATAAGTGAGAATGATATATGTGTTGATGATTTGAGTTTTGATTATTTATGGTTATGCTTATGATTATGCTTATGTAGTGTTGGATGAATATGGAGTTGTGTGTGAGAGTACATGGCGGACACCATCAGGGAATGGCATGTGACAATTTTTCAGGGGTAAATGTGTCATTTACATTATTATTATTTTTTTATTATTATTTTTAATTATGAAAAAAGTGATAGAGGGACGAGTGAGTGTAGGTGGAACTGCAGTGCTTCTTCTATTATAGCCAAGAATGGCATTTTAATTTTAATTTTAATTTTAATATGAAGTGGGGTGGGGTGAGGTTTGGAAGTAGCTAGCTAAAAAGGTTGGTATATTCTACTTAATGTTAAGTTTAATTGTGTGAGCAGTTTTGTAGGTAAGAAAGAACATGTGTTTGATTGGGGATGGGGGATGATGCTGTTGTGAATTTTAATGGTAGTAGCAGTTGTTGTGTATATTGAAAGTGATACTGTATTTAGTAGTAGTAGTAGTAGTAGTAGTCTATATTTTGATCGGAAGGGTTAAGGTGTTGATTGGTTGTAATAATATGCACATAGAATATAGACAAAAAACACATTTGATGCTATGTATTGTGTGTGTGATAGTTTATTTGTTGCATTTACATTACATTAAATATAAAATATGCGTTGTTAACTTGTGATTTATGTGCTGACTATGCATGAGTGGTGCTATGAGTGCATTATTAAATGTTAAAAACATTCAACATTGTATTTAGCGAGTGTATATTTTGCAAGTGAAATTTCCGGGTAAAATGAGAGAGGCAGCAGTGTTATCTGATGGTTGACTAAGTTGTAATCTACTAGGTGGGGGTGGGGGTGGGGGTGGGCACAGCTCATATCATTAATGCGCCGGATAGGGTTGTTTTTGTTGGGTTGGGTTGGGTTGGTTTGGCTGTGATATAAGTAGCTATGATTAATGGCAGTGGATGACGATAAGAGCCATTGATTGGGACATATCAAGATTACTACCCATATCAATTTCGATTCTTTTCTTTTCTTTTCTTTTCTGTGTGCACTTCGATGACCGTTGATGGTGTTTCTATTATTATTATTTTTCTAAGGAAATTTATGTCGTATTATGCTTGGGACATACATCCGTGAACTATAGTTGTGGTTGGCAACTAATGATGGATGGATAATTCGTGTCCAACTGTCATCTGCGCTCTGAATTCAACTTAAGAATTAATAATTTCTTTTTCAGGAAACAAGAACATGCGGGTTGTGTGGAAAATTGTTTATGATATATTAGATATTTATTTCTTTTCATAAAATATTATAACAAGTATTGATTTTTTTTCAAAATTATAAAATTTAGAAATCTCCGTAGCCTTACTCAGAGGCCCAAATTCTAAAATTATTTGGGCTCGAGACGACCCATTATAGTAACGATGATGGGCTATATACTTTTCATTTAGGCCCATTAACCAGCGGAAGTGGGCTTAAACATTCATTAGGTCCGATAAGGCCTATTATATAAAACGGTCAAATTGACCCATTAGGCTTATCATTCTTTTGGGCCCAATCCAGCCCATCATAGTAACAGAGAATGGGCTATGTCCTTTTCATCTAGGCACATTAACCAGCGGATGTAGGCTTAAACGTCATTAAGTCCAATAAGGCCTATTATATAAAACGGTCAGCTAGGCCCCTTAGGATACCATTCATATTGGCCCAATCCAGCCCATTTACATAAGGATTATGGGCTACACCTATTAATCTTGGTCCAACTTGGGCCCACAACAGTATCAGGGTATGGGCTGCATCTACTTATTGCGCTCATGCATACCCATTATAGTAAAGGGCACCTTTTATATTCAGGCCCAGATTGGCGAGTTGACAGTGGAACGTACAAACAGTTTTCGCACCGTAGACCATTATCAAATCACATTTGTAAGGGGCTGCTGGATTTTGTGATTGGATAATATTTAAAACCCCGTATCAAATCTCTCTCTTAACATATAGTATTAAATAATATTATTAATGTTTTAAAAAATTATTTTACCTTTCATTAATACAATAATTTTATTACAGAATTAAAGATATAATCATACTTACAAAGTAAAAACACCATAAGAATATTAAAATATATATATAATAAATACATATTGAGTGTAAACGAAGTCAGGTATTTCCTAGCTCCAACTATTTGGGACCAACTCAACTCATTTGCAAGCTGTACTTTATTATTATGATGTAAAGCTCCAAATTATGGTTTTTTATATATATTCAAACGAATCCCAAATTCGAAAATTCCACTCCCCTTCACAGAGAACAAAACCATAAAACAATAGAAACAATGATAAAAGACAACAATCACAAGGTTCCCAATATGTATGTATGTACATAAGCGCTAACAACACATGAATATAATTAGAAAAAAATATGAAATATAAACAGACAATACATTGTACTAGCTAACATAATCCAAATACCATATATAAATTGGCGGAGCATTGTAAAAATCTAACACAACACATGCACGTATTCATTTGCTCATAGCCTATATTCTATGTGTTACCAGCACAAGACTGATTATTAATTTAAAAAAGGCATATATACATATTAATAAATTTATTCAAACTACAAGCAATAGATAGCATGTGTATTATAATCTTGCAACAAATAAAGCTAATTTATTAAATAAATGTTAACAGCATATAAATTAATATATGCATGTATAGCTTTGGATTTTCGTTAGTAAGGTGAGGGTGGGGAAGAAGAGGAGCTTAAGAATTCCCAACCCTTTCATCTTATAGGCTAATTATACTATAGAAAGGCCATGGTAATCTGGTTTATAATTCAAAGTAGCAACGGATTTTACTCACCTGGAATTCTTACTACAGAAGTGGCTGCATAGTGGATATAGGAACAAAAACTGCATCCAAACTCATCAGCTGCTGTGATCATTGCTCAAGGAATAGTGTGTGCAGGAAACTAAAGATACACAAAGCTGACAAACATGATCAAGGAATTAATTAAAAGCAAGAGTCATGCATATACAATAGTGTTTCAAGCCTTACCTCGGGGGAGCAAGATTGCCTTTGAATATAGGAACAAAATATGCATTGAAACTCATCAGCTGCTCTGTTCATTGCTCAAGGAATAATTATGTGGAAGGAGTAATCTGAAGAATAACAAGGGCTGATAAATGAGCAAGGAACTAATGCAAGAGTGTCATGTATATTCAATAGTGTTATCGCCTTACCTCGGGGTAGCAAGATTGCCTATGAATTTTCCTGCTTTCCGTATCTACACTCACTTCACATTGCATTTTTGTCTGCAAAATAATAAGATTACCAGAGTGATGCTGTAACCAGTCTTCCGCCAGTAGTATTCAAGAGAAATCACAAACTACAATGTCTATGCAGGTAATCATATGCAGAAGCCAACAAATTAGATCTAAAGGTAAACGAACATCCTCCTAAATTTTTTCAATGAGAAATGCAGAAAGCCTAACCACAGATTCTTCAATAACAGGCGAAATATCAACAATCAACATACCTTCAGCGGCAGGTCGAAGACGAGGACCCCGAGCTTCCCCGTAATCTCCGACACCGTTTCGAGCGTGACCGCGCCTCTCTCCAAATCCTCAATCAACCAATAAGCATCGGTCAAAATCGCGACTCCATCGAGCTGGAGCGTCGCGTTGACGTACGAAGATCTACGCCTCTCGATTCGACCGCCGTCCGACGTCACAAAACCTAGTCTCTCCCCCCTGTACTCCACCGCAACCACCAACGAATCGTAGTCCATGGAGTAGAAATCTCGATTCCGAACCCTAACGGTGAGATCCACGGTTGCGTCGACAGATACTTTAGGATCGGTGTGGAAGCGCAACCGATCGAGGCGGAGGCGGACGACGGACAGCTCAGGATCCGACGGCCACAAAAGGTAGCCGCCGGCGACGACGTAAATGAGCAGAACGGCGAGGCAGAACAGGCAGCGGCGGCATGGCTTACGGAGGAGAAGATGCTGGTGCGGCGCGGGGTAAGTCGGTAGCTCAACGACGTATTCCGGAGGTTTCGGTTGAGAGGATGAAGACGGTTCGCCCAACAGAGGCTGCTGGAACGGTAATTCTGGTCCTGGATGCCTCATGGTCGGTGCTCTTCCCGCATTTGTATAAACGTAACCGCATGGACGCATATTATACCAATTTGTATATACGCACGTGCTTGTCGTGTGACCCACACGGACCTTATGGGTTCATCCCAGCCGTTGATACTCATCAAACTCACAAATCATTTGTGAAGTTTGGTTTGTAGTTCTCCCAGCACAAAAACGATGTCGTTTTTTGACCACATGGAACAGGAATGGATCTAACCCGACCCGAATAGGTCACCCCAGATTCGATAATATAAAAGTACAATATTTGACAACTATATTGAAAAACACCCCTATATTACTGACTTTTGCCACACGACCCAGTTTGAAATAAATCCGTGCAGTGCCAACCCGGTTTTTTTTTTTTTTTTTTTTTTTGCATTTTGCATACCAACAAGACTTTTATCATGAAATCATATGATAATTTGTCTTCATCTCAAAAATTAATATCCATATATATATTTATTAAAATTTAAATATTAATTTTAAAATCGAACCGAGCCAAGCACAGCCCCGACTTTCATGAATCCGAGCACGACCCGGCTCATTAGCACGCCGGGCCATGCATGACTTGAAAAGTTTCGAGCCTATTCTCTGAGGCCCAAGCATAGGATTTTTTGTGTTGTGCTCGGACCGGGCTTTCAGTGTCACCTACTATCAATTAAATATATATATCTCGATTAATTTTTCGAAATACCCCTACAAAATTTGTACTTTTACATTAAAATTTCACATCTTTTGAAGTCTCCATATCAAGGGCGTTTATAGTGGACAAAGATGGATACAGAGTGCTATTCAAATTTATAATTATAATTTTATTTCATACTATAATATAAATAAATGATTATAACGCATATATATAAAAAGAAATTTATAAATTCGAATAGAAAAATTACCCAACTCTGTGAGATTGCCATGATCAATTGAAATGGAAGATTTTCTTCAGGTTCAAGTTCTGGGGTTCACATATTTGATCTGCCAGAGCTCGACGTCGTTTCCGCGATCATACTCTCGCACATATTGTGGAATTTCTCGTAGCACAATGGGCCTCCCGATGAAGCCGTGGGGCAGATCATCGTCCTCATCTGCACCTAAGGAGAAAGTGAATAGCAGATCAATGCAACTGATAAAGGGAAGGGGTACTTGTTGTGAAGATCATTACCTTCCTCGTCTCTAATGTAGCTGCGGAAGTGCGAATAGCCATTCGCAACGACATCAAGATCATCGAGAGTGAAGTTGTACCGCTTTTCTAGAGCTAAGTATAGAACCTGAAGAAAAATATTAGAGAAGACAAGGGAAGGAGATGAGAGTCAGGATACCATCAAAGTTTCTATTTCCACGACGATTATGTAAAGACTAGTGCACTCAGAAAGTCGGGAAATAATGTTACTGAAATATTGACTCCTAAATGTTGCCGGAAGCGAGAGTTGTTATTTGAAACCGAGTTGAGACATCTCATTAGAACCATTGTTGTCAATCTTAGATAGCTTGTAGAGTGGTTTAGCTCTAAATTGAGATAGTGGGAAAATTATTATATATACAGAATTACGAAAAAAATGCATAAGAAAAATCTATAAATTAATATCATAAGTATCGTTTAAACCAATAAAATATCAAAAAATATACTGTCATAACTAATAGATAGCTATATAAACAAAAAAATTAAATCACTACTACTCTTGATAAATACATAATTAAAGTAAATGCAGCACTGTTTCAAACATGGTTCAATTTTTCATCAAGTCGAGTTCAATCTTGCTTAATTACCATAGTCGAACTTGATCTTTATCAATAATATATTACTACAATAGTACAACATAAATTTATCACTTTATCAAACATTTTAAAACCTACTCAACACAATATCTTCAAATGTTTTTTTGAGTTCGAGCTCAGCAGCTTAGCAATCCAAGCTTTCGAGTGGCTCAACGTGCACAACAACTCTACCAAAACCATGTCCGCATACCATATTATGTACGTATGCATGGAATGAAAGCAGAAGGACTAGAAGCACGGAGTAATGAACACGTTAAAGATCATTTCAATATATGCACTTTAAATATACCTTTTGAGGGTCATTAAACATGATTGATTTCAACACGCTGAAGAATGCATCCGTTAACTTTTCATCGTATATTACATCAGCAGCAAAGATCAAAGAAGCCCTCCGAACCTTTGCAACATCTGATTCACTCCAATGGTAGCTACACGAGGCAAGTGATCTTTAAATGATCCGATTATTGGGATCAAACAAACAATAATCCATAAACGCATACTACCTTTGTTCAGATGGAAGGCTTATATCAATCTCAGGGGGCCATGAACAGTTCCAATCAAGTTCACGTACGTATACAGAAGCCTTGCGGTGAAAAATGCCCACATTGAGATGAATATTCTTGGAACAATTACCGAGCACATCTTCTCCTACATCTGTAACATATAAAGTACAATAATGCTTTATGAAAACTACCTGTGCCAGCTTATAAACTAACAAAGTCAATGATATGCCTTGATTCATGTATGTAATTACATTCTAAATCCTATATATATAAATATATATATATATATAGATCCAACATATTGGGCTGAGATGTTTCTCTTTCTTTTTTTCAACTCGTTTTGCACATATACTCTATTCATTCAAAATATTCGATTGGGTGTTGCAATTAATAAGGTTATTAACAGTAATATTTGGAGGTCTAATTTGGAGAAAAGATAAAACCTGAAGACAAGCACAGCCCATATTTCCTTAACTCCAAACGTCATCTTTGCTACAGTATGCACTCACTCTCTTATATTTCATATGGCATTTCCATAATAGAAGTTTTTGCCTCTCCATTGATGCCACAACTGAGATTGTCTAAACTTACATGTTCTTTCAGGCGGAGAAAAATAATCATCAATTACTATAAACACCAAGTGACCAGAAGAGAAACGTCAAAAGTGGACATGAAAAAGTAGCACATTACGAATTGTCATACTTTACCAGTGATGTAAACTGTGTTAGCATTGCACGCTAGTAGCATGCCAACTAACCCTGAAAAAGTAATGAAAGGAAATCCTGTTACTGGAAGCACATTTGCAACACTATGATCCCTTAAAATTGCTGTTCTGGAAAATTAAAATTAAGACGCCATATGCACATCTAAGTCATTAAGCACTTAAAACTTTTACCAGTGCCCGCACCGAGTTCCAGAGCAGTAATTCCATCAAAATTGGGCGATCTATACATCATATGCAACACAAAGTCAGCTAGTACCAATTCTGCTCTCCAAACCTGAATTGGATCAAACTTTATCAATAGCATGTAAACAAGAATCGAATAGCGTTTGCCTAGCAAGCTTGTTTCTAAAACAGAAAAAATGCAAGTGTGAATGATAGATAATAGGATTATACAGGTAAATTGAAGCATCAAAAAGGAAAAAAGTGATACCACATCCGTCTTATAAAGATATGCTCATTTTACCATTTTCTTTTGTCTATAAAAGTGTGCTCATTACATATTTAGTAAAAAAGTAAAATATTTCTTTAAATCTATACCCATTAATTTTCAATCTATTTACACAAATATATTTATTACACTCATTCTACTTTACTCCAAAATTTACATTACTAACCCTTAAAATCAACAAGTTGTTGGGTACCCAGATTAAAACTGGAGTATCCTTATCACAAAAGAACAGGATATAGGGTTTAGGGTTTACATATCTATGTGTGTGTGTGTGTGTGTGTGTAGATATATATATATATATAAAAACAAGCGGATTTGATTAAAGCAGAAATAATGAACAATACACATATAAAAAGCCTAAAATGCATAAGTTAAACAGATGTCTGAGAATTTTGCGGTACCTGCAGACCAACTTTTGGAATAGATGAAGTGATGTTGTGCTTAATGCTGACAACAAAATAACCCTTTCTTGGTCCTGAAAATGAAATATGAAATTAAGTAATAGAGAGTTTTCCAGATGCCATCGTTGTTTTCTTTTATATCTATCGTGATCGTCAAAAAACATGGGTACGAAGGAAAGAAATTGAACACCAATGCCATCGTGATACTCTTGTTCAAGCACAAACTGACCTATTCTTTGCTCTTGAATATAATACAATAAGACATAAGAGAATCGTTCGGATAAAGAACTCAAGAGAAAAGAGAAACGATAGGCAGATATCTGATTACAAACCAGATGAACGGAGACACTTCTAGCCAAAAGTTGATTACAAATCAACTTCTCTAGATCACCACGAGTAACTGGTAAAGCACAAAAGCTTCACAATTAAGCCGGGAAACTTACTTCCTCTTCGAGTTAGGATTAAATCTCCATCTTCGTCCACTTCACAGACTTTTGCCTCCGTGGAGCTAGAATTCCCCGAAGTACGATCAAATCCTAAATAATTCAACATCAATTAATGATAGGTGTTAAAGAAGTGCGGACAACAAATGGAAATGAGAGGAGGAAGAGCCCTAACGAGAAGGAACTGAGACGGTGAAATGGGAGATGTAGGGCGCGAACTGGTGCGGCGGACACCCTAGATGGACCTCGCTCATCACTTGCTCCTCCGCCAAGCCGTCGCCGCTGCCTTGTGGAGGCCGACGGATCTCCGGCGGTGCACCGCCCTTTTCAGACTCCATTCTACGAAACTGCTCGGAGGTGCCTACAGCATGTGTGATTTTGATTTTGGTTTTCAACGGCGATGTTTGATTGTAAATTAAGTGTGTGTTTATTTAGGGAGGGTCATTGGGGAAATTTGAGATTGTATTTGGATTTTATTTCAATTGAGTTTGAATTTTAATACACCGTTTCCCATATTTTGTTTGGGTTACCGTAGCCAGAGGAATTTAAAAGAAGTATAATTAATAAATTAATAAATAATTAAAAATATATTAGTGAAAATAATTATTGTATAATAAAAATAATTATAGATTAAGATTAATATAATTTATTTAAAATTATAAAAATTATAAATTAAATTTTTAAAAATAAGATTAAAATGTATAATTATTTTTCAAAAAATGAAAGTGACGAAGTAAATGGGACGGACGAAAATAGAAAGGTGGACATGAGAAGTGAGACGGAAGGAGTATTTATTTTATGTTTAAGTTTGGTAAGAGATTTGGGAAGTTGTGATATAATTAATTTGATTAGTAATAAATATAATAATATATTTAATTATAAGTTTATATTATATCTATATTTATTTTTTTGAATTTTTATTTACCTATATTATAAAAAAAAAAAATTATTCTCAATATATATAGTATATATTTTATTAAATTATACATATTATAAAATGCACAGAGCTTGTCAAGTAGTTTAAAAATATTAATATTATATTTGATATAATAGGAATAAAATAGAGATGATTAAAATAACCTTATTACTACATGTGATATAAAGATAATGATATTTGTATAATATATTGTAAGTTGTAAGATTATTTGTAATATTAAGCAGATAGTACAGTAAAATAAAATGAAATAGATACTTTGTTATGAACGGACTAAAATGAAAAAATAGATATTTTGTTATGGGACGAATGAATGAACTATATTAAACACTAGCTAGTTTTGGCCAAAATTATTGTGGAGAAACACCCTAAATTTTTATATAATATAATAAAAAAAATCGATATTTAATTTAGACTTTTCTTCTTTTTTTTTTTTGTATATTTTGTCAAAAAAAAGTTAATACATAATATATATTAATTATTTTTATATTCCCTACACAATTTTTATACTTTACTTAAAAATAATTCTTACATAAAAAAGATTCTTTTCAACAATCTCACAAAACATACACACCCTTAATCTTTCGAGGAACAAAAATTAACCTATAACATAGTATTCATTTTTTTTAATAGTAATTTACTATTTACCTAATATTAAAAATACACTTACAACTTATAGTATATTACACAATAAGTTATCATAGTCATTTTTATTTAATTTATTTTTTAATAGTAATTTACTATTGATCTAATATTAAAAATACACTTACAACTTATAGTATATTACACAATAAGTTATCATAGCCATTTTTATTTTATTCTTACTAATATACATTTTCTCTATAAGAATACATATAAGTTTTCTTTCTAGGAATACATATATACTACCTCTGTTCAGTTTTAAGATTTCATTTTTATTGCGCGTTGATCTTTAAATATTAATTATTATATCAAGTACAAATTAAAAAAATTTACAAAAGTACTTCAATTAGTGTCTTATAACAGTAATAGAAGAACATTTGTAATGTTAAATACAATGACGAAAAAGATAATATATTCATCGACATACCAATCAACACACCACCGGTATTACAATATTTCTTAAATTTGTTAAAGCATAATGTGGAAAAATAAGTTGTTTAAGAAAGTAATAATATAAAATGATAAAAATATACAAGTTTCCCCAAATTTTACTATTTGAATTTTACCGAAAAAAAAATATTTTTTCTTTTTACAAAACATTACATCAAACATTATTTTCAAATTAAACTCAAACCAATTTTTTTTCAAACTCATCAAAATAAACACATAATTTGTTTATCAACAACTTTATCACTATTTTATTATTAGCATATATTATATAAAAACACGTGAAAACACGTTTTAAGCATACAAACTACATACTGAAAATTTTAAAGAACATACAGCAGTTTGTTTGTAATATGGATCGAATGCATCCCTGTCGGCCCACACAATATCCACTATTGCATACCTACACAGAATACAAAAGCATGATAGTTTGCGATTAATAATTCGTATAAAATTTTGTATGAAAAATCTAAGCATGCATGTCCCGAGACGTAAAATTAATACTAATTCTAAATGTAAAAAAACTTTAAAATAAATACAATGCAAATATAAAAAAACAATAAAAGTAAAAATTTCAAATTTTTTTTTTTTTTTTTTTTTTAATGCGGTCGAAAAATGCATTCGGTTTCCCTGCAAATTGTTAGAAATCCGATTATCAAAAATTGAAAATATTTCTTTATATATATGTTGGTGTGTTTTCGAATAAATTTTATTGACTAATAATTTAATAATTCTGACACAAGCAAAATATTATAAACACAAGCCAAAATATTTGAACTGGAATAATTTTATAGATATTTTATGTAGGATCCAAAAATGATAAGAACAGTTACAATAACAGTACCACTTTTTATTTTTCCTCTCTAAATTTATATTAAATATAAAATATATATTATAATATATGGAGTATTATTTAACAGTCAGTCCATACAGCACAGTGATAGTATAGGAATAACGAAAAAAAAAATAGCTACAAACTATATTCAAAATTTGGACCAATAATTTCTACAATAAACTTTATAAGGGGAAGACGATGAATCAAACTGCAAATGCTGCAGATTCTACACATCAACATGCTGCAATGGAGATGATGAATTTCTCCCCAATTTGGATGAAATCTTCGATTCAGAATTTCAGATAATGCAACAGCACTTTCCAAAAGTAATCATAGGACTATATAATATCTGCAAATTGTGATATAAGCATTCAGCACATCCATTAGTGTTTCCAGGAATCCAAATTTAAGCAAAAATTCGAACCTGAGAGAGAATGGTGCCGATGAGCTTGTCCAATTGTTGCGTCGAGCATGACTGAAAAAGGCCCAGAAGATATTTCAAGATCAAATGGAAATTTTAATTATGGGAAGCATTAGTAAATTAATATTTTGAGATCAAGATACATAAAGGCAAGATGGACAGGAAAAATGCTTACCTCAAACGTCGACTGCTTTGCTAGTGGCACACAAGTAGTATTCGTACAGCTCATGATACTTGGCCGGAACATAATCCTTGAATCTGTCAAGAAATTGAGAAGAATGGATGAGAAACTGGGTTGTCTTTTCTTTAGGACCATATGGAGATTGAACCGCGAAATGTAGCTAAGAATACAAAAGAATCAACTGGAAAAACACAAAAACTGATGAGCAACTCATGTTACTCTATATGAAACATCAATAACTTGATCATTTGTCAGTAAGCATTTCAATAACCTCCCAGTTTGTCACTAAGCATTTCCACACAAATTAGCGATGATAAACCATCAAAATGTTAATCGAGAGACGAGCCTGACCTAAGAATATTGTACAGTAAGTAGAGAATAATACCCATGCAGAAGTGAGTGCCGGTCCGGAGCAGAAAATAGCGCAGCAATAGATTCCAAGACGTGACCTATCTTCATTGTTTTAGATTTCAGTGCCTTCATGAAGCCTACAAATTCTTTGTACTCTGCATCACTAAGTTTTTGCCGAACCTGCAAAAAATATAGACGAATGCTCAGAAGCATGTGTTGTTATCACATCTAGCTTTGAAAAGATCGGTAGAAGCCAATGAGCACAGCCCAGATTCTTTTCTTTTCTTTTTTCTTTTATCGGAAAAATCAAGGTATGTTAATACCAAATAAATGGGTAAGCCCAGATTCAACATATCGTAATATAATGCATGGATAGAATAAAGTTATTTACATGGAAGCAAGAGGTGCTAAAGGTTTAAGGTGAGTCACCAAATTACAACAGCTTACGGTAGACAGATAAATTTATTACCAAGGCTGCACAGTAGTGTTTGAAAAAGCTTCACCATTTTGTTTCAATTAACATGAAAACTTGAGGAAGAGATACTTGAAGGTAAAGAAACTATCAAATTGTGCACAGAAACACATAATAATATCACACTACAATTTTATCTAACATGATGTCGAAAAAAATGCCATTGTTGCATCTCTTAATTTCATGCTGAATCTGAAGCCAGCGTATATTTATAAACCAACAAGATAGCAAACAGGTAGGATCCAACCACAAATGGCACCTAGGGGATATAGAAATATTGTTCACCTGGTTGAGAAAGGCTGAACCCTTTGTCTCTTCATTTCTATGAACTGCAGTCTGATGTACAACATTCTTCTGTTTGGGAATGCTGAGATTAATAGTACTCCTATGTGTAACCATGTTGTTGTTGACTCTCAGGTCTTCTTGACCTAGTGGATTCTGGCTGCCGGCATTCTCAGAACACTGCGAATTTTCAATTTTAACTCTTTTAAGGGGGTGATCAGTCATCTCTTGCTGTTTAGACTGACTGGGCCCTGTTATCAGCATTCTACGTTTTTTCATTAGTGAAGTTTCAACGAGGTCACCCATTTCTGCATCTGAATCCTTTATATTTTTCTTCTCACTGATCGAGGGTTCTTTTCCTGTGTTTGTCAGATAACCAGAACACTTCAAAATTGTATTTCGAAAACCGTTTTCCGGTTTCAGAAAAGAGCGATTGGCAGGAACTATCTCCTTCAGATTGCTGGAAATATTGCCTTGTTTGGACTGTCTAGTAGATATCAAGCCCAGGGAGAAACTTGGATCTACAACTGACATCTGAAAATGTATTCCAATAAGAAAATGATCAAAAGAATAAGGCAGGGAATCGTTGCTAAACTCAACAAAAGGAATGGCAGAGAAGTGCAATCTAGATTACCTCAGGAACAGGAAGTTTTTCTGAAAGTGCAAAACTTTGTGAATCATTAGGATTTTCTGCAATAAGATATTTATGGTTAAGAAATCTTATTCCACAAGTTATTAAAAGAAACCAGGAAAAGAACACACAGTTTGCCATAATTTCCAGGCAGGTATGTAAAACTGCAAAATCTATGAAGTAAAATAGGTCAATGATTTATACTCAATTTGCAGTTGATCAAAACACAGGGTTGAAAATTCATTATTCCACAATCACATCATGTTCAAAACAGATAACGAAATAATAAGTACAGCTGTTTTTGTGCTTCGACCTTCATTATCTTCCTTCCACTTTCATTTTCAGTGATTTTTACCTGAGTTCTTCTACTTTATAATTTATTCATTTCTTTTCCTTCATCTCTCATGACACAGTTACAAGTTCCTAAAGCCCCCTGCTCCCTTGTCTTTTGATGGGCTAATATTTTCCTCTTATCAAATCATTTTCAAGTGGTGCCAACTCTCTTGCTAAAAAAACCACCAAATTTTGCACCGAAAAACAATTTGAATGCCATTATCTTTGGTCCATTCACTATGTCTGAAGTCTTCTCACCGATTTTGATCCCCACAAGGTTGTTACTTAAGAACACCAACATGATATAACCTAAGTAAGCACACATAGGTGGCACTTAAGTGACCAATTACCTCCAGTACATTGACTATGTTTAAAGTCTACTCACAGCTTTTGAAGTTCAAATTTTAAGGATGTCATTTAAGGACATTAGCACAAGAAATTATTCCCAAGTAAATAGCTTAAACGAATTGTGTTGGGAAGTTTCTTATGACTCGTGTTAAATTTGGGCAACATACATTTACAACACTTAAAGTTTCTGAAGTTCTTGATATCATATACCAAGTAATATCATTAGAAGACCGAATATTAGTGAAGCAATTGTCTGCACAAGGGAATTCACTTACACATATAAACTGGGGTGACATAGAAAATAATAGATAGAAGCATATTAACTGTATATCCATGATAGATAGCACACAAAAAATTTACCCTGATCTGCCTTTTTTTCCAGCTCAAGCTTTGTAGGGCCTCTTGTTCCCCCATCTCGGAAAAAACGGGTCAATGTGTAAACTACATCCCCAAATTTTGAGTAACACTGTCAAGGCAAATTTCAGAGACTTGAGATATAACGAAGAAGTGAACAAAAAGTGAGGAAAATCTATATAACTGCAGAGTTGTACCTTGACATGAGGTTGTATCCACAATGATATTTGAGATTTGCGGTTTGAATGTGCAAACCTAGGATAACAAGAGAGAAGTTACAGTTAATTACATAGGCGCATACCTCACATGGCTAACCTTGTGCAAAATTGATGCTCAGTAAATTACAGAAAACATCCATCTTTTAGAAATAAACCAAGCTGAAGGAAATTACAAAACATCATCTTTGGGAAAAAGAAAGGTCCATCAGGCTATTGAGAAATATATACATTAGCAGTAGTCATGTTGCTTCAGGTTGTAATAATTTGGAACTGAATCGTTTACTTGAAGCTTTATAAATTACCATATTCAAACTTTTGAAAGACAAATAAAGCGAAACAATCTATTCATGCAGTGAGAAGAGGATTGCAATTGTAACATATTGATTGATATAAGTCTCAACAATGAATGATGCAATCAATAACAGCAACAACCTCTCATCACAAAAGATAATTGCTCCATAATCATGCTGGTGACGAATGACACGGCCAACAGCCTGATTTACAGCCCTTGATGCTTGCTGAGAATACCAATCTTCTCCAGTCAAACCCTGTTCATTTAGAGTGCACTTAGTGTTTTCTATTCAAGAGTGCAAAGCTTAAAATATAAATTGGGATTCTTTACTTGTTTTTCCATTTTTCTACTATTCAGTCTCTCAATTTCCCTCAAAAAACATCACATCCTTCTATTTCACCTCAAAAAATACTAGAAATCAACTAAAACACAAAACAAACACACCCAAAAGCTACATTATATCATTCTGTTAGCATGCACAATACCTTGTTTCCAGTCTTTTGTGAATGTAAATGTTGATCCAAGTATTCACGTTTTAGGCGGACCTGTCTCCACAGAGAAAAGTGAAGGATTTTTTACATATTTGATGAAAAATAGGCATTAGATATTTTTTTAAAGGGTAGAGGTTGCGGGGTGGTGTGCCTGGGCACTCAAATTTCAGGTGACCCTATCATATCCAGCCAATTAAAATGGGAAAAAATACTCTTTACATGTTTGATGAAAAGTACAACAAAAGGAGAGAATAAAGAAGTAACAAATAATATTCAATTTTTTTTTAAAAAAAAAAAAAGAAAGAAAAAGAAAGAAAAGAAAATTTGCACGCACTCACCAGAAAACATGTACATCAGCTTACATAATACTTAAACTGGAAGCTAAATAAGGATAAAACTACTTACTGTCTATAGATGTTACGATGGCAAGTTTTGGAGAAACTATAAACAATTAAGAACAGAATGGCAGGGGTATTAGTATAAAGGGCAAAGGCATAGTAAATCATACCTTCGGATCAATCATAGTGGCAAATGGCAATCCAGTGATGACCACAGCTCTACCCGCATGGTCTGCAAAGTCCAGTCCTTCACTGACCTACATAGATGGCTTAGAAATAAAATCATCTTACATTTAATCCATGGAATATGAGTATCACCGTTCAACAAGGATGTAGAATTTGCACAACATTTCACCAGAATTAAGTGAATAACTATAAGGACTAGCAAAATTTCACTAAAATAATTTACAATACACATTAGCAATGTCTAGCACTTGTATCAGTCATTTGTCACTTTCTGAGATGTAATGAAATATGAAACACTAGTACATTGATCATTAATGTGAAAATGTGCTAGAGTACATTTAGACATACTAAGGCCCCATGTTTCCATGTAAATTATCTTCGTAAGTGGTCTGACCAAGAAGTTACAATTGGTTCAACATTTCCAAAGAAAGAGACTCAAGGGTGCATGCGGCCATGTGAATAATTTGACTTTAAATACCATATTCACAAGAACATATTTTCACTGGGACCAAAGATTTACATACCTTGCCACGGCAGACTGCAAAGAAAATAGCCCCAGAAGCGGTGGGTTCCTTTAACTTTGTCATATAGTCCTGATCAAAAGAGGCATAAAGAAACAGCTCACAGAAGCAACATCCTTATAATGGAGGCACAATTAAACAATGGTCCCTTAAGAAACGTACTTCGATTGCCATAGGAAAAAGTGATGACTGTCTAGGTTCCACAACAGGTAACTTGTGCTTACAGATTCTTTCCCAAATAGTAGTTGAATTTGTCAGATTTGGACCCTGACAATAAGGGACATGATCAATAGAATAGACATTTAGAAATGCTATAGTTTATGTCCCATCACATCATGCCTTACCACATCTTTCCAGCTGCTAATGCACTGATCCAGAACATAGTAAGATGGAAAAAATACAAGCAGTCCATCTGGTACAATTCGAGCAAAATTGACTGGCACATAAACTCCAGGTTAGTAAATCTTTCCAAAACTTCTATTTAAGAATCAATCAAGTGAACTAAAATACATTGATAAAGGTTTTTAAGCAGTCTCATGATAAATATAATAATAGAATTTATCATATGATGTACGCGTACCAATGGCATTGCCAAGTTCCTGTTTGTACTCTGCCGTACCACGAGTGCGATATGAAGAATTGAAGGAATAACCAGATGGCCCAACTGATGCAACCCCCGCCCATATCTGATTTTCTGATATGACATGAGGATTCTCCAGACGTATAGGAAATTCTCTACAGCAAGATAACTTTTATCAATATCTTATTCTTAATGGATGTGATAGTGAACACGAATATGAGGGATAAGTGTATTGCTTATAACTAACAATTTCAATTCATCTGCAAAAGAATCCATGGGAGACAAGGTACCGGATGTCAATATGATAGATCCAACACCTAGGCTGGTAAATTCTTCCATGGCAATTCCAGGATTGAAGCACCACCAGCTAAGGGTTCTAGAAGTTTTTCCTAGTTGCAATATTGAATAAGATGCATCAGCGGAAGTGCTAGGATTCAGCCAGTATTATAAAAGAAATATATCATTATACAAGAAAACGCATAACAATCAGGTGCAGAGTTGGAAAACAGATGTGTCTGTGCACGCAGAAGCTCCTATTGTTGCTTATGATGGTACATAACAGACAGAGCACATGTGTAACTGTTGAAGGCTCACAAATCCACAACACGCCAAAACACAAACATACCCCTGAGAAAGCCAAAACTGTTTTGACTTTTCACATGCACTGATAACATAAAAGTATCAATTTATGTCGTGATGCTTCTAGTTGTTATGTTCACAGGTTGCAGAGCGCTCTCATCTCTAAATAGAGAATAACACTCCCCTATACCTCCACATGTTTAAAGTTAAATAAATTTTCACATAATAATTTGTAACTGATGTTTTAAATATGGATAGCCAACAAGATGGCAAATTCCAGTCCCTCGCTTTACAGACATGTAAAAGAATGCATTGCAGAAGTAACTACAACTGCACCCTAACAACAAAATTGATTTACTATTCCGGACATAATTTGGAAACTTTAAAACAAAAACAAAAAAAAAAAAAAAACAACCATATGTAGCAATTTGTCGATTCCATATTCCCCTATGGTTTTGAGTTCAAGTGCATGAACTACAACAACAAAACCATTGATTTGAGAATATGAAGATATAAATGATAAGCATCTCCTAGCAACAATAGGTTCAGGACTACCTCTAAAGCCATCTGTGGCACTACCTTCAACTTCCTGGACATGAAGCTGCAATCTCAAAGATCAATATAACATGTCAGACACATTCCTCGGGTTGATCCCATCAACAGAATAAAATTTTTGAATGACATTTATTTATGAAACATATTATAACTTACACGGTAATATTGGGCATGAGCATTTCCGTTGTCCTTGAATATCAGCCTAAGAATGTCACCCATGGTTTCCAGTCTGCATACAGTTGCATTTGTTTTGTTTGACCGTGTACTGTCACTTCCATTTGCATCTGATAAAAAAAAGTCATAAGACAATAAAAATGCGAGTTTTAGTTTCCAGATTAAGAATCCTATCTGATTTTCACAAACAGAACGATGACAGAGGCATCATTTTGGGAATGCACTTGGATTCTTCACGTTCAATGATTCATTAAATGTTCTATCTCAAGGAAACTATTAATTCTGTAAATGAGTGTTGACAACAACATCCTCCTGCAGTAAATAATTCTATAGCTTTCGAGGATAGGAATATACAGAAAGATCAAAGGACAGCTGAGAGTACCTTCTTCAAGGAGTGCACATGCTTTTTCAATAATCCCCATAAGCATGTTGGCAGTTGATTGAGTAATATTTAACTGAGCTAGTAGCTCATAAATGTAAGGACCATCCCTCGTAAAACCTAATTCTTTGGATTCAATCGACACCTCAGCTATTGTCTTCTCAAGCTTCAAAAGAAGTGCTACAGGAACACCATGCTTGACCAAGTTAACCATCAAATTCAGCGGGTGTCAAAAGCAAGCAGATACCAGAAAAGTGGAAGATGAAGATAATCTAAGAGGAAAGGTTTTGTTTAGCATATAAACCTTAGGGTAAATATTTCCACCGGAAACAATAGAAGTACAGGACCAGATCCATCAAGATAATTTTATTCCCCTATTGATCTACTCTTTTAGAAAGATTGTTAAGCAAAGATCATTGTTACCTTTTAGAATAGCAAAATTATCTGGATTACAAGATTTATCACTTGATACTTCTCTCCTGGCTATGGAAAGGTCAACACAATTTTTAGCCTCAGATATGCAAGCCGTCAAAAGACTTGAAGGCAGATCAAAGGAAGCTGCATCCGCACATAAGGCTTCCTGCATTATAAAACCAATTGTCAGAACTAAATCTTTATATAAATACACTTATACATGTTTGTGTGTGTTTGTACGCGCCATAGAAACATCCTAACTTTTACAAAAGATCAAGTTCAGATCCAGTAGTCTACTAAGAATAAATCAATTGGTGAACTCAATGTAAGAGATAGAAGGGAGGAAACACGAAAGATAGGAAAGATAGAATAATAAGATTCCATTCTCCAAAAGTAGAAGTTTCTATACATACCAAGTTATGAGCCTCATCAAAAATAAGGATGCTGTTATTCCAGTTAATTTTCAGCGACTTTCTGTTGCCACGATCAATGAGATAGTTGTAAGGTGCAAATAAGATGTCAGCATCCCTATGAATCTCCCGTGACAGAAAATAAGGGCACCTACACAGAAACTAATCATTCTGAAAATCCATCTTATTGGTATGGAAACAAATAAACAAGATACCTACGGTCCACAGCTCCTCCCAACATTGACCAAATCCTCTATATCAATTGGATCATCTCCAATCCCAGGATTTTTCACCACAAACTCTACACATTAGAAAAATCAAAAAATTACAAGACTTTATGTAATGATAATATTGGGTGGAGGTAGCTTAAAACACTACAAAATGCAAAGTTAGTGCCTCCAAACTACAAAAAGCTAAGCAATCACCTAAGCCAAAGAGTGAAAATGTGATCTCCAAATATCCAAGAAATATAACTCAATGTGTATCTTGATATGCTTTTTCCATTCCCTCATTTATGTAGCTCTCAGTGTTGTCTAATATAATCTTTTATTATTGGAAGAATGTTTGATTCTGAAAGATCATAAATAAAGCTAACTACTCATCGTATTGCTATGACAAAGAAAAGCATAGTGCTTATAAAATTAATGTACAGCCAGTTTCATGATGTCAATCAAGCGCAAGGGTAGGGTTAATGCTAAGAACATGACAAATACCTTTAACACGGGAAAAATGAGAACAAAATCTCTTGGTGCGTTTTTTGCATAGGGCATGGCAGGCATGTGTCTGTGTCTTTCCATGTAGTAAACTTACTTGTTCATGAATGCACAATTGCTCTCGAGATCCTAAGACCGCCATTTTGGGTCTGAACATCACCAAATGCAACTCTTTAAGTCAACCCACTCTCCACCATATCTTATGTATTGCACATATAGATTAAATGAAGTAATCATTTAACAGTGATAAATAATTTAAGGAAACGAGTCATAGAGGCATTGTTTTGAGCAAAAACGCGATAGAGTAGAGAAAATCACAGCAAGGAGAAGAAATTCTTTAATACACAAAAAAAACACGTAAAAATAAAATAAACAATAAACAAACAGACCATCCCCACCTCCATCACTAGCAAATCTTAAAACAAAATTATAGATCACATGGTATTATTGAAACTGTTGATACAGATCCTCTCAAATCTCAATTTAAATAAACCTGATTACCCAAGAAACAATTTTACTTTTATAGTTGGGTAACCTGCTCATTGCAGGTGAAATTCAAAAGTTCAAATACAAAAATTAGTTAGCTGAAGCTAACCTGTACTTGCATCTCTTAAGCTCTTGAATTACTTGCTTTATCTGACTGTGGGTGCGCGATGTGTAGATTATTTTTGGAACAGAAGAAGATTGAGATTGGGACAATTCATCATCTGAATCTTGACTTTCTCTTATATTACTTTTCTCAGTCCGACCCCTTGAAAACTCCCCCAAACTTTTCCTCCAAGCTAATGTAGCACACAAGAGACATAATGTCTTTCCAGTTCCAGTCGGACTCTCTAGCAGTGCATTGCGTTTCTGCCACAAAAATACACATTCCAACATTAATATCTGATTCTTCCTACAGTCATCTTAAATGAATAAACTGCAGGAAATCATAAAGTAAGACAAGGCTGACATTAGCTGTAGACAAGTTCAAGAAACTAAAAACAAATATCATCTTAGTAATGTATCTCCGAGAGCCAATACAAATCCAAGATTAAAATGGGAAAATTATTTTTAAAATATTCAATAAAAATCACATACTATCCTACTAAAGTCTAGGTAGGAAGGGCGTACACAGTACACCTCTTTTAAAATTAACAGGTCAGTTGAAGCAATTCTATGCTTGAAAGGAATAGGGCAGTTCCCAAATAAGTTACAGAACTGGTCCCAATAATTGTTCTTTCCCAGAAGAAACTTAGGTTGTGTTCATTTGTGGATTTTCAAATAATTTCACGATTCAATTAATTTTTTTCCCAAAAATCATCATATCAAAATACCTCTATTTTTCATTTTTTATATTATAGTAACAATACATTCAAAACATCCTCAAACAAACGCACCCTTAGTTGTTTGTTCGTGTTTTCAACTTTCTTTTTGCATTATGTAATAAAAAATACAACAATTTTCACCCTAAAAACCATTACGTATAGTAACAATTTTTCATTTGAAATTTAGCATACACAAAAGGTCACTTATTCTCTCTAGTGAACAGAACATCAATATGTAAGAAAATCTAAAAATAAAAAATGAAGCTTCTTGCAACATCGTGTATCGGCGAATGAACAAACAATAATCCATGCCAAAATTGCCGCTTTATTACTATCCCTCCTTGGTACTTTCTTTCTCCATTTTCTTTCTTTCTTGTTTTCTTTATTGTGAATTCTCCGATAATTGCCTAACAACAAATTTTAACTAATTGATCCACCATTTTACTTCGGACAAGATGAGTGGTAGTTCAATACACTCTTGCATCGTCAAGAAACAGCGGGAGGTTATAATAAACAAATAAAAATTGAAATAAAAAACGAAACTTAGAATTATCATACGTCTTGGAGTGATTGGATGACTTTTTCCATGTAAACAAGCTGGCAATCGTACGCCTTGTAAGGGAAATCCACATTGATTCCCCTGATTGTATAAGTCGGCATTCTCGATTCTTTTGATGAGTCGTTCGCTGCAGAGTTGAAGCGATCAATCGTAAAACCCTAACATTCTCGCGCGAGTTGTGGATTTACATTCACAGTCCACTCCCGCCATTTTTTGTTTCCTTGACAAGCCATTCAAACGGCGCCGTATTGTCCCAGTATCGGGTCGACCCGAATTCGGGCCCATATAGCGATATCATACCATCAATTATGCTACCAGTATTTGGCCCAATCGAATATACTAAATTACGGCAGTTTTTAATTTTTTTTAGTTGTTCATTCAAATATTATTATTTATATATAAAAAAAAATTAATACTCCTAGTGGAAGTATGCTAGAGGTTTTTGATATTTTTGTCTAAAATTTTATATAAAAAATAATTTTATGTGTAATGGTATATTTGTAATTTAGATAAAAATTAAAGGTATTTTTATATTGGTGTATAGTTATTTTTATTAAAATATGAAATAGATATTTTGGAATGACAAGAACGAAAATGATAAAAAGAGTACTTTGAATTGAGTTGGACTGAGTGAGTAATAATTAAGGGTATGTTTCTTTAAATGGGTTTGAGAAAAATGTGGTTTGAGTTTGGTATTAAAATAATGCATGATGATATGTTTTATGACAAAAAATTGTATATTTTTTCGAAAAATGCAGAGTTCAAATAATAAAAATTTGAGGTTTTGGGTAAAAGAAACATACCATAAATTTTAACTATAATTCAAAATAATATATTACCTCCGTCCATTGTCAATCTATCTATTTACTTTTTGCATGTTAATCTTTATATATTAATTATTATATCAAAACGTAGTAAAAATTAAAGAAAAACACAAAATTACTTACATGGGTGTCTTATAATACTAATATAATTATATTTGTACAAAAAATTATATAAATATAAAGATATTTTTAATGTTAAAATAATGACGATAAATGCAAATTGATAGATTTGCGGAGGAAGGAGATAGTATTTAATTTTTTCCACATAATTATTTTAACAAATTATTTTTATTTATGTTTAATTAGAATTGATAAAAAAAAATACAATTCAAAATTCTGAAAACTCTGACCGGACATGACTGTAAAATATGAGTATTTGTAAAAAATATTTTTTTTGAAATTATTATTTTGTAATTGAATAACTACAAAATAAAATATTTATACGAGTTGATTGACGTAGTATTTTATATTGAATATATATATTAAGAATTATGTCCAAAAAGAAAATATTTGGTAAATAATTTTATCAATATTTTTTTAAAATAAAATTGATGAATATATTTAATAACATATTTGGTTGAGGTTCCAATTCTAAATTTAAGTATTATAATAGTAATTTTTTTTTTTTTTTTTAATTTGAAAGACTATAAAATTTATCAGGAAATACAAATCAATATTTTAATACAACAAATCTTTTACTATTAATCGAACATATCTCACCTTAAAATATCAGATAAAAACTCAAATCTCGCGCTCCCTAATACGACTATAGTAATATCAATTTCCCGCCCCACTCTATCGTTGTAAATACCCAAAAGGATCAATCAACTCTCAAATTCAAACCTCCATCGCCGCCGTAGCTTCGCGCCTCCGCCGCCGCCTCCACCAGCTCGGCCGACTCCAATCCGTAAGTTGATCGCCAAACGCTTTCAATAAAACAGAGACAATGAGCACGAATCACGCCTCGTTTCCCCGGCCGGCAATACCGAAAGTTGCAGGAATCCCATTCGTCTACGCGCCGGCGCCGGCGGATACCGAAATTTCAATTTCGCGCTCATCGATTCCGTACTTCGTCGGAGGACTAGCGGTGGTAGCAAGTCTACTGACTCTCATGCTGCTCGTCTTCATCTGCGGGGTCACGATGCTCAGTGGCGAGCCAATCGACGACTTGGAAAGTGGTGCTGAGGACCGCCTCCCCGCCGCCGCCGCCGCCGCCTTCGAGTGGGAGAGAGTGCGCAGGACCTATGCCGGAGAATCTTCCTCCTTAGTGGATGTGTATCCGGTGATTATGGCAGGGGATGTGAAACCTACTTTTGTAGCTGTTCCTGCTCTGCTCGTGAATTCAAACCAAATTTGCGGTGAAGAGAAGCGAAATTGGAGTAGCGAAAAATCAAATTCAGAATCATGTCGAAGCAATCGGAATCATGAGAAGGACGAAGCGTCTCCCGAACAAACCCTAATTGGAAATCTGCTGCAACTATGTCGGGGTGATATAAATATTTAATTAAATATCTTTATTTTATATAACATGATTGATTGAGCTATCAACTATAATTAAAATATTATTAATTCTTAAACAATATTCTCAAAAAATAAATATTTACTTGGACAAAGATGAACTACAATACACTCTTTATTTAATTAATTATAATATTATTTTTATGTAATTAATAATATTGATAGCTTTAAAGTAAATTTAACATATATGATTAAAAAAATATTTTATATATGCAATATGAATATTACTTTGTAAAGAATAAATCTTCTATAATATAAGTAAATAAAAAATATTTTATTTATTTATAATTAACATAAATTAATTTTATAAAAGAATAGAGTATTAAATATAGATAAAAATAAGTATTTTTAAATAGAAATAAGTATTTTTAAAATAAAAATACTTATTTTTTAAAAAAGAGATAATAATAAAGGGGTTTTGAGTGAATTATGATATTATATGTTAAATACTTAATTAAATTGTTTTATATTTGTTAAATATATTTTAATTTTGTAGATTTTATCCAAAATAGAAATGTGACAATTGTTTTGGGACATGTAAAAATGAAAATTGTGTCAATTGTGGTGGAACAGAGAAAATATTATTTATACACTTCTCCATACCTTACACAAAAATTATTTAAATCAAAATTCAAATATTTATCTCATTTTCAAATAAAACCAAATAAATCTCAATAGTGTGTTTGGTTTTTATTTCAAATAAAATTTTTAAAACTATTCATCTCCCAATAATTTAATAAAAATATAATAATTATTTTTTTCATAAAATATCATATCAAAATACAATTCAAATTCAAATTGCTATGTCAATTTTAAATAAAAAAAAAATCAATACGCAATACTTTAAATAGTTAAATTTGTGATCGTGAAGTTATGGGCTCAAACTCCTTATGGTTGATTGTGATTTCCCTGGCAGACTAAAAAAATATGAATAATAAAAAATAAAACCACACAAAAGAAGACATTGTAACTTTTTAATAAAATTAAAATTTTACAAATAAACACGGCACTATCAAACAAAAAGAAAAACTTGTAATCCCGGAATGACATGCCTTGAGGTTATGGGTTCAAATACATCAAGAAAATTTCAATTAAAAAACTGTATAGAAAAACCATTAAAAAGTTTTAATTTAATAATAAAAAAAACCGTGAAAAATAAGTAATATTAAAATGAAATATAAAATATATAGTCCAACGAAACAAGCGGAACTTGAATCCGAAGATCCTTCTAGAAGCAGCGGAGGACTCCCAGATTCATCTACGTTTACTGGAGCAACCAATCAGGAAATGCCACATCACTTCTAGAGAATTTTCTACACAAACCCTTGCTCCACATCTTAAGTTATAAGCCCTCTCTATAACCTTTTCCGCACCAAATTAAGATTAATTCGGAAAGGCTACTTGACCTGCTGCCGTCTTATTCTTCATTCTCCCGTCCGACGCGCCATCGCCGGAGTATAGCGGAGGAGCACTCTCAATCGGTTATTAGGTATTTCACATCTTCAGTTGAATTGTTGATGTTGTTGCTTGCAGTTACCAGATCTATTCGGTTTGTTGATTATTGCCGTTTCTTTGTTTTCTATGGTGCGATTTGTGTTTTCATTTTCTTGAATTTTATGTTGACCACGTAGAATTGCGCAGCGAGATGTCAGTGCTTGATGTTTGGTGCGATTGAGTAATTTTTAAGGGAAATGTCTCGTTTGATTTGGGAGCATTTTTGTGTTGAATTCAGATAGGTATTGTGTTGTGTTCGAAACATTGAGGCTTTGAGTTGATTGTGCTGTCTGAGAGTTCTTGGATAATGAATCATAGTTTGTATGTAGCCAATTGAAAATTTATTGTGATCTCCGTAGTAATAAGCATTGAAACGACAAATATGGAACTTTTTGCTATCATGGTTGAGATTTCTTAATTTGGATGGTGGTTTGGGTGGAGGTGCATGTCTGTTGACATGTAGCAATCTATGAGTGTATATTGTCACAATGTGGAGAGGGGCCGTGCACTGAGATGATAAAAATGGTAATATGCTGTATTACTTTATTTAAATTTTCATTTCGGGTAAATTTGGTGAAAATTCTGCACACTATATGTTCAAAAATTACAAATTATAGTGCGTGCATAAAAAAAGACATAAAAAATACAGTAGAAATTATGCGGGAGCAAAAATAGTTGTGAGGCACCAAAAGGTCTTTACTTTAATAGGTAACCGTTCTGTTTTCTCGTAGCCGCCTGATAATGATCAATCATGGCTGCAAATCTGGATTCTGATTCATTTATGGATGGTGGTTTGTGTTGTTTGATCTACCTATGGGAATACTGACGACATCTTTTTGTTCAAGATTATCATCTTATTACTGCTAATGACTTCGTAACTTGCTGCAGACATCAAAATAAACATGAGTGTGGTTGGTTTTGATCTTGGGAATGAAAACTGTGTTGTTGCGGTTGCACGACAACGAGGAATTGATGTTGTGCTCAATGATGAATCAAAACGAGAAACTCCTGCCATCGTATGTTTTGGTGACAAGCAGCGATTTATTGGAACAGCCGGAGCTGCATCAAGCATGACTAATCCGAAAAATACAGTATCCCAAATAAAGCGACTGATTGGGAAGCAGTTTTCAGATCCTGAACTACAGCGTGATTTGAAGTCATTGCCATACTTAGTGACTGAAGGCCCCGATGGATACCCTTTGATTCATGCTCGTTATTTGGGGGAAACTAGGACATTTACACCTACTCAGGTTTTAGGTATGGTATTTTCCAATTTGAAGAGCATTGCTGAAACGAATTTAAAAGCTGCAGTTGTGGATTGCTGTATTGGAATACCTGTTCATTTCACCGACCTGCAGAGGAGAGCTGTTATAGATGCCGCAACCATTGCTGGCTTACACCCTCTACGTCTCATCCATGAAACAACAGCTACTGCATTAAATTATGGTATTTATAAGACTGATTTATCTGAAAGTGAACCTCTAAATGTTGCTTTTGTTGATGTCGGGCATGCAAGCCTTCAAATTTGTATTGCCGCCTTCAAGAAAGGTCAGCTGAAGATCCTGGCTCATTCTTTCGATCGATCTCTTGGTGGGAGGGATTTTGATGAAGTTCTTTTCCAGCACTTTGCGGCAAAATTCAAGAATGAATACAAGATTGATGTTTTCCAGAATGCTAGGGCTTGCCTGAGACTGCGTGCAGGTTGTGAAAAATTAAAGAAGGTTCTCAGTGCTAATCCCGAGGCTCCTCTGAATATTGAATGCCTGATGGATGAGAAGGATGTCAGGGGATTTATTAAGAGAGATGAGTTTGAGCAGATTAGTGCTCCCATTCTGGAACGTGTTAAGAAACCATTAGAGAAAGCCCTGGCAGAAGCGGGCCTGACTGTTGAGAGTATACATGCAGTTGAAGTTGTTGGTTCAGGCTCTAGAGTTCCTGCAATTCATAAGATTTTAACAGAGTTCTTTCAAAAGGAGCCTAGGCGATCAATGAATGCAAGTGAATGCGTTTCTAAAGGATGTGCATTGCAATGTGCTATTCTGAGTCCTACATTCAAAGTCCGCGATTTTCAGGTAAATATTAAATATTTCTACACTGAGAGCAATTTGTCATATTGCAATGGTCTATTTTCCACATTCATTTATTTCTTCTTATGCCTAACGAAAACTTAATAGTAGAAAATATAGATCCCTATTTTCATAGATTTGTTACTCATGGTTTGCTTTTAAACTGCTTTTCAATTTAAGCCTTATTGGAAGCTGATGATATCTCTTTTCAAAAAGTTGATTCAGATTGTGTGTTTTATTCCATAGCAACATCACTTTACCATCTACAGGGATGTTGAGGTAAAATGCTGTTTGTTTAGTGCAGAAGCTTAGCCTGTTCTTGAAAAACAAAAAAAAGAAGATAAGACTCTTAAAACTATTTCTTGTGCCTCCGGTCACAACAAAATTATAAATGGATAATATGTCCATGCGTATCAAATAAGCTTGTATGTACAAGCTTTAGCTGCTGTAAATTCATCACATGATCTAATTTTGCTGGGATATTCTTGCAGGTTAATGAGAGCTTTCCATTCTCAATTGCTCTGTCATGGAAAGGTTCTGCTCCTGATGCACAAAATGGAGTAGCAGAAGGTCAGCAGAGCACTGTTGTCTTCCCCAAGGGCAATCCAATACCGAGTGTGAAGGCGCTAACTTTCTATAGATCTGGCACCTTCACAATAGATGTACAGTATGCCGATGCCAGTGAGATCCAAGCACCACCAAGGATAAGCACTTACACGGTAGGCCATTGCGCATGTTGTTTTAATTCATTAATTGATTCTTTACTTTTAAAACCTTATTTATCATTTGTTACTCTCAACTGACACTGTCGTTTTGTTGAGTTTCAGATTGGACCTTTTCAATCTGCAACAGGTGAAAGGGCAAAACTGAAGGTCAAAGTACGCTTGAACCTACATGGCATTGTCTTGATTGAGTCGGCAACGGTAAGCTTTTGTAGTGTTCCTTATCATTTTTAATGATCATGTTCAGTAGTAAAGAGCCCAAGTCTGATTCTTGGATATGAGTAGCTAACAGTTTTTTTATTAACTAACTAAAGATAACAAATAAGATTGAATTCAGGTTAGATTCTATACATGTAAGTCCGTCATGAATTTTTACCAATTTTAGATGATTTCCTTTTAAAGCAATGAAATTGCTAGCAAAATAGGTGTCTAGGTGTAGTGTATGCTTGGAAATTGAAAGAATATTTCATGCCTTGAAATTTGGTGTTAGTTAACTTGGCTCAAGTTACTATGTTAGCCACTGAAATGATATTTTATCGTGTCTACAAGTTGAATTTATAATTAACAATAAAACTTCAAAGCAACACACGGTACAGCTGTTATTGCTTGCTGTAATAGAATTACAACAATGAATAATCCATTGGATTATATTAACAAACTAAGCTAGTTATTTGTTCATGTTTTTGAGCCATTTGCCAATTACATTGCGGTTTGCCTTGAATCAGCTCTTGGAGGAGGAAGAGGTAGAAGTTCCAGTCAAAGAGTCAGCAAAAGAGGCCACCAAGATGGAGACAGATGAAACTCCCCCTCCAAGCACCAACGAAACAGATGTAAATATGCAGGATGCTAAAACTGATGCCCCTGCCGTTGATAATGGCCCTGAATCGGGAGATAAATCCGTAAATATGGAAACAGATGCAAAGGTAGAATACTATGTTATTCGAGTCCTTTCTTACATTTATTGATCTCTCTATATCTATATCAAATTAGCGCAATGTTCTTACCATTCACCATGCGATTTCCGATATCTGTACCTAATAAACTTCTACATGCCTTTTTTGCAACGAACACTTGTGATCGGGCTGTTTTTATGCTGGCAGGTGGAAGCTCCAAAGAAAAAGGTTAAGAAAATCAATGTGCCTGTATCTGAGATCGTATACGGAGGACTTGCAGCTGCAGATGTGCAAAAGGCCGTCGAGAAGGAGTTTGAGATGGCTCTTCAGGATCGCGTTATGGAAGAAACCAAAGAACGCAAAAATGCTGTCGAGGCTTATGTTTACGATATGCGCAATAAGGTAAGTATGCATTCATTTGGTAATTTTAATCTTAGTTCTTCGAATCTTTCTCTCAACCAACAATCTTCTCTTCCTGCAGCTTCACGACAAGTATCACGAGTTTGTGACTGAATCAGACAAAGAGCAGATAATCGCTCGGCTGCAAGAGGTTGAAGATTGGTTGTATGAAGACGGCGAGGACGAAACCAAGGGAGTCTACATTGCTAAGCTGGAGGAGCTCAAGAAGGTGAGAGAGAACATTCCCGGATTTCATTTTCCTGTTTGTCTCCAATTTTGTATAAATTTTGATCTAGAGAATCGTGAATTATAATCCTTTCAGCAAGGTGATCCTATCGAGGAGCGCTACAAGGATCACACCGAGAGGGGGCCTGCTATTGATCAACTTAATTATTGCATCAACAGCTACAGAGAAGCAGCTATATCAAATGATCTCAAGTTTAATCATATCGATGTTGAAGAGAAGCAGAAGGTATCGACTCCCTCCTGAAAAAAAAAAAAAAAAACTTTAGATGATCGACTGTTAATAGTAATAATTATATAGCACATGTAAGTCGTCCGTCCCTTTACGTTCTTCAGGTTTTGAATGAATGCCTTCAAGCCGAATCTTGGCTAAGAGAGAAAAGGCAGCAGCAGGATACTCTCCCAAAGCACGTCACACCGGCTCTTTTGTCTTCCGACATTAAGAAAAAGGCCGAAGGTCTTGACAGGTATTGTACAATAGTTGCACCATTAAATTAAATTCCTCCCCATAAGTTTCAGTTAGATAGAAGTTCCGGAATTCTGGAGTTTTAGAAAAATACTGGGAATTTGGTGGTAATATTTTATTATTATATTTTGAATGTAAATTGATTTTCAGCGTATATAAAAAATAAAAAAGATGTGTTTGATATGTAGGTAAAAGAATTCATGAATAGTTGCGAGTCAACGAAAATCCCAAAGTAACACATCCTAAAAGATTAGGTTTTGTTTACATAGATATGATGTGATATTTTGTCCTAAGAGAAAGAAAGTATTTGTTGTGATGTCTTTGGAAAAGTTACCTTTATGAAAGAAGTTACAGAAGTGGCATGCAAAGAAAACCTTATTTCTTATTTACAATTTTTTCTTGCACAGGTTCTGCAGACCGATCATGACGAAACCAAAACCCGCCCCACCAAAGACGGAAACTCCTCCGCCGCCCCCTCAACAACAAGAAGCCGACAACGGCCCTGAAGAGAATTCCAATGACGCTGGAAAAACTCCTGGAGGCGGGGACGAAGCATCGCCAGGGTCCAAGGAGCCTATGGAAACTGACAATTCGCAGGGCTCCTGATGAGTAGTAAGTTTGTGTTTGTGTTTGTGTTTCTGGACTTGTGGTTATACAAGAAAGTAGTATTACAATTATTCAAAAACCTATTTAAGCACGAATCCAGGAAGAAAAAGAACCCTCTTGATGAACTTTTGAGCTTATAACAAATTGATTTGGGGTTTTGACATTTGTTTGGATGTGTCTGATGAAGCTTCCCCTCTTTCCCATTCTGTACTCCAATTTTGGCGTTATTCTTATTTGCTGCTATTGTGATATTGGTAAGAATACTTTGAATTCTTCAATACTTGCAATCCATATTATTATTATTATTATTATTATTATTTTTTGGTTTTGCCTAAAAATATATTTTCTTTGGTTTTGATTGGAAATTTATTTTACATAAAATTTTGATATGATATTTTATTATATCATATACTCCCTCTGTTCCAATACAATAATTTTGTTTACCATTTTTGTCATTTTCAAAATAATAATTTTATTTTCATAGATAACTAGTCTTCTATCTATATTTTTTATCCACTTCAATATAATATTAATATTTGCGTATAATATATATCATAAAATTTTGAACAAATTGAAATCAATTTTATTTACTAAAAATATATATATTTTTATAAAATATTATATTAAAATATTACTAAGTAAAAATTCAAATTCATCACCTCATTATCTTAAACCACGAAAAGATAAAAAGATTTAAAATAAAAATCAAACAGATAAATTACAAAGCTTTCTATCATTTATACATAGACAATTTATAGTACCGTCGAGTATTTAAAAACAGAAAACAGCAAAAAATAAAAAACAAGTAAACTAAAGGAAGAGTATTTAGAATGGTTTATCACTTAACTATATTGGCTAATCTTAATAAGAACTTTTACTATTTATAAATATTAATTTTATTTTTTTAAAACATCAAATCAAAATTATAATTTTTATTTTTGTGTAAGATATTAGTTTATTACATAAAATAACTATTTCGATTAAAAAAAAAAATTTATTCAAAGTATATTTCTATGAAAAAGCATACCCTCTTTCCATAGCAGCTATTCAAAGCCAAAACATCAAAACGTAAGCATTTGAACCAAGCAAATCGTACAGAACAAAATGACCAAAACCAACATTTGTTAGAAACTCTCAAATCACAATAGATCTAATAACCAAAAAAAACAAATAAAAAGCCCTAACCAAAACAGAACACCATCCTCACAAATAATAACAATAACAATAATAATAATAATAATAAGGCGTGCCATTTTGACATCCAAGTAAGTTTTTATTAAATATTAACCACCTGTAATTACCTACTTCTGTAACTGTAAGTTTTCCGCTGCCGCCATGGATGAATCTCAAGCTCAAGCTCGAGCAAGAGGCACACACTATAATACAACAAATAACATTCCTTCATCCCTTCTTCTCCGGCGAACAATCCGTCGATCAATTCGACACGTCGTTATCGTTATCGTCGTCTTCTTCCTCCCCCTCGCCTTGCCGGATTTTCTCGATCTCCGCCTGCGTCCTCTCCAAAATCCGCCTCTTCTGCAGCTCCAAATCTCTGTGAAACTCCATCCTCATCTTCTCCAGCTCCACCATTTGCCGTCTCTTACTATTCTCGATCTTCAAATACGTATCGCTAAATTTCTGAATTGAATCCGCCAACAATTTAAACGAATCGCCCTTTTCCCGCCCGTTCTTCGTCTTCGCCGGCGGGAGGTCGTCGGAGAGCTCTTCTCCGGCAGCGGCCGACTCGGAATTCGCCGGACTATCCCTTACCATCTCGTCCGATCCGTTCGCGTAAGCCTTCGGATTCATGATCACATACTCGCCTGAATCGACTCCGCACGAAAGCCCGGCTTGCTGCGGAAGCAACGACAGAAGCTCGTCGAGCTTCTTGAAATAAACCCAATCGCCCGGCGCCTTTCCTGACTTCATCTTCTCCTTTTTGTACTTTTTTTTCAACGTGTCGAGACGGTTACGGCACTGAGTATCGGTTCGTTCGATGTTCGATTCTTGCGAGACTTTGTCGGCGACGGCCTGCCACTCTTCGGATCGGAGGCTTTTTCTACCTTGCTTGAGAAATTGCTCGCCCCAAGCGTCGAGCAAAACGAACGTCTCGTGCTCGGTCCAATCGGTGAGCGGGTTTCTCCCGCCATACGAGGGTTTCGGAGCAGAACCCGATGGAGCGGCAGCGGCGGTGGTGACGGTGACGGCGGGGACAGTAGTTGTCGCCGAAGGAGCGGGTGCACGAGGGGCGAACTCGTAGCTTGACAAGAGGGTTTTGAGTTTTCTCTTCTTTGCGTGCCTTTCCAAATCACCTAAATCCTCTTCATCTGTTTCGTCCTTGTCTCCATATTCGTAGTCATTGTTGCTTATTCTCTGGACGCCGTTTCCTCCGTCGTCGTCATCGTCGTCATCCCCGTTCTCCACGTATTCCTCCTCTTCGTTGTCGTCGTCCTCGTCGTATGAATGCCCGGCGTTGTGAGGATATCCGGCGGCATTTTCAACGGGGAAGTTGGGAGGTTTGTAATTCTTGCCATTTTCGTCGTCCATAATGAAATTATTGCTCTATTAATCCAGAGATTATATCCACCAACATCAGATTTTGATTTCCGCCATTGTTAGGGCACAAGGTTTCTCCGAGAAATCAAATAAAATACCTAAAATCTTTAGCAGAGCTTTAATGTCAGTAGTAGAACAACAAAACAACTGCAGAATTACCATTACTATTGCTACTTTTCTTCAATTCCCTAAACAACCAAAATTAATCCTCATTTATATCTAACAAATAGATTCTGCCTTCACTGTTAGAGCAAAAGAACATGAAATCAAACACCTATAAAAGAGATAATTGAATTTGCATTAATCGGTGGAACAGCGAAGCAACTGTAGATACTGAAGACGAAAATTCATAACAATATGCGAGAGATCTTCTATCGTATTCGTTCAACTAATTCATCATTGAACTAAATGAAGTTGTCCTTTGGTATCGAGGTAGGAGAGCATCGTATTTTTTCGACAAACTAACCCTAATCACAGTCGAACAAAAAGCACGCCAATCAAAATCGAAACAGAAAGACGACAAACAATAACAAATCACGCAAACACACCACGGATCCAACCAGAACAGCGAATCCCCACTAATTCCCCTCCAATTGAATTCGGAAAACGAAAATCCGTGAAAAAAAAATTCTTACCTCGAATCAGCTGGGTTGCATTGCTCGAATGGCTCCTACGATTTGGTGCTTCCAGGAACACGAGCGTCGAATTAAATAACAATCTCTAGGAAATAATCGATTCTGGAATTAGGGTTGGATCTTATATCATCGACGTCGAATTGGCCGAGAATTGGTTGGAAATTTGGGGAATTGCAAGTCCGTGTTCGGTTGGGCAGTGGGAAAGAGTAAAAAGACGCATCTTTTAGGAGAGGTCAGGGAATGGCGTAGGATAGACCTTGGCGTCAATTCTCAAGTGGGAGATGCTAAAAGGCGCCGGGTGTGCGCCTTGCCCTATCTTGAGCCCACATATATTCATTATTCAGGATTCTTTAGTGGAAAAACTTTTTATTTTTAATTTTCGATATTTATTTATTTTTCTTTTTATTCATATTTATTTTTTATTTTCTATTCAACACATTCTAAGTATAAAAATACAACACAAGCTTATGTGTTATGAATAACCATTGTGCATCTATAGATATCGGTGCTATTGGAATATAACATGGTGAGAATTGAACATATGATTTTTTATTATAAGAATTAAATCATTAAATTGCATAATTTATTTAATATATTTATAAAATTATTTTTCAAAAGCATATTTAATTTACAAATTGAGCTGGGCAAGCACTATCCCAATTTTTTCACGACGGATATGCCTATTATTTGTTATGAATTTTCAACATTCTAAAAAATGATATAATTCTTTTTTAAAAAAATATCATGATGATACAAATTGTTCCCACAAACCTAAATGAATGCCTTGGAATATTATATGTAAAAATAATCAAATACTAAAATATACGTAAAACAAAATAATTTACAATTTTTAAATAAAGCAATTATAAAATACTTTTATTATTAAAAACAATAATAAATTGAATATTAAAGAATAAATGTGTAAACCGCATACAAATAACAATAAAAATAGCTAGTCCTGAATAGGTAGTGGGTGGACTTGTAGCCAGGTCACGTGTTCAACGCCGTGCGTAGCTATTGCCTATTGCGCGATTAGGGGCATAATAATAATAATAATAGTAATAATAATAATAATAATAATAATAATAATAATAATGTTGAATACAAAAACAAGCAATAGCCATTGGGATTCGGATTTCAGCTTGTTTTCTAATTTCTACATCCAAATTAAAATCCACCAAGTTCAATTAAATTTTAAATTAAAATCCAAATTTAGAACCATCTTCAAATTTTGTAGGACATTAGGATGCTTCCGAGTCCACCTGGCCTAATGGACTTTACTTATCCGACCTAATTTGCTGGATATTATATTCAACTGAAATTTATTTAGTATACACTCAACTATTAGTATTACAAGGACACTAATAAAAATATTTCTATATATTTTTAATTTATATTATATATAATAATTAATATTCAATAATCATCACGCATTTAATTACATATTTCTACATTATTTTTTTTTCTTTAAAAAAAAGAGAGAATATTTGGGCTGGCTAAGCCACAGAACTTACTATGATAGTCAATCTACTAGTAAGGTTTTTTTTTGGATCCTCAAAATTTTAATGTGAGCTCAAGCTAAAGCACTCGTTAATACTTCGATTCGACTCGTATTTTACTTTCTTTCTTTCAAAATAAAAAAAAAAAGAAACAACTCAAGATTCCCTAACCACACTTCCCATGACAATCTTTACAAAACATACTTTTTCCCCAAATTATCGATACAAATTCAATATATGGGCACAACTTTGAGGATCAGAAGTCATCCCTCTCCAAGTCCGTCTTGCCCGACAACATATTTAACAAGACCAAGAGCATGCCACAACAGAGACAGTCTTTTAATGTCGAGACTATCAATTTTCGCACAAAAAAGACACGAAAATGATGAAAGGAACTTACCATCGCTATCACTAGACATCACATACTTGTTTCTTCTCAACAGAACACACTGTAATAAAGAACAAGAAGCTTCCATTGATGCGACGAGGAAGAAATAAAAAAGATTTACAGTTAAGGAATCTAGTCGCAAACTGAAGCTTAATACAGAATCCAACATAAGGTTGAATACAAGGACTTTAAATCAGATGTGGAACACAATTTGAGAAAAAAGCTGAATTACAAAATCGAAAAAAAGCTTAATATCACACACAAGAGGGGGCTTTAGAGAAATCGAGAAGTGAAGCTTGTACTCTGGCTAAAATAAAATATGTTCGAGGAATAAAAAAAATTACATGTTTGCAGCTTGAAGCAGAGGCATCTAAGATACCAAAAGAGTATAAAGAAGCTAGAAAATCATTAGAAAAAAAGAGTCGATAAAGCAAAGAAGGATGCAAAAGTTTTGGCTTAGGAATATTGAATCAAATGAACAGCTTCAAATTATGCTATTAGAATTGGCTGAAGCCGAGCAAAGTTGACTTGAAAGTAGAGTTAAAAGGTCCCAAAGACTAAAATTTCCAAAAATGAGAAAGAACCAATAAGATTTGATCAACATGCACAATGATGAATTCAATGGTTCCGTAGTGTAGATATCGGTATAAGTTAAAGTTCTACTTAAATTCTAGGTTAACAAAATCATTGAGATGCACCATGTCGATAAAGTATAGAACCACAATACAAATCTCAAATCAGTACACATATTACATACGAATCAGTAGTTAAATTGAGATCTAATAATTGCAATCTAAATGATACAAAAGAAAATTAGCTGGAACCTAAGGTTGTGTTCTTCTGTGGATTTTATCGCAATTTTTTACTATTCAAATTCTTTTTTCCCGAGAAAAATCAAATCAAACAATTACTTTTATTTTTTTATTTTTTATATTATACTACAAATCTATTTTACATTCAAAGTATCACATAACATCTATTTATATCACATCAAACAGCTACTCAAATTCAACTATTTACTATTAAAAAATCAATCCAAAATTAAAACCCACAAACAAACACACACTAATTTTTTAACAATAGTAATGGAATTGCAGAAGTGGAAGATAAACATATTCGTCCGACACACAAATCCCCAGGCAAGGCGACTGAAAACAAAAAAACTTTACCATTTCGAACTAGTTGTTCATTGTACTAAGGCCATTTTTCTTAATCTATCTCTGAAGACAGGTGCATCTAACCTCTATAATATATCGTGACATTTGTAGACACTAACTGAAAATTTTGCCAATGAATGTAACACGCTAAAACAAAGGGAGGCGAAAGAATACCAATCCAAACAAACATATTGCATTTAAATACATTAGGTACCAACGTGCCTCAATTCAGATGAAGTTTAGCATTGTCATGCGACCGCCGACCAGCATCACCAAAAATGAGCTAACCCGAGTTTCTCAACATTCCGACATCTGCATGGATGATAAGAGAGTACTCAAAACTTATTGTACAGTTTCAGTAGATATTAGCTAAAGTGAAATATTGATAAGTATAACAGTAAAGCATCCAGTTCACGCATGACTACACCAATTATGAATTTAGGGCCAAAACTATCTAGTAACCAAAAAAATGAAATTGGTCGTAACAAGAATCAGCATAAAATTAAGAAATCCCTAGGCCTGGAAGTGACAATGGAGCTAAAAAAAGCATAAAAAACGAAAACTCTTCAAGAGGCATGCTGTAATTCTATATTAATATTTGGATCACCAAAGGGCGTACATATAAAGAAAGAAGCCTGCATTGATATATATACAGGAAATCCACAAATGGAGATGCTTATATCTTAATGGGTAAACTGCAGTAGTTCATCAGAACTAATTCATGAATTGCATTTCTTCCAAGGGAATTTTTTTTTTTTTTACATAAAAAATGTAGAAACATCTACCAATCAGGTTAGCTTCTATATTGACAACCTATGCTTTGAGGGTTTACTTTGAGTGATTAAGGTGAATAATACTATTATTTTATCTAAGATAATTACATGTTTACTTTAATAGATTAGATCCCGAAATTGATTAAAGTCCATCACACTAATAATACCTTGATTAAAAATAATTAATCCCACTTAGATGGGTAATATTAAGTTATTTAAAATAATATTTGCACTAAAATCAATATTATCCTATATTTAATTAAGCAAAATAATCATAATATCAATTAATCTCATTATGAAATAATCTAATAAAATAATATCAGCGAGTATAATCCTATCCTACAAAACAAACACATTGTACAGTAAACTCTCATTCCAATCGGGTGTAAAATATTGAATTATATAGAGAACTCTCATTTCAATCGGGTGTATAACAGGCCCACAAGACACGAGAAGGTGACGATGATATTGGGGGCAAGATTGCAACACAGATTAAAACAAGAAAAAAGTGACATTTAACAAAATGCCAAAAAGCAGTGATGCATCAAAGTAATCCGTCAAAACATAAAATTGCTCACTCTATCGATATCTTGAGATAGGAATTTCTCGCAGTTCTCTTCTCATGCACAGATATTCACCTAACAGCGCGGTTATCGCTAGGCCAGTAATGTTCACGACCCACCATGTTATAGACGAGGGCCAACCTCCATACGCAACACAAATGAAAAGGTGGATGATATAAAGAGTTGCACAAAAATCCAGACACTTCCTTGCTCTTTCAACTAGATATACCAAAAAACCAGCTCTGTCAAGAAGAAAACATTCGTCAACAATAGATTTTCAGCCAATTACCACGATTATGCGAATGATGATCAGATATTTGAAGATGCTTTCAAAATTTGAAGCTAAATTGACAAGAATATAGACGACAGTGCTACAACTACAAAGTCAAGAATATACCGAAAACCAGCTCTGTTAAGAACAAAACATTCATCAACAATAGATGTTCAGCCAATTAGCACGATTCCTACAAGAATGATCAGATATTCGGGGATTCATTCAAATTTGAACTTACATCGACAACGATATAGACAATAGTGCTACAACTACAAAGTCAGAAGCTACTACAACAATGGTCACTCTTTCATTAGGCCTAAAAGAACATAATCATATTTGACACACAAATTAGTTCTTAAAGTCGCATAATGTTTCATTGGATATTTATCCTCACAGGGTATCAACTAACGTAACCTGGCACTAAACCCTAACAACTGCAAGATACAAATGAATATCAACAACCAACAAATGAATCGAACCAGAGATATAGCTCAGTAACCACAAAAGCAATGTTAAGACTTACCCTGCAATGGAGCTGAGAAAAATTGAAGCCATCACGCCCCAGCCAGTACCTGTAGAGGCGTTTACCGTGGCAAAATCAAAGAAATACACGAGGCTCATCTTCGAAACCCTGGTGCCGACCAGAATTGACAAGAAAATCCCGAGTGTAAGATAATACAAGCATTGAAGACACACAATTTGCGCCACAATAAGCCATGGATCCCAAGCTGCCGTACCATAGAACATGACGTCCCTTTCCTTTCCTTTCCCTTTGCTCAAAAGTTCCCCAAATTCTCAAACTACTTTTTTATACTCACCGATTCATCGAACGACTGTCGCAACAAAAATTTCCTTCAGATCAATTCCCAGCCGTGCAGCAAAATCACTGTGCAGATGCTACCCTCGGGTGCCAGGAAGCGAGCCGCGAACAAATTGAGGAATTAAGTAATGAGAGAATTTCACCAGATCGAGCAAGAATTAACAGCGGCTTTGTATTCCCTCTTCCCCTCTCCTGCGATTGCTGCGATGCAGAATTCCTTGCTGGAAGAGCTCCAGATTCAATGGAGATTACAAAGATTGGGGATCAATGGACGCCTCCGCACCTAGGCACGCGTATGACTTCAGCGTTAAGGCTGTGTTTGGCTGCACGCATCTGACAAATTTTAAAAATAAATAAATATATATTTTCATTTTGGATCATTTCTATGTGTATGCTATAAAGATAATTATACGCCGTACAAAAGCAGCCCACGCCACTGTGGATCGGGCCTTACCAAATCCGGCCCACTTCACCAAAATGGTCTCACCCAGTATAGGCCCATTACATCAACCGACCAATAGTCCAATACAGTCAAACCCGAACCCGATAGCTCGACCCATCTAAGTTTCAGCCAAACCCACTTTTTCAGCCTGATAACAGATCCAGCTCAGTCCACCAACTTGACCCGACCCAATAATGGCCCGATCCATTAACCAGACTAACCTAACCCCAGAACCTATTCCATTAACTATACATTTATGTACTTTTAATTTATAGGAGTAATAAATAATTTATATATATTATTAAAATCTAATATCAACTAAAATAAGAATATATTTTGTGGATGGGAGATTATTATTATTATTATTTTCGTTTGTTTATAAAACTAATAAATGTATAACTACGTAATAAACAAATTAATTAAAAATTATTTTCTCTTGTGTAGAATTTTTTTTTTCATTATTATTTTTAACAGCGTGGCTGTGTTGCAGAAGCTGATTGTACTGTCTATTTCACATATAAATACGCGCAACTTCTCCCTCTTTCTTTCTCTCTCATTCACTCACTCTTCGATCTTCCGCTTCGATTTCGATCCTTTAGGGCTAACAAATTGCAGCAAGTTTCACCATAGAAAATGGTGAGTGGCATTAATTTTGTGTTTCCGGTTATGTGAATTTGCTTCTGCGCTTGGTTATCAGATCCGGAATTGCTTTGTCGTGTGGATTTTTACGCGTTTTGAGATTCATCTTGCGAGTAAATAATTTTTAAGCAATCAGCATTGTGATTGCTTCGAATTTCAGCTACGGCTGAGATCTCGAGCTGCTTTTATTCTTTGCTAACTCAAAATTCTGTGATCTTTCGTTTCTGGTGTTGGATTCTTCTGCTGTTGCCAACGTAGCCGCTCAGATTAGAAATCAAGGTACTAAAATAGTTTAAATGACAATGCGTTGTTTGACTGTGGATTTTTGTGATGGTTGGATGCTGACTCATTGATGTGTTTCCTCAGAAGAAACTTGCTCAAAGATCGGAAAGAGTAAAGTCTGTGGATCTGCATCCATCAGAGCCATGGTATTTCTGATGCAATGATTCGAAACCAAACTATGTTGTGGCATTTGACATTTGTAATAATTATGTAGGAAATGTTTCATGTTCAACTCAAATAAACTTTAGGAGAGTAACTATAATGCATGTTTGTGTTGAATCTTGTTCTTAATCAGTTTAGATGTTATGAGTAGCTGTGCGTTCAAGTTTACCGGAACTACAGTCGAACATTTTATCAAATCCATTTCATGGTTTTATCCTACTTCATCCAATCTATGCTATGCTTCTGTTCCATGCCTGGTTTGCTATTGAATAACTACAAAATTGTGCATCCAGCTCAAATCTGGAATAGTCATTGATTCCATCTGCATGGTATATTTACAGGTTATTGGCGAGTTTGTATTCAGGGACTGTTTGCATCTGGGACTACCAGACACAGGTCCAGCTGGCATAAGTATTTTCAGTCTTCATGATATATTAGCAAATCTATCTTACAGGACCACATGGATATGTCTGGTTTTCCTGTGTAACTGTGAATTCGTATATTGTTATGTTGGATGGTTAATCTATATGGTCTTGGAGATTCCACTGTATGCGCTGATCAAATGCATCTAACCTTGTGTTTACAGAAATAATGATACTTGGCAAATGGAGATTCCATTAGGTTTATTGATTTATTATATTAAATGCTATTATCATCATACATTTGACTGGATTTCTCATAGTTTTGGGCCTTTGGCTTAGTATGCATTACGTAATATTTTATTTGAGCTTTCAAATTTTTAGCTTGTTCCTTTTTTTATGCATTGATAGCTTTCATGATGGAGCACTTTTGGGGGTTAACTACTCTCTGTATAGTTGTTAGTTTGCAAGCTGATATATATTGTATGATTATATTAGATAAAATAATAAGATATTATTTCTTTTTAGTTTATATATATGTGATACATTAAGAGTATTATATGATAGTTAAATAATATAGTATGATATGGGATTATGAGTTATTGTTAGGTTTTATGACAAAGGAGATAGGTGAATTGGTGGATGCATAAAGTTTTATATGGAAAAGAAAGTTATATGGGATTAAATGCTATTGATGAATCAGTATTTTCCTGTAACGTGTAAACTCATCGGTCCTACTTTCCGTAAGAAAATGATGGTGCAATTTTTATTAAGATTTACAATAAATATAACTTGTATGGTAAGTTTGATTGTAGTTAAAATTTGATCTTTACATTTTTTATCAATGAACTGCAAGATTGATTGAAAACTATATGAACAAGGAAAATGATTCCCACCCAGTGAGAATTAAAATGTTCTGTGTTGGTTTCCTTTAGAAGGAATACATTCTAAAGCTTCATTTCTGATGCTGCAGACAATGGCTAAATCTTTTGAGGTTACAGAGCTACCAGGTGCATGATTTAAATTATATTGTAGTTTGAGGACCTATAAATGGTTGTTATCACTTAGTGCTAATCCTAGCATTTAATCTGACAGTGAGATCTGCAAAGTTTATAGCACGAAAGCAATGGGTGGTTGCTGGTGCTGATGACATGTTCATTCGAGTATATAATTACAACACAATGGATAAGGTCAAAGTATTTGAGGCACATACTGATTATATTAGGTGTGTTGCTGTTCATCCCACCCTTCCATATGTGTTGTCATCTTCGGATGACATGCTCATAAAGCTTTGGGACTGGGAAAAGGGATGGGCATGCACTCAAATTTTTGAGGGCCATTCTCATTATGTGATGCAAGTGACATTTAATCCCAAGGACACCAATACTTTCGCAAGTGCATCTCTTGATCGGACTATTAAGGTATTTGGAATTTGTCTTTGTCAGTCAAATGCTCATTTCTTTAAGTTTGACTGCTAGCGCTAAAGTCTACACTGTTGCTTTCTTTAGATTTGGAATCTTGGCTCCCCTGATCCAAACTTCACCCTTGATGCCCACCTGAAAGGAGTCAATTGTGTAGATTATTTTACTGGCGGAGATAAACCTTATTTAATCACTGGTTCTGATGATCACACAGCTAAGGTGATCCGTTATTTGGTTTCTTAGTAACTGACCAACAGTTTTGTGAATTTGATGAATTTTTTTTATTTTATCCGGGAATTTTTGGGACAGGTTTGGGATTATCAAACTAAGAGCTGTGTCCAGACGCTTGAAGGGCACACTCACAATGTTTCTGCTGTTTGTTTCCATCCTGAACTTCCCATTATAATAACAGGTTCTGAGGATGGTACAGTCCGTATATGGCATGCCACAACGTATAGGTGAGTTCTGTGCTGAAAGATGATCTAGCACATGAATTCACTGGCCTAACTCACCTGTTTTGTCAATTGTTGTGTTAATGTTAACTACTGGAATTGGCACAGTATTATTTTCTTAAAAAGTAATTTCCAAATACATCTTCAATAAATTTTCATGTTAAGTGTTTAACGACTGAGCAGTGAGCACCATAGTCTACTTCATATATTATTTGTCTGCTATGGGTTGCATGTGAATCTTATGTAATATCTACCTCAAAACCAGATTCGAATCTTTTGTAGATAAACCGAATAGAAAGTCTGGTGCATTTTTACAATGTACACTTGGTCATTGTTCCCATGTGTTAGATAGAGGACATGGACCCATGAATGAAGATGTACTATTTGTGACTCTTAGTGCATGCCTATAGCAGTATATGAGGCTTTTGGTTTTATTAGTTTGTCTTTTTTTTTTTCGTCTTGATCACACAAGGTTTAGTTCAAGTATTGTGACAAAACATGCAGCCTCTCACCATTTATACCATTTTGCAGGCTTGAAAACACATTAAACTATGGCCTTGAAAGAGTTTGGGCTGTTGGTTACATTAAAGGCTCGAGACGGTGTGTATTATTTTTCTATAAATCTTATGTGATGGTTGAGGTATTAATTTTTTTCGTTGAAGTTGATGTGGTAATGTTAGCAGTCAGTGCAAACTCAGGATGATTATGGTCACCAAAAATCTTCAGCTATATGTGTCAAAATTTGTGAATATGAACTTCATACATCTGAGAAGATAGCTCTTGCATTGTTAGCCACTTGTCTGCATTAATTGTTACCCTCCCCAGCCCCTCTGACAGAGCTCTCACGGGATGCCTCAACGAGAGTGATTCTCCTCCTAAAGAGTCTACATGTGATATTCTGCAAGTGAAAAATATTACTAGTAAAAAGCATTTTTTTTTTTTTTACCTCTTTGGGCATATAATTGTCTCTCTATTTGCAACCGAAAGCTCTTTTATAATGAAGTAATTATGTAGAAAAAAGGTTATGGTGTATAACTAGATTCTTTTCAAACAACTTATATAAACTACCACAAAACATTGTATAAAGAGTAGATCTAAGAACCGGTTTGCACAGATTCTACTATCATCCATTCTCTTTCATTTTAAACTGCTTAACTCGACAGTGCCATTGTGCAGGGTTGTTATTGGTTATGATGAAGGAACTGTTATGGTAAAGCTTGGTCGAGAGGTACCTGTTGCTAGTATGGATAACAGTGGGAAAATCATTTGGGCTAAGCATAATGAAATTCAGACTGTCAACATCAAGAGTGTAGGGGCAGATTATGAGGTATGATTGTATTTGGGCTTGATAAATAAATTTTGACGGAAACTGGTTTTCTGAAAAAGCCTTACATTTGTCCACAGGTTGCTGATGGAGAGAGATTGCCTCTAGCTGTTAAGGAATTGGGTACTTGTGACCTTTATCCACAGGTTATATTTTCATCTTATGTTCACGAGGTTGTTTATCAGCTTTGATACTTGTCATTGCATGTATGTGAGCCAATTAAAGCACTAGTTGCTTGGATATTATTGGGTGGTCTTATGTGATAATTTTCTTAACCATTGAAATCTCTTGTTATGATTTGATAATTTTAATAGGTACAACAAAGCTGCTATATATACTCCCCTGTGTAGAATATTTGCTGATTTTGCCTGGCTATGTTTCTACTAGTATCTTCTGTCTTTGAATCTAAACTGCTTATTTCTGTTGCACTGCTTATCTGAGGGAATGTATATGTGGGCTTGAATGGCCAGGTTTCAATTACACATTATGCATGCCATAGGCTTTATCTTTGAAATTTTCTTCTGATGAAATTTTTGCCCTGGATGTCTCTTTTACGATCTTCTTGTTACTTCTTGAAAGATTGATTTACTGATTGTTTAGTAATTTATATTGTTTTGTATTATATATTTCCTTGTAGAGCTTAAAGCACAATCCCAACGGTCGCTTTGTTGTTGTGTGTGGGGATGGTGAATTCATTATTTACACAGCTCTGGCATGGAGAAACAGATCATTTGGCTCAGCTTTGGAATTTGTTTGGTCGACGGAAGGAGAATATGCTGTTAGGGAAAGTACATCCAAGATTAAGATCTTTAATAAAAGTTTCACGGTAAGTGTTTTGCATTGCATTTTGTTGCAGCCCTTGTTATAATCAATGCATTAATATAAGTGGAGGATATTCTTAAAAGCTTATTTTGAAATTAAAACTCCACATCAAGTTCTATCTATATCCTCCTGCATAACACCTATAAATAATGTTTTTTTGTTCAGGAAAAGAAAAGCATCCGTCCTGCTTTTTCTGCAGAGCGTATTTATGGTGGAAGTCTGTTGGCAATGTGCTCAAATGAATTTATCTGCTTCTATGATTGGGCCGAATGCAGATTGATAAGAAGGATTGATGTCAATGTTAAAGTATGAGCTTACTGCTGAAGATATTATCATTCTTGTTGCTATTATGGCTGTATAACCATTTTGTGGTTTTATTTTTTTTAATGAATTCCAGAATCTCTACTGGGCAGACAGTGGTGATTTAGTTGCCATTGCCAGTGACGCATCGTTCTACATACTCAAATATAGTGTGAGTAGGCTAATTCATTAGTTCCTAGTAATTTGGATTCAAGTTTAGTGTAGATGCTTTTGCCAACTGGGTTGAGTTTGCATTTGCAGCGTGATGTTGTTTCTGCTCATCTGGATAGTGGGAGGTCAGTCGATGAACAAGGTGTGGAGGATGCTTTTGAACTACTTTATGAAATAAATGAACGCGTACGGACTGGAATTTGGGTGGGGGATTGTTTCATTTATAGTAACTCTTCTTGGAGACTTAATTACTGCGTTGGTGGTGAGGTATGTTTTTATTATTTCAGTAGCTTTTTTCCATTTCCAGAATGTGAGAAAGGCATATGTTTATGTGCAATTCATATTTTTATGTGGCTTTGCAGGTGACAACAATGTTTCATTTAGACCGGCCCATGTATCTGCTTGGGTATTTTGCTAATCAGAGCCGTGTTTATCTCATTGACAAAGAATTTAAGTAAGTTGTTGATTTTGAATTATAGTTAAAGATGCCTTTCTTGCTTGGTCGTCAACTTTTCATGTATATTGTTTCTTTCAGTGTTGTGGGATTTACTTTGCTGCTCAGCCTGATTGAGTATAAGACACTTGTCATGCGTGGTGACTTGGAAAGGGCAAGTGAAATTTTACCGTCTATTCCACAGGAGCATCATAACAGGTTTGGTATCTTTCACCTCATTGGTTACAATTTAGTTAATTTCGTTGTACCCAAATGCTTTAGGCAAAACACATCCATTTGTACATGTAATTTGAACAAAGGGAAGATTCCTTTGTTCTTAACAAGGAGCGTTATAAATGTGACAATATTATGCAGCCTAATATGAGTGTATTATATTTTTTATGATGAACATAAATTGCTGTATGTAAGCTCCCTGAATCTTGTTTGGCTTGCATGAAATTTAAACTCATCACTCATCAAAATTTTCCAGTCACTCAACTTAATTTTGATTATAAAATGATTTTGTGAACAGTGTAGCCCGTTTCTTGGAATCACGTGGGATGGTAGAAGATGCACTTGAAGTTGCTACGGATCCTGACTACAGATTTGAGTTGGCCATTCAGCTTGGCAAGTTAAAGATTGCTAAGGTACATGGCCATTTACTTGTTTGATGGTTGTTATGGTTGAGATACTTTTCTAGACTTTCAATACATTTTCACAATGTTCTTTCAAAGCATTTCATCCTTTGTTGTAACCCTCTTTCACTGCATACGAATGTGGTTCTTAATAATGCAGTTTTCTTTCATCATCGACAGGAAATTGCCACAGTGGCGCAGAGCGAGTCTAAATGGAAGCAATTGGGTGACTTAGCTATATCTACTGGAATGGTACTCTTTCAGTCCCAATGCTTCGAGCAAGAGAGTGTTATAATTCAGTTTTTTCTATATTATTTTGTTAATCCGTAACTGGTATATCATGCTATTGATTTATCCTTCTGTTTTTGTTTTTCATTTCAGTTGGAAATGGCCGAGGAGTGTTTGAAACAAGCAAATGATCTGAGCGGTTTGTTGCTACTATATTCTTCTTTAGGTGATGCCGAAGAAATTACTAAACTCGCTACTCTTTCCAAAGAGCATGGGAAAAACAATGTTGCATTCCTTTGTCTATTTATGTTGGGTAAATTGGAGGAGTGCCTTCAGCTGTTGATTGATAGGTAAACCATATTCGTTGGCACATTTACCTTTTTTTTTTTTTTCAATTATATTTATAATATGCCTTACGTTCTCTGCAGCAACCGGATACCTGAAGCTGCATTAATGGCTCGATCTTATCTTCCTAGTAAGGTGCCAGAAGTTGTCGCGCTTTGGAGGAAAGACCTCAATAAGGTTGAAACAGATTCTAGTGGCCATGTTTTAGTATATTTTTGGTCCAAACAAGATGGGAATAAAATTGTATTCTTTTTACAATTGTCAGATTAATTCAAAAGCTGCAGAATCTCTTGCTGATCCAGAAGAATATCCCAACCTTTTCGAGGATTGGCAAGTCGCCCTCGCAATCGAAGCCAAAGTTGCCGAGTCGAGGTATGCCCCCTTAACTTTCTTGAACGCTCCAATAACGTGTACATGATAATAAAAGTGAATTCAATTTCTTCACCAGGAGTCAATATCCTCCAGCAGCTGAATACTTGCAAAATGCTGATCGATCAACCGCAAGCCTTGTAGAAACCTATCGAAACATGCAATTGGAAGAAGAAGCCCTCGAGAATGGAGGTTTGGATTATGAAGACGAGGTGACGTGACTTTGAAATTTGTCTCCAATAGCGTCTCTAAATATTATACTATCGAATTTTCACTTATTTTCGAAACTGTATATATATATAGGTTGTCGGGCAGAATGAAGATGTGCCCGATGACACACAAGTAGGTAGGGATGAAAGTCAAGAAGAAGAAGAAGAAGCTGTTGTTGTAGATGCTGAGTCAGCAGATGGCGCCGTATTTGTTAATGGTAATGAGGCCGGCGAGGACAAGTGGGATACAAACAACAGAGACAAACAATCAGTGTAAAAGCAATTTGTCGTCCCGGTTTGAATTTCCTAGTTTCGTTGCCTGGTGATTTACCATTTTTAATTTTTTTCTGCTCGATAAAAACTCCAATTTTCTTTTACTAGTCTCGGGTACAGTTTTTATAGTCTTGGTGCCTCTATATGTGATTCTTGCAGCTTGTCATCTTAATATTTGCTAGAAATTTTCGAGTTATCGGGAAATTTATTCATGGTAGGGAATTATTCATTTTGAGGCAACTTGGCCGGGTAAAATGATTTGCGCCGGTCTATTATATTGATTTACAATAGTGTCGGCTGTGTATGTCGCGGTGTTCTTGTCTTATGTTTGGCTACTGTTTTTTCGTCACTTACAGTAACAGCGGCGTTTAGCTTTCGTGCATTCTTCCCGGCGGCCGGGTTGTGTTTGAGGTATCGACTTAGTTTAAGGTAAGAAGTTTGTTTATTTGATACTGCATATTTTGTTTTGGTAAATCATATGGTGATATAGATAATAGATTCATGTTTAGTAACTGTCTGTTTTTGTTGATTTACCATTTTGCATCCGAGTCCTAATGCTTAAAACTTTTATAGCCGGGTAACAATGGGTGAGCTTTAGGATGGCAATGGGTCATAACTGAGACCTGAATTGTATCCGATCATATATCCGAATTATATCTCATGGATGTGATGGACTCAAAAAATATTTATAATTTTTAAATTTTAATTTAAAATTTGATTCAAATTTGGACTCCAACCTGACATATGTCTAAAATTAATATAGTTTATTTAAAAATATTATAATAAAAAAACAAATAAATTAAACTCAAAAAATATTTTGGTGGAGTATAATTTATTTTGTTAGAAATTAATTTATATATATATAATTGACCTTTTCTAAATAAATCTTTTATTTTTTTTTTTTTATGTAAGATATAAAAATATAAAGAACTGTCTAGAGAATATAAAAATAAAATAATGAATATATGCTAATATTCTTCTTTTTTACAATATATTAAATATTTAATTTTTTATTATTTCAAGAAGTATGTTCATCCAAATAACTTTTATACATATATATATAATTCTCAATATATAAATATTTATATATATATATATGTATATTTTTACAAAATTAATAATTGAATACTATTGTTTTTTATATTATTAATTTTCATGCATCTCATAAAAAAAGTATAAGGCAAACACGAAAAAATTAACCTTAAAGAATTACTCATCGTTTATTTATTTATTACAAAATAAAAAAATGAGATCTTTGTAATATTTATAATAAAATACAGATGCATTATCCCAATACACCTATTTTAAAATACTATGAAGGGCACTGATATTTCAAGTATCAAATTATCATATTATGATATACAAATTTACAATAATATTATAGTTATGTAAATCTACAATTAATGAAAACTTACAATTTTAACCCAAATTGTTGTTCAAACACAGTAATTAGAAACAAATAAAATAATCCCATTTAACACACGTGATATACACTTTTATTAATATAATCTAATCTACTCAATCCAATGATCTTCAAAATCACACACTACATCATCATAATATTTCATAAATTTCCATAATCAAATTATGCATTTAAAGTTTTTCTTTTTTATTTTTCTAAAAAATTCTACATAATCATCACAACTACTGCTTTATATCAATATAAAAACTTCGTGTGTATTAACGTTCAATCCAATTAAAAATATATAAAAAAATACAAGTAAAAATTAATATGAACAACAAATCGAGTCTGGTAATCGTGTTCTTAATGGTAGCGCTCGTAGCGCTTCCGGAATATTCGCAAGCGGATTCTGCGAGTTGCTTTAAGGAGTGTTACAACGACTGTAGCAAAGGGAAAATTAATCCCGGGTGCATAGTCCCGTGTAATAAAAAGTGTGCTTCGGCTCCGCCTCAATTCGAAAAAGAGGAGACGAAGAATATGAATATATTCGTATGAAGGGATTTGTTGTTTGAATTTAAATAATGAAAATATATTTTGTTATATCGTTCTATATAAATTGTATCGAATGATATTCTGTTCTATCTGATATGTGGCAATAATATATATTATTTGGTTAAATGATGTTATAATTCTATGGGTTGCTTAATTTGATCGATATGTGGTTAAATTTAGCTCTTGAAATAATTTTGTGATTTTATTTTTATTTATTTGTTTTGTTTATAATGAAAACTTATTACTAATATACATTTCGCAATAAATATTTTGAAATTTATTTTTTTCTTCTATTTTTCTTTTTTTCACAAAGGTTGTGATTAGTTTGCATTTTAGTTTTTTGCTCGATATAACTAATGATTAAATGTAGTTTTTTTTTTTTAATGAGAAATATATAGAAATATGAGGTCGTAAAATACATAATACTGTAATGAAACATACTCAAAGAAAATGATTTTTAATAAACACAATACATAGCCTAATTGTAATTTTAATATTTATGATTTTATTATTTTTATATTATCTACACAATTCTTCTATACTTCATAATATTTCACAAAACAAACACCCTTATATTTTCTGTGTTTTTATTGACTTTATTGTTAGATATATATTTATATATATTGTATCTTTCACATAATTTTTTTAAATTGTTTATATTTAAAATATTTAATGATCACCACATTCTTTGTTTTTTAAAATAGAATTAATGGAAATGAATTGGTTTGTTTAATTTGTGTTTTTTTATGGATTTATTTTTGTGTTAGGTACTTGAATGTGTTGGTAATATTAAAAATAATTTTGTATTGAATTATTGATTTTTTGTGAGTAATTAAAATATATATTACTATATATTGTATTAATACGTATATATTATATTTTTAAATAATATTTATGAAGAATCGTATCATTGAAAAAGATTAAGTAAGCATTTGTATTTAATAATTTAAAAATCCATCATTAAATAACTTATAACACAAAATCAAGTGATAATTTCCTTAATTATCCAAATATTTTTATGAGCTTATAAGGAATTTTGTTTATTTATTTATTTTAATATCCTCTATAAAATGTGTGTATATATAATACCATTTTAATCACCGACTATAATCAACTAATTAATTGTAGGTGTTTAAAAATATTTATTTTCTTACCTAAGGTGTCATATTATTTAGTTATTTTTTAGGTAAATATTTATTCAAATGTATGTAAGAGTATATCATTTATAGAGGTAAATACACAAATTACATGATTAATTTAATGTAAATACGAAGAGTGATACAAAAGAATCAAACCTAATTAAATATACTAACTTGAACATATAGTAAGAAACTAATCATGGCTTTCATAAAAAATTAAAAAAAAAAAAAGATTAATTAAAATGAATTATTATTATTTTCCACTATAAAAAATAAAAATCTTGAATAAAATTTGAAAGGTTGAATATTTATTGAAATACTCTTAAATTTAGACTTATCCATCAAAATATATTAAGTCATAATTAATTACATTTTCCTTTACACTATTCATCAAATCAAATGCCTCCATTTAGTAACAACAATAAATTTGTTACACACATATTATTTCTATATATATATACAAATGTTCTATAAATACCTCGTAACCACAAAATCTAAATAACATTCGATAAAATTTAGAGTTTATACTTAGTCACACGAAGCATGGGTGGGTCGAAACTGGTCGAGACAATTGTCGCACTTATTGCAATCGTACTGTTTGTTTCTGTCAGAACATCGGCATTTTCAAAATCGTGTCTTCTCTCTTGCGCCGTCCCTCATTGTGTGATACACAGTTTTAACAAGCCGGCGTGCGTGTTAGAATGTGTAGGAAAATGCATCTTCGAACCGGGTAGTCAGATAGACATAAAATGTCAGTTTGGTTGCGCTAAAGAACATTGCAAAGATATACTTCAACGTAAGTTCTTCTGACTAATCAATAATATAATATTATTAAAATATATTTACATATGTAACAATAGTTCGCAGTTATTATTATCATATTAAGTGTAATGTTTTACTTTAGTTACAATCTCTTACTCTAATTAAGGTTATTTTTTATATAAATATATTTGATTATTTTGGTACTATTTTTTAACAATATTTTTTCTTTTTCTTTTTGAAATATCACATTAATTTATTCTTTTCATAAAATATTCCTCAATTAAACACCCAATATTTTCATTATTGACAAAATTATTATTTAAACCAAGTCTAAATTATAAAAGCACACGCATCTATTGTTCATGAATAAAAATTATTATTATTGATAATGCAATTATTATTTTTTTTCTAATACAGATTTTAGCTTGGGTCACATTGACGACCTATATGAATGTGTCCATACCGACTGTGGAGAAAAAACGTGTCATCGTCCAGAAGATAGCGTCGAGGATAATGAAATTTCAAAAGATATAAAAGTTTAATTCAATCGATATATTTATGTTTTAAATATTATTGATATTGCAAAATAATTATATCACATAAATTAAGAAATATTGATATTTCATCGGTAGTATACATTAGATAATACTAAAATATTTATGTTATCCTTACATTTTCAGTCAATATGGATGTTTTAATTTAAATATGGAAAACGTTGACTCTTATATAATAATAATAATAATAATAATAATAATAATAATAAAAGTAAAAGGATGATGATAGTTTTATAATGAAGTGAACTATATTTACTAGTTATGATGATAAAACAATTGATTTGAAACAAATAAAAAAAAAAAATATGACACAAAGGAGAATCAGTTTTATTGAAATTTTTACGAGACATATATAAAAATATATACAATTTAACTCTTTTATATAAAAAAAATTACATATATAAAAATTATTCATTCTGTCCCGGTTAATTTGTCTCATTTATATTAGACACAGAGTTTTAGGTATTTATAATGTGAGTAATTAAGAAGTATATTAGTAAAAATAATTGTGATTTAATAACAATAATTTCATATTAAGATTAAGATTACTAAATAGTTAAATTAAAATTAAAAAAAACTATAAATTATTAATTTTAAAAATGTGATTAAAGTGTATAATTGTATTTCCAAAACAAGAAATGGCAAATTATATGTGACAGACGAAAATAAAAATAGTTGACAAATTAAATGAGACGAAATGAGTATTATATTAAAGAAAATACAAAAAAAAAAAACACAATGCAAAATTAACTAATTTATATTGGGTGTCTTTTTTTTTTTAAAAAAAAATACATACATATTTTCTAAAAAATATTAATATATAACACATTAATTATTTTTATATTCTTTACACACGATTCCTTATAACTCACATAAAAATATATATATTCATTCAAATTAACTCACAAAATTAT